CAGGTCAGTTAGCCCATCGTGGCGAATTCAACAAGAATTGTTCAAAATGGTTTCCAGGGAGAACCACGTGGAGGTCTATCTAATAGGGTATATTGCTAGCAATGGGGCTGGCAAACTCCATTGCTAACAATCCCTTTCCTCCCCACCTTTTGCTGTTGCCACTGGTGAAATGTTGTGTTGTACAGTTTATTGTTATTGTTCATTTACTACTGTTTATTATAAAGTCAGCCGATATCAGGTTATGGGGTCAGGTTCGTTTGCCATTCTCATCACCATCTCAGATGATGCTCAGGTTGTATTTACTCTTGGAATTGGGACTTCCTTGATACCTTTCACCATGTTCGGCCCAGTGTTTATTTTTTTTATCAAGTTTTGGGTATCTTAATTCATGCTCAGTAATATAATTCCCGATACATGAAACGAGTAGTAAATAAAATGGAATTCCTGAAAATAGTCTCGTACGCGTGAATCTAGTTAGTTTCCTGAATGGCAAATAACGTGTTCGCATTTTCGCGACATGAGTTTTACGTTGCGTTTACGTGATGCTGGCAAAATCTTATGATTTGTGAAACTGTTCGATTTCCTGAAATTAATGCATGCAGCATTATTATATTAGATTTTACACATGAAGCTGCTGGTGAAATGTAAGTCGTGAAACTAGTTTTATTTTACTAGTTTCGTTAATCGTGATGTAAATTAGACTTAATGTCATTGTCATAATTATTAAAATCTACGTTATTATGTTAAGACCTCAGATGATGATTTGTAGTCGTTAGCAGTATCATTAGCGTGATGATAAATTGTAACAATTGCGCCGTGTAGTTGTGCGTTCAAATGTATTACTATAATCAATAATTTCTAGTGGGGAGGTCCATGATATGACAGGCTAGTTTAAATTTATTTTTCCCAGTGCATTAAAAGCTTGTTTAAAATGATTGACGGCTTTTGATATATCAAAAGTAATAACTATTTCGTTATATATAGAGTTGCAAAAATACATTTTCAATCTCTAGAACTATATTATGTGTACTTTTGGTAGTAATTTACCTATTTTCCTCTATACTGAACTTAGCTTTTATGGCGGTTTAAGGAAAAATTGCAAGTGTTCTTTGAGACGTCAGGGTTTTTACGTAATGACTAGTCTGCCTGACCTTATTTCTTATGACCTCGTTGAGCATGCGCTCTGTTCTCCTTTGGTTGTTATGTTTTGCAGTAAAATTTAATGATTGATAGGAATTCATTATCCTAAGACATGTTTAAAATTAAATAAATTGCGTGTGGTAGCGTATTAAGAACACGTGTCACTACTTCTTGTCATCTTTAGGATGTTCTAAGATAAAACGATAAAAGAAAAGAAAAGAAACTCGAAAGGAATCTATACTGAACCATATAAGTTAGTGGGGTAGTAGTGAGGTATGATAGGTGAGGTTCATCCTCTTCTATCATGCATAAAGGTCAGTTGACTCCTTGGGACAAATTCAAGGGGAACCGCGTGGAATGTTGACCTGATTACTCAAGTTGTTAGATCTCATTACTAATAATCATCGCACCGCTCGCCATCAACAGGGAATTCATACTCGCACGCTTGAACCTAAATGGTCACGTACAGTGTGGCTTCAGAGAAATTTTCTCCCACGAACGCTCAGTCTGTGGAATGAGCTTCCTGCCTATTAAGGTTTCTTCAGGGTCGGCAACGCGCACGTGACACCCCTGGGATTGAAAGTGTCCATACAGTGGCTACAGTGACTGTATGTGCCCATCTGATAGTAAACTATCAGATGAGCTGTATGCTTGTTTGCCACCTTTGTGGTATAAAAAAAAAATCCCTTTTCTTCCTGTAATCGAATTATAACAGATTGTAAGCTCATTTATCTACTTACACGATATTTATTCACGTCTCTTTTATCAGAGCGATGGTTTGATTAAAGATAATATACAACCTGATTGTATCAATGATATATTAATTTAATTCACCTAATTATATAACGGATCCAATTATTTTACATTATTATTATGTTTAAAATTAAGCATAAACTTATACCAAATTTATACTCATCCAATTTCTTGTGGTAATTCCATATTTTATATAATCATAATAACAATAATATCCATTATTAATTTTTAATTTTTACAAAATCACATCTCCCCTCTTAAGGAGAGAAGATGGCAAACTAACCCCTATTATTATTTCAGCCGTTGACTGTCCTCTTCTAGACATAAGTCTTCTCCATAAGGGGAGTTTTGCCAGTAGTTGCCACGCTTGTCAGACAGGTTAGCAACTGCAGTTAACTCCCCATCCTTCGCCCTCCCTTAGTCGCCTTTTACGACAACCACGGGTATGGAAGAAGTGCACTATTCTATGCCGGGGCACACACGACGAGATTCCATATTATAACATAAAGTTATTTGAACAAGAATAATTATCTCTTTATTATGTATTATGTATCTCCCTTAGTTTTTGATTTCAGTAAGAAGGTTATTTATAAAGAATTATTCTAAAATTAACATGTTTAGGAAATATGGATGTTCTAGTGTCTAAGTTCTAATATCTAAATAACCTTAAAAATAAATGGCAGACAAATGTATATAGTCAGATACCGGGATTCACCGTTGTAATAACACGACAGTATCGTAGCGTACATCGTACGTGTGGTGACTTATATAGTATACAACATTGGATGATTGCCAGTGAGAAAGGACATTTATATTGCGAGCGGAATGGAGCCATGAAGTGTCCCCTTGGAAGGTTTTTTGAAGATACATTTGTTATTTAGTATAAAGTTCCGATCGTGACTTTCCAGGTCAAAACAGAGACAAAAATATAACAATTGCATCATCACATTTCGGTTTGTGTCTTAATCATATTTCTTATTATGTTGTTGATATTAATATACTACGCACCTATTTTTGTAAAAAAGTGAATAGGTAGAATGAAGTGTAACAGAATTCGTATTGTTTTGAGGTGTAAACTTTTAGTGATGTATTTTTTTCCCCTATATCATCGAAAAATACGTCTAAACATATTTCAAAAAGATATTCAGTGAGTACACCTCATACAGTTGTTGTGAAGTAATCGAACAGACATATGAAACGTACTGAATAAAAAAAATCTTACAAAAATATTCAGGTTAAAAAAATCTTTTTCCATTAAGTCATAAGATTGGCAAAGTAAACAGATTCTAATTCATACCAAAGTTACCACAGGGAAAAGACTCGAAAACTTTATTAGTATAAAATTATTTTTAACTTTTACTTATCTTTTACTAATCCCATTTTACAATATACGAATTGTAAATAAATAAATAGGTAATTGTATAAACGGCTCGCGAACTTACAAATAATGAACAAAAATAATTGTAATATTATATTCATGTTAGATGTCTTTTGCAACTAAGCCATAAGATTAAATAGACATTTTAAAGTTTAGTAATAAATTGAACAATATTTAGATTACCTATATAAAAGAGAACTGTATAAAGACAGCATTTCTTCTTCTTCTATTAAATGAAGATTTCTAAATCTACTTTATTTTAGAATTCAATCTCTACTTATAAAAAATAAAATGAAACGAATACCTCCACTCATGGAATAGTAATACATTAATAAACTCAACGGTCTGGTTAAAGATGTTTTAGATGTTGAGAATCACCTTGAAATACTGGTTTATTTTTGTTGAATATTTTAAAGCGCTCGTACGCTATTTTATAATAAGCAACATAATCATTGGTCAAAGGTAACGGATATAAACTAAGGCCAAAGTAATGTAATCGTAAGCTTTTTGTCGTGAAAATCACTTAAAAACAATAGAAATGAAACTAGATATTTTAAATTGAATATACGGATTTCAACAACATTTTGTAATATAGTTTTGTAATATTTATATATCGATCGTCCGATACATGAGATACGGCTTTATTTTTGCTTCTTGGAGTTAATTTATGAAAAAATCTTTAGATTGTTATTGTCAATAGTATCGCTTTAGATTTTGACTTAATTAAATTACTGTTGATTAAATATCTGCGAAGCCGAGGGCATAGCCAGTACAGTACATAGGTTCGGGGTTCCGCTAATACGATTTTAAAAATATTTCGGAAATTAAAAATGACAGAATGAAAATAATGATTACATTATTAATTTGAAAAACAAATTAACACTTGTTGTGAATCAACTATATGAATTGACGACAGTTTGTTCGCAGTTATCGACTTCCTATGTGGTAGGTAAATAGCGTATTGTAGCAGTTTTATTATAATTTTCATTATGTATCAAATAAAGAAATATATACGGATATTTTAGTTGTAGTTCTATAGTAATGTACCTGTTTAAAATATCTCATTTTGCGGGGTTTTTTCAGGTCGAAAATATAGCTACATATCTGTTCTTGAAATCGGTTGCTTAGTTTATTTTTTTTTTTTTGTAATATTTGCGACAAAAATGTACAACATAAAAATGTAAAGTTAACGCTTTTTAAACTGACTGTCCCGGTTTTGCACCGATAAATATTTTTTGAGTTTGATCGTTTCGAGCGACGGGAAAATTTCATAGGAATTTATACTGAAGAGTATTTTTCAAAAGACAATAACAATTATTTATTATACGTATTTTTTATTTTTCTAATTACTTTAGGAAGATATATTTGACCCGTCGAGATATTTTATTAATTGAACATTTTTGGCCTTTGTTCTGTATTTAATCATAACCAACGACATTGAAATGTGCGTTATTTGACCGGAATATGATTAAAAGTAAACTTTATGTCAATGACTTAAAGTTTATTTTGAGTACGTCTTAAACAAATCGTAATCGCTATATACCAAGATTCGGGCACTGAAGCTAGCCAAAGCTAATTATAGTAATAAAGTTCAAAGGGTTAATAAAATATGTAAACAATACTATGAGTGTCACGCAAATTTTCGACATCTAGTATAAATAGCTAAATTTTGTAATACAAGTTTAATAGTATTCTTGTATGTTTATTATTATTTTTTGTTTACGTACAGAAAGCATGTCCAACGGCATCGATTCTGCTAAGGGGTCTTAGCGCTGAACAGACTAATCTCAAGAGTGTTTTGCAAGAGAAGATCCCCAGAGAACAAGAGAAGATTAAGGAGTTTCGTAAAAAACATGGAGGTACCAAAGTCGGAGAGGTCACCGTTGACATGGTAAGTCCATTTGTTGGGTGTGCCCAAATCGAAATAATTATTCATAGAATAATTTTGTTTTAACAAACAAATTAATCATTAGAGTGTTTTCTTTATGAATTCATCATCTTATTGACAGTTGTATTTAAAGAGGGTTCTTTTTCTTGATTCATATTTTTTTTTTATTTGCAATAACGTGCGCCATGTTTTATATTCCACCTATTCTTTTTTTAACTTTGCCAACGCTACCGCGTGCATTCAACATGGGTCATTGAACCTCTGGAATGTTATGTATCTGCTACGGATCATCACCAATTGTTTTTAAGTTTAATATCTATATCATGTATATTATATTAAGTTTGAAATAATTTTGTTTCTCAACGTGTTTTGCGACATGATTTTTATTTAATATCCATATATTTTTATATATAAGTACTCGTAACTTTCTGTAACAATTGTAATTAATTAAGCAATGTATCAGTAGGTATACTGATAAAAAGGTTGTATATTTGTTAATATATTATTGCATGTCTAATTACATATTTCCTTCTACTATTTTTGAATATAGGAGTATTTGATTAAAACAACTTCATTCGCAGTAAAAAAAGTAATTAATGAGATAAGTGCAAGAGTAAAATCGGAATAACCAATAATAAATAAAATAAATAAAAAATAATAATAAGGAAATAATTAATAAATAATAGTAGAAAGATAAATGTCTTTCTATTGCATCTTTAATGTATAGTTGGAACTGAATGAAATTTGACAATATTATGGGGTCAAAAACAATTGAGAATTGGAAATATTACTATTTCCTTAGCTTAGCTTATTACCCTTTAAAGTATCTTGAAACGATGAAATTAAAACGAATATTAAACGATTTATTGTTTGCTGTTAGATGTACGGCGGTATGCGAGGCATCAAAGGCCTGGTATGGGAAACCTCTGTGCTAGATCCAGACGAAGGTATCCGGTTCCGTGGGCTCTCCATTCCTGAATGCCAACAACAATTGCCTAAAGCTAAGGGAGGGGAGGAACCCCTTCCTGAGGGTCTGTTCTGGCTCCTTGTCACAGGAGAAATACCCACCGAAGCCCAAGTTCAAGCTATTTCTAAAGAATGGGCTCAAAGGTAAGTTGAAACTGTCAAACATATTTAGCAGTAAAATATAATGAATGCCCTTAATCATAAAAACCTTTCGTAGCTATTGAGGGTTGTGTCTTTTTATTTTCAGTTAATATTATTAAGAGAAAGTAATAAAACACATCAATTATAAGTTTGTATAGTTCGTTTTTATGAATAAGGGAATAAATGGATGAAGTTAAGTAGTAACTATCGTTATGTAAATATTTTATGTGAAGTTTTAATAATAAATTAATCGAAGTCTTCTCGACCTTCGTACGAGAATTTTTTAATGGATGAGGATAGTAATCCCGCCTACGCTAAGGTCAGCGTATAGCTTGGTGGTGCACCAGTGAGGTGAGGTGATAAGTGAGAATAAAAGGGAAGGTCAAATAGCCCATAGTGATGAATACACCTGGAATTCAGCACGATAGTTTCCAGGGGGACCACAGGGAGGTCGACCTGATAGAGTATTATGTTAACAATGTGAAAGGTAGTCCGCATTACTAACAATTCCCCCTCTAGTACGAGGATTTGGGTAATATAAAGAAATTTTTTGACTATAGTCGAAGATGGCGCTTTAGTAGTCAGAGGCTCTATCTATCTTGGCTATATATTGGTTATCTAGTTACCCATATTTGAATTCAAATGGCAGGAGTCTCGCCATTTTAAAGGTTTAATTTGGATTTAAAATGAACCAATTTTACTATCACCGGATAGTTAATCGTCATAAGAGATTGAATTAATGCGGTTTTTATGCTGCTCATATTTAAATTTATGAATATTTAAACTTTATGTGTTGCGGTCATAGGTCAATTAATAAATGAGGAAACAAAATGTATAGGAAATTTTCATTAACTGAATTTTAATTTGCTACTTCTTTAAAATTTGCATCATATATCTGAACCAACATTGCGTTCAACAATAGGTGCATCAATGAATGCTGTTAGAATTATAAAAAAAATAAAATTTTTAATTTCTTTTTGTGAGTAAATCGTTATCGTTATCAAAGTTTAGAATTTTGAGTTACGTGGAATCACCAAGAACTTTACCTAAAGTGGAAAATAACCAAGTGAAGATAAGGTGACATTATTGCCACATATAGATAACATTGTATTGTTTTAGAATTGCAATTCTTATTTCTGAAAACTTGTAACGGTCTTCACTGTAATCTATTTTTATGCTAGAAAAGTTAAGAAATCAATGGCAGCATTGTTTTTTCATAATAGGTTTTTTAACGCAAGATAAAGAATGAAAGAATTATAGACATATTGCACAATAAAAACTTTTTTATTTTTGTTATTTGCTCGTTTTATGCGCTATTTGGATAAAAATATAAAAGCTACCAAGATTGTTTATTAAATTTGACGAGTATACAAAAATACATTATATATATATACAGATATTGCCATTGGCTAATTTAGCTGAATTGTCTCTTTTGGGCTTACTATTGTGAGCATATTATTAAATAGAAATTATATAACAAAATCCTTACACTGTGCCATAAGCTGACTAGTAGATATGCATGTAATCGAAATTATTTAGTCGTTTGTTGTTATTAATTATTAATGTAATGTAAATTTGGCTACGCAGGGCTGAGTTACCAGCGCATGTAGTAACCATGTTGAACAATATGCCAAGCAAATTACACCCCATGTCTCAATTCTCTGCTGCCGTCACTGCCTTAAATAGCGAATCCACATTCGCAAAGGCCTATTCCGAAGGAGTCCACAAATCTAAATATTGGGAGGTAAGAGTCTTCATATATTTTGTTTTTATTATTATTACTTTACCCCTGTGTGCAGATCAAGCACAAAATAAATTATTCTGAACGTTCAATAGTGTAGATATAAACTTTCTATGACCTAATATACTATATCGACTGTACAGTTATTCTTCGCCATTGATGGATCATGGTCTGTCGATATAATCAGGATCCAGAGTTTGATATTTGTACGATTCTTGATGAAACTAAACTTTATTTTTAGCTAAATTGTATCGATTATCGTGTCCATCGAGTGATGAACAATTGCAAGAATATTTTATTATTTACGAACACAAGCAATCATTTAAAGATCGATAACGGTCGCTCGTGTTAGTAGTCCCTGTACTTCCTGACCTTTGGTATCAAAACAGGATATGATTTTTAAACATTTGTTTTTGTTATCAGTACGTTTACGAAGACTCCATGAACTTAATCGCAAAGCTGCCAGTAATCGCAGCTACCATCTACCGCAACACCTACCGCGACGGCAAGGGAATTGGCGCAATTGACGACAACAAGGATTGGTCTGCCAACTACTGCACTATGCTGGGTTTCGATGATCCCAAGTTCACCGAACTTATGCGCCTCTACCTCACGATTCACAGGTATTAACTTTGCCCTTTCAATTATTCAAATTAAGCGAAATAATCACCAACTACTCTACATGTAGTTATCATTACAGTGACCGCACCGCAGCAAAATACTCAAATAAGTACCGATATATTTAGGTATTGTTTAGATGTTTAGCCTACTAGTATATTTATCATCTCTTGAGTAAATTTCCAAAATTCCTTTATCAATTGGTGGAAAAATTCAAGTTTGTAGACTTTATGGTTCTGATAAGATTTCTCTAATTAGACTGAGCATTATTTCGCTTTTATATATATAAAGTTTCAATTGTTATTCAGTAAATCATGAGACAAAAATAGTTATACACAATTTACGTGTTACCGAGTATTTAATTATTGCCGAGTATTGTAATATGATTTACATATATGTATACTTATTTGAAGTTTCTTTCCTCTGTTATTATGTTGTGTAGCAAGTAGTTATTGTCTACCATAATTGTTTTTTTCCCATTTGCTTTACATACTGTACACACAGCGAATGATATACAATATGAGCGTTAAATTTGCAGTATGCGAATTTTGCATGCGACTGCCTTATCTCTTTTAGTACACCATTTACTTACACAATTGATCGTGCATGTGGTGTCAAGAGCGTATCAAATGAATGTCAGCAGATACCGTCGATGAGAGCTACTTTAGCCGTGCAGACAGTACATCCGTTCATTTTAGAAAGACTGTTTACATAACATTAAGTTTCCATTATACACTTGTTGACATTATAACGAAAGAATGCTCTACAATGCCCGTCTATTAGTTTTCTCAGTTTTTGTAAAATTTTAAGCTTTTGTTTCATTACATCATTGAAAATATTCTAAATATTACGTAAGCATCTTTGAAATACATTATTTGTTTGCAATTTGTTTAGCGGAATAATGTGTTAATTTTTTAAAGAAGTCTGTAGTCATTGTCATATTTTTTTATGTCAATAACAGATTTTTTTGAATAGTTGAGTACATTAGTATTCAGTTCATTGATCTAAATCACAAGAATGGCCTTAATTTGAAACCCGGCCACCTTAAAAATATCGAATCGATACCGATAGCTAATCACCATTACCCATTAATATAATTTACATGTCCCAGTTTATTTAAATACTAGTAAATACGCGTACATGTATTAATTTATTATACAAATTATAAAAACTTAGGTGTCGTACAATTCATAAGAATGTTTAATAAGAATAATGCTGTTGGACATTGAGAAGTTATTAATTTAATAAAATTGCAAATACTAATTTTAGTGATACTGCTAATTAATATTACATGCTACGCGATGATGTTATGATATCAATCATTATCATTCATTTTAATTTTTTTATCAATTTACGCATACTAAAAGCTAATAAACTGACAGTGTAAGACCCTGAAGAAGATGGCTGACCGGAGAAAAATGTATTACTAAAAATAGATACTTGCATTTGACTTGGCACATTTCTCTTCGTGTCTGTATACACATGTGCATGCACGACTTTATGACGAAGTAGTATATTTTTTACTCTGAACAGATTTATTGCGATCCCAATTTCTTATAAAATATTAGAACATGTTAAATTTATAATAAAACGATTTATTTATGGATAGTTTTCTGACTTGGCTCAATTTTTACATAACAATAATTTCAGATAGCGATTATAGGTTTGAAGATTGGACTTTAGAGCCCAATTTTCAACTCTCTCAACTATAGAACATATGTATAAATATTTTAAGTTGCATCTGTGTTCCTATTATCTAAATTACAGCAACTCGATCTTGATATAGGATTATGATTAATATTTAGATAGATTTATATACCTGATACGTTTGATTTTTGTTATAAAACCGTTTTATGTGATAACAAAATTTACCCACGTAATTTGATATTATGTTATATATGTATTACACAGTACTGTAATAAGATAACTTTCAATGTCACAATGTTTACGTTTCCGCCTCGTTTAGTTACATTTTGTATTTAAATACGCTAGCGGTATTTATTTTTAATTTTATTTACTAATAATTATTGTTTATTGTTTATTTGACGACTGAACTCAACAATTAATAGTATTTCATCAGATCGTGATTATCGCAAACCTATACAGATGCATTGTACGTATAAGGAAAAATCTAAGGATGAAAGAATTTATTTGAAATAGAATTATGACAAAAATATATTACTTTGTCGTTTTTTAGTTATTTATCATACTGATTTATAACGACAACGCAATAACGCTCCATTACTAGCCATGGCTCTTCATATAAGAGGAAATATATCCTTTTAGATAGGCTACAACCTACTATTATCACTATGGCAGTTTTGTTAAGGACAACAATTTATTTATAGTATTTAATATTTGTTTGCGAATTAGCTTATTACAGCTGTTTACTTGTATTGTGCTCTCAGCGACATCGTATATACAAACTAAGCGTATAGTTATGCGAAATTTCTATTTATATAACTTATAGATGTACTTTGAACTTATTATTTTAAATTAAAGTTTTAACTGATAGAGAAAACTGCTAGTGTTAAAACCCCTATATTTATATGACCCATAAAATGAAAATAAATAATAGCTAAGCGTATATTTTACTACAAATGTATCTAAATAACTGCTATAACAATACTGTCCGTATTTTGTTTAGTGACCACGAGGGCGGCAATGTATCGGCTCACACGACGCATTTGGTGGGCTCAGCTCTCAGCGATCCCTACCTTTCCTTTGCCGCAGGTCTGAACGGCCTTGCTGGACCCCTGCACGGCCTGGCCAACCAGGAGGTAAGTGAAAATCGCTACTCTTTACTAATATTGTTCAGAAATTGTGAACCGTTTTAAGTAAATGCATTAAATTTTTAAGTATAGATATTTAAATTTCCCCCTGCAGGGCTTGGCTAACCAGGTAGTAAATGAAAAATTAACGCTACTCTTTGCTAATGTTATTTGGAAACTCAGAAACTTTTTAAATAAATGCATAAAATTTTAAGTATATATTTAAATTGCATTTAAAGTTTTTAATTTAAAATATAACGCTATTAAATAATTCAGACGTAATATTACTCTTTACAAACTATTATTAAATTATGATACGGATATCTTGCAGACGTAGATAATGGCGCACTATCAAAGTATTATAATTAATGTGAACATCAATTTCCAATAATAAAATTATCAATAGCAATTAACAATTCATTATTGCTAGAATTTTTCCGTAATACTAATTATCGACTTTGCTACATAATCCTTTTATGTAATACAGAAATGTTATATAATTTTAGACATAAAAAAATTGGTCGATTTCAATACTTCCATACTATGTAGTACTTTTTTAAAAAAAAAAAATATCTTTTCTAAAGAACTTAACTATTAGTTGTCACTTAATGTGTCTAATTTATTCTATTAAACGATTGGCCGATTGGCCTATGAATTCTCATGCAAAGAACTGGGGCCACTAATCAATATCCAAGTATTAACGTAATCGAATGTTAATTGGTGCATTATACCTTAATTTTATACATTTGGCGTTTCTACTATTTTGGAACTATTGAATTATAGAGTTAGATTATTATTAATACTCTAGACCCGGAAACATCTGTATATTTTATTAATTCTTCTAGATAGATAAGGCTTTTTTAGTTTTTTTTTTTAGTGTGGACAAGCAATGCTTGCTTAATGCAATAATTAAATCCTCAGAAGTAAGGAAGTCGTCCAAATAAAATTTTGAGTTTTCTACAAATATGGTGGTGTATTAATTATAATAATTATTCACTGACATGTTTATTTTGCTTGATATTTGTGCTGAAACAAATTGAAATCGATATTACAGGAAAGAATAATTTTTATGGTCGAATACTATAGCGCTATTCGTTTTGACTACATAAGGTAAAGTTTAATATTACTACGTGAAAGAGGAATTATTTCACTACAATAATACCTTATGAAATAAAGTTAACAAATAAACGTGATAAGAATTCTTGCCTAAGAGGCATCTATGTATGTGACGTAACGTATCATGTATATAGTTATATAACTTTAATATTTTTTTAGGTACTCGTCTGGTTGGAAAAGTTACGCAAACAGGTTGGTGATAACTTCACGGAAGATCAATTGAAGGAATTTATCTGGAAGACTCTGAAATCTGGTCAAGTCGTTCCCGGATATGGACACGCTGTGCTCAGAAAGACTGACCCCAGGTACAATATATCTTGGAAAATATTTGGAAATACATGGCATTTAAAGTTAAACATAATAACATTATTTCATGAGAATTCTTCATTCTATTATATTTAATTAGTTATAGTTATGGTTTTAAATTCAGACATTGGCTAATAATTTTTTAGTAGTTATATAAAAACGTGATTTAAATTTTTTTTTAATATGATAATAACTACGATAGGTAAAATATCTCGGATAAATTATTATATTAAAATACTAATCAAAGCGAGGTACGTTACGCTTGTGTAGTGTATTTAATTAAACGAATTAATGAAAAATTTTATTATTCTACTTAAAGAATAATACAGATTACGTAAATTAACAATATGTGCACAAAAAATAAATATATGTAGAAAAATAAATATATTAAATAAGGATATGGAGCATAATTTTTCACTTGATTCTATCTCAGAAGTCAGAGGTATGTCAATACCTCTGACAACTTACTTGTTTACACATATTTTCATTAACTACTAACTACTTTATAGTTTAATATTTCCTGAGGAAATAAATATAATTATAATTTCACAGATATACCTGCCAACGGGAGTTCGCTCTCAAGCATCTGCCAAACGACCCGCTGTTCAAGTTGGTCGCAGCTGTGTACAAAGTAGTGCCTCCGATCCTAACTGAGTTAGGCAAAGTTAAGAACCCATGGCCAAATGTGGACTCCCACTCTGGTGTCCTATTACAGGTATGTTATTATTATTACATCACATGTTATTGTCATATTTGAGTCTGTCAAATACTAAAAAAGTAAGCATCAGGGGTACAATATTTATATGTTTGGTAATAGTTAGTGTAACCTCTATATTTTAGAAATAACTACCTAAATATTAACTCGCATATGACACAATTTTATTTGTTATATTTTTTGTATAGGGCATTGTATTATATGATACTAGAAATGTGCAGAGTTGACTTTTTTGGTATTTTGAAGCTGAGGATTCTTACAAGTACTCGATTATGGGTATTCAAATACTTTATCGGACTCAGTACTTTTACAGTTGATTTCTGAAATTTCATTTTATGAAGATAATAATGTTTATGTATTATATGTGCATTCGCATATGTATTGTGTATTGCCTTAATGTGTTACTATAATTGTCATATACTTTTCACCACATCTGCCTTTCATACGCGTTCTGTTTTTACCTAATGGTTAGCTAGTAGAGAATGCCATAGAGCATTAAGCTCGCCATTTGTACAAAGTTTTATTGTGGAATAAATAAATAAATAATAAGTACTCAGTAATTTAAAAATTTATTTCTTACTCTGTCACCCAAAAACTACGGAACAGATTTGAATGAATTTTGGTACATAGATAGGTTATTTGTTAAACATTATACTTACCGCTAAAAAGTCATACACAATGTATTCTCAGATATGACTTTGCAAATAGCTGAAAGCTTCACTCATATCTTGAGGTGGACAAAGTTGTCAGACTATAGAAAAAGTCTCCATGTTCCATTAGAAGTGCTGACAGTTTATCAATTACAGAAGTATAAAATGTAGCAGTATAATTAGCGTAAAACTTGTTAGACCTCTACTAATATTAAAAATATTAAAGTAAGTTTGTTTGATACATCCTAGCGCCGTGACAACTTTGATAATCACATATTATATGAGATGGAGATGGACATAGGTTTCATTTTATTCTGATCAGTGAATAATCTAATCAGTGATAAAAGTTTGAATGTTTCTTTAATTATGTCTGTGTATTTTTTGTACAGTATTACGGTCTGAAGGAGATGAACTATTACACGGTGATGTTCGGCGTGTCGCGCGCGCTCGGAGTGCTCGCCCAGCTCATCTGGTCTCGCGCGCTCGGCCTCCCCATCGAGCGACCCAAGTCGCTCAGTACCGAGCTCCTCATAAAACAGGTCGGCAAGTAACCGCCTATAATGTAGCAACAATTCGTTAGGCTCCGAGTTTGGTGACGTGTAGTGCCCTCGACTGATTTGATACAGTTCGATTCACACAATACACAAATAGTCAATTTTATTTAATTTTATATTTAAAATAAAATATATTGTAAGCGTAAATTTTGATGTAACGAAATGGAATTTTTATAAAATGTTATACCGTTTCAGTAGTCGTAAGCGTAATATTGCTTTGTATTATGTTTAAATATTACTATCATCTTTATTGTACTTCTTAATAATTATGTACTTATTCCTATGTGATAATATTATGTATATTTTGTAAATTTTGTACTATATTTAATTGGATTGTAATTTTTTTTATGTAAATCTTTAAATTATATAAATTGACTAGTGTAGTAGTGTGATTCAACTGGTTCCGTATCTTCTGTCGTATGTAAACGAACTAACAGTGATATGAATTATTGGGTCATTAGATCACTATTGTTGTAGGGTATTTAGATATAGTTAAATAGAATACTGTATGCAGTGCATTACCTTAGAAAATATTACAGAAAAAATTTGCAAGGGACCCATTATTCATAAATACGTTCATTTTACTTTATGTGGAATAATAATTGTAACAATAAATAGACCCAGTTGCGAATGTATGGTCTATATTAGGTACTTAGAGAGGTGTGATTTGTTTTCTTTAGAAAACAAATTTATATCTTACTTCGCTATACTTTCCTTAGCAGCTCTTCTTTCTCATTTCTGTTATTTAATTGTCTTGAATCATGTTTAGCTATACTGTAATGTAATTATTTGTTACCAAAGTATTTATATATTATGTTGTATATAAAGATACAAAATCATTATTTTTAATTAATGAATGAGTCGCTGTATTGATAGCCATATCATTTTCAGTTTTAAAATTGTGAAAATATTCTATTGCAAATTATGATTTCGATCAGTAATTCAGTTTTTTTTGATGTGGCTATTATGGTATTATTATCATTAATCTTAATTCACTTGTTGTCATTGATATTTATTGCAACATTTCATAGTAGTTTGACAGTATGTGTGAATTTGCTGTGGTGTGGACATTGGTTTAACAAGTGATGGTGCCTCGTCTTCAATCGGCGCGATTCAATAATTCAATTCGACAATACTAAAAATAAATTGGTATGGTGTATAGTTTGCTTTTATTTTAAAATGCCCTTTATTGCGATAACGATAAAATAGTTACCCTATATCTCCGGATTATAGCGATAGACATACTGCATCGAGTACGTCGATTTAATTGCTTTCATGTTATACAAGCACAAACTTCAGTCGTAGCGATTATAGTAGATAGATATTGTTTATAGATTAAGATAATTCGAGACAATTCAATGGAAGTTCAATGCAAAACGACATACAAAAACACAATTAATAAATTTTCATGTCAGCCGCGCAGTGCGACAGGGTAAATGGGAAGTTTACCCTCTCGCATCACTTCCCTTGCTAATGCAGTATTGATAGATTAGCGACGAGGCAAGCTTTGCAAAGCACGATCAGTATCGAAACACTCGCAAAATCGCTGACACAATAAATAACGATTTTGGTCAACAAAAAACAATTTCCATTTTTAATGAAATTAGAATGAGACTATGTTGAAAAGGCTACGAATCTTAAGTCAGTAAATCTATTTAAGTATATAGGTATGTTGTAATGAAATTGTGTTGTGTAGTTAGAAAATTGTAGTGTAGTCTTTGGCGGTAATTAGTTCACTACATACAACAACAACTTACTCTACGTTTTACGTGAAATTCACTGCATTATATTTTTTTGCAGATAGAAATAGACGCAGAAAGAAGTATGTATGAAAGTGAAAAGAAGCAATGAGTCACAATATTAATTTGTAAATAAAAAGATAACACATCAATATATTCCATTTTATTATAAAAGTTTATGTTTTGATTAGACGTCAATTTCGAAAAAAATAAAGGATATTACCACTCTTAAATAGCGATTAATATTCTACTAATGAAAGTTTGTAAAGATGTTTCTATATTTGTTACTCAATAATACTTAAACGGCTGAACAGATTTGAATGAAATTTATGACTCGGATGGGATATCCTTACACATTTTATATAGTGATTTACGTAGGCTGGCAAGGCTACTGGAAACAGTGGTATTATAAATGTGAAAGTTTGTAAAGGGAGATGTTTATTACTCAATCATACATAATGGCTGACTGGATTTTAGTACACGAGTAGGTTGTCGCATAATTTAACACATATGGTACGATTAGTACTTAATAATAATTATACTGGAAGTTGTATGTTAGTCTCATCATCATAGGTTCTCAACAGGGTCGAATTCGCACTCCCTTGGGCGCTGTTGTTTTCCATATCCAGATAATAAAATCCAGTATGTTTGTTCCATATGACTTCCATGGCGGTCTCAGAAACAATTATGGGCCTTAAAATATTTTTATAAAATAAACACGATTGTATGAAAATATTGAATTAAAAGCGTTCCATGATAGCCTTTATAGAAGGTTGTGATAACTCTAAGAAGACAAAAGTCTAAAGGTACAGTGCAATGTTGAGATCATTAGCAGTAATTATTTCATAGGCTACTTTGTGTCAAGATCAATGCATTTAAGTTTCTAGTCCAATGTTCAATGGCCTAAGTTCGTTTACGTTTTTCCATTTGTATGAATTTATGTTCACTTATATAGATATTACAATATCTGTGACGTGTTCTAGTGTAGTTACATGTTATCATCATATCATTGGCGCACGGTCATGACAGTGAAGCGTATCATAAAGATAACGTTAGGGATTAGTAAGAAATGCTATTACACCTACACGAATCAATACCTCGAAATGTTTTTTTCTTTCATCGAGGTGCAAACAGTAAGAACAATTTTTACTTCACTGAAATATCGAGGATTGTATAGACTGGCATAATACTAGCTGTTACATAGAATAACTGATCGTCGTGGCCTAATGTTTTTAAATGTGATTTCATATCTGACCAACATAAAGAAAAAATTTTCGTGTCACAATGTTCCTTCACATTATTTCCAAAACAGCTCAACCGATTTTAATGAAATTTTGTAAATGTGCTCAAAGTTAAAATATTTTTTATCCTAATAAGAAAAAAAAAAACATGGATGCAGTAAAGGGTAAAATTTGGTCTGTTTAGTCAGTACACCTGTAATAATTTTCCAGTGGTGATAAGCATCGTAGCTCCTGTCCCGTTGTGATGGCAAATCTGCTCGGTAGAATGTAGGCAGTAACCCGAGCACATATTCATCACAATAGTGATTACTATACCGGAAGTTATTTATTTATTTGTAATAAAATATCTATATATAGAAATAGTTTTTTTCTGACTCTATCTGCATATATTTTTTGGAATTACAATAACGAGAATAACTAAAAATATTATTTACTGGTACAGGGGGTTATTACTGGTACATTTAAGGTTGCCATTGTGACCGTGTTACGAAATTTGCCTAAATATTATTAAATATCTACTTGCAATAAATGCAGTTGATATGTTCAGCAGTGGATTATTATCAGTTGGCGACTGATATAGTATGGCAGGAGTGGCCGACTTGACTAGACTCAAGATTTACTGTTAACTGGCGAAACTTTGTACGATGTACCAATTACATGAACTTTCAAATGAAACAACATAGTTCAGTACACAATTATTGTAGTATTGTAATATTTTTTATTGTATTAAAAGGAAAAAAATAAAATAAAACTGAAAATTATTCTTAGTAACTACTTATTTATATTATTGCATTGCATTTGAACATTTTCCGCTAGATTAGCAAAATATTATGTTTTTTGTCTTGCCACGATCGACTGGACCGGTTGGCCATACCTGTGGTGTGGTATGGTAATACAGTAGCAAGTATGGTTCCCGCCGTCCCGTAGATTCATCAACTTAACAGGTGATGGCTATCAATGCAAAAGGATTTAAATTTTATCACAGTATTACAGTTTTTTCATGATATCCGAATTACATTTGATAAAACAATAATAATAATTAGAGAATATATATACCTACTTTATTAAAATGAAGGCGACACATGGGCTCCTCTTGAGTTGTTAGTATCTAACATTGGGGCCGATTCTATGGTGCCATTTCTCTAAACCTTATGTTTAAATTTAATAATTTCGCGATATTTATGTTTATGAGCCGTAATAAATTAAAATTACAATTATTTTTGATTCAATGAAAGTCTCGCTGTGATATAAAGTTGAAATTTTATTTAGAGATAGGTTTAAATAGTGTTTTAGAATCGACCTCAATAGAAAATAGACTCTGAAGATCTCTTTCTCAGGAAAGTAAAATCTATCAACAAAAAAAGTTGTGTCTATCGTCTGTGGCGATTGCTACAGGTTTCATATTAGGTGAGTTGCATGCTTGTTTCCCACTTTTCCACATAAAAAATAATAAACTAATGGGCTTAAGTACATTATACAAGATGAATTTCTGCCTATTCGTAAAGACCTGGCGCCTGTTATAGTACACATTCGAGTAAATTATAAGAGCGTCCGTCTTAGTAGTTAACTATCTGTAAAAAAACATTTTTTTTTTACAAATCATATCTAAATTTATCAATCACGCAGTTGGTGACAAGCCAACTATAGGTCGAAATATCTCAGATACGATATCACAGCGTATCACATGATCGTGTACCCTTCATTTTGCGTCCAAATTAGCGACAATTTTACACGCCGGAGCCAGGCGAATATACGGAACGCTTAAATGCGTGTGTGAATCTATCATTGTAACAACATAATATATGCGTCACACAAATGCGGTGATGATTGCAGTCTTTTTTTTTAACAAAGGAATGTTTTACTATGACATTGAAATAAGGTGGAAATACGATAATACCTACTGCAACCGAAGTCATTTGATCAATTTATTTATTTATTTTAAGTACTAAATTACGTACATGCATATACGTACATACACAATATCCATTATAAATATAATCATCATATAAGCCATTATTTGTCCACTGCTGAACATCGGCCTCCCCATAGAATGTCATAATAAACGGGGCCATTCCTTATGAGTTTTGTGGGGGATTTGTCAACAGACAGGCCGCCCTTGGCAGGCGGGTTGGTAACTGTAGTTTGTCTTTTGATGTTTTATGGTAAGAGGGACGCTGTTACCAGTCCCTCGACCATTAAATTTCCTTAGTTGCCTCTTACGCCACACACGAGAAAGGAGGTGATGACCCATTCTATGTCGGGAATACACGGCATTTATATACATACCTATATGTTATTAAAATTGTGTTTTTAAGAATGACAATGCAATGGTAACCCTGCCCGCACTATCTAGTATAAGTGCGGCTTTAAAGAATCCATCAAAAAATTAATCATGATGGCTTTTAGAGAGAAACGATTGTAGCTGGTCGCTACCTCGGATACATTCCTCTATAGGTACCATACACTTAGTATAATGTACTATTAGGTATCAAGCATTCATAGCGTCTATTATTTTGAGACTTGAACGTAGGTAGAATAGTGATATGGAGTGATTTTAATTATTTAGAGGTAAAGGTTTGGTAATAAAAAAAATTAAGATACTGTCTATACATAAACTGGGCTTTCAGCTCATACGTTTGGTTCAAACTGGCTCTTATGTTGGTAATAATGTACTTTTTAGCTAAACGCTTAACTGTTATTACTAAAATTACATACGGGGTCTAGTAATAAAACAGTACAATAAACTAATTATTATTTTATTACTTTACTACGTATCTAATAGATACACATCTGTACTAAAGTAATCGTAATTGGCTCTTTCTATAATTTCTACGTAATGTACAAATTTTGTAATCCTAATTACACGTAATATCTTAAATTAGTTGTAAATTAAGAGTTTAATTTCGCTACTTGGAATGTAAATTTTTCAATTCATTTAAACCACATGACATTACTCTTATTTTTCGTATAATATTTACTATAATACTTATATTGCTATTAAAATCTAATTATCTATTTGCCCTAATGTTATATACGGGGTCGTTCACGCAAATCTCGCGTGCTTTGGACATTGGATTGGTCAAGTTTATTGTGTAACATTGAAATAATTTGGCTCGAGGTACAAAGTCATGTCTATAAAAAATATAGGAAGCATGGAGCATTCAGGTATAATCTGTCTGTATATTTTTAAGGCCTAGATAGATAAGACATTTTATAATTGGAATTTGGGCGTTTTTTATAATTAGAGTTCGATATTCAGTTGTTAGTTAACTATAGAAAACTGGTTTTGTGAATTTTGAAGTCAAATAAGATTTGAGAATCGCTGTCACATTACAATCGCTTGCGATTTACCTACCTACTGGGTAATATGAATATGATACTATTCGACGTTTGGCGAGGAATTAAACTAATAGAATTGACAAATCACATAAATTAGATTTTTTTAGGACTAATATTTTTTTGTACGCTATCGTTACGTCGCTGATATTACACTTACGATGAGTTCTTATTTATAAAAAATCATAAAGCCGGTTAGCCTACACGCGGCGCTATATACTGTAACGTACATACAAATACTCGTAAAACAATGCTTTCTTTTCCTTTGCAGTTTGGTAAAAATAAAGGTCCTGAACTGGTCAATTGAGAATGACCATGAAGAAACTACATTCTCAAAAATTATTTCAATATTTACCAATTGATAGGTACTATATTCATAAATGAAATTCATTGTACTATTTAAATTTTGACTCTATATTCTCAGGCGTATTGGGATATACCTCTTTTTAATATCGTGACATTGAAAAATATTATTATTTTGTAAAATCTAAGACAATAAATAATATACTTTTATGTTCAAAATTAGCATAGACTTATATCTATTATTGACAACTTAAAAAACTTTCTTCAGTCTTGTTTTATTTGGTCACTTGGTGCGACTTCTGGTTCATTTGACATTTGACATTCTGCTGTTTCCAATTTTATCAATTTTGATCTTCCTGGGAGTTTCATCGTCGAATATTCAGGTTCTATGGTAAAAGCTTTATCAGAGCTCTCATCCATTTCAAATTCTTCTAGTATCTCCCCAAAAGATATCATTTTACCACTTGGATGTCTGATTGTGTCAAGACTTTTTTCTATTGGTATTGTATTGGCTATACTTTGACAGCATACTCTCCATTCGTCAACCATAAGAAGATGTTTGCTTAGATCCCAGCCTAAAAACATATTTTTTATAAAAGGAAAATTCCAATGAGCTCAAATTGTTAAGGATGGACATTAAAATTAGGGGGTTATTAAGATTGCAAATGTAGCTTAAGAAGGTTTTTTGGAAAACTTTAAGAAAAAGAAAATGTGTTAAAAATTTGGGATGCAAAATTTTTTATAATTTAGTTATTTGACTAATATAATAAAATTGTAATCAGACGTTTCTACATAGGATATATTTAAGACTAATATAATATATAAATAAGGGGTCTTAATAAAACCAATAAAAACCAAAATAATATTTGTTAGAAATTTTGTTTGTCTGTATGTATTTGTTTCGGTAGCATCAGCAAAAATTACTAAATCAAATTGGGTGCGGTTTTCATAGTTGTGTTTTAACTTATGATTTCACTTAAAATCTAATGGTATGCTTTATCTTGATCCGCACTCTAGAAGCGGCCAATTTTATTAACTTTCCTACTTCTGAAATCCATGCGTACCAAGTGGTGGGCAAAAACCTAGTTATAAATATAAAAATAGATACATAGCTTTACCTTTTACATTAAAGTACTTCTTTAAATAACAGAATGAAATTATTATTTCTTGTTATTGTTGTTAATGTAATTTAAAAAAAGCAATATTTTGTTTTACCGGTATGTGCTAATCCTCTTCTTATTCTGAACCATTCTTTTTGTACTATTTTGTCTACATATATCATAAGATCTTGCGAGGGCTCGTATTGGAATCTACTAAAAGACGAAGAATTTGAATTTTCCGCTGGTTCACGACTCCACTCCGCCGATTGCAATGTGTGACATACTTGTGCGAATGGACGTGGATCTACTGAATTGCGATATATAGACTGAAAGGAAAATAAAATTTTATTAATATGACAGGAATGACTTGGTTAAAAATTAATCATCAATCAATAAACAAAAGAATTTTACATGATTTTAAACAAAAGTTGCAATAGTAGACATTTTGCATATTGGCTTAAAAGATCTTATTTGAAAATAAAACTCGCTAAATATCGATTCGGACTTTCTATATCAATTTTATATTAATAAAAGTTTAAAGGAGTAAAAAATTACAAATGAATTTCTATATGAATAGAAGTGTTTGCATCATCTATCTCTAACTATGCCTGCAGTTGTATAAAATATTCATTGATTTACAATAATTTATTCAAAAACTTACCAATGGATAGTCGTTTATAGCGCATACTATAATAGACAGTAATACGGCATGGAAATAGGAACATAGTATGTCATCAATCACTGCCTCGTCTTTTAATAATACATACATCTTTCGTTTACTAATATTTGGAAGTAATAAGTATTTTTTATCATTATAAACTTCAGTGATTTTTCGCAAGTATGCAGCGCTTGGTTGTTGATTAATTATTTTTTTTATGGAATATCCTAGTTTAATTTGAAATCCACACAGTCTTAAGTCTGCAAATTTATAATACTCAAAATGTAAATAAAATTAAAATAATATTGAATTAATTTTTTTTCTTAAAATCTAATATTTACCTAATAAATTTGGTCCCAACTGATAAAATATTATTGGTTCATTACGATTAATCTCACAAGGATTTGCAATGATTTCTTGTTTTAAATAAATATCTATTACTTGTAAGAATCTAGGCTCGTTTAAAGTCCTCAAACATACAGCTCTCACAGCGAAGTAATTAAAAATTATGTGAAGTATCATCATTAGGATAAAAATTATGATGGAATTCCTGTAAAAGTAGTAAAGTGAATAAAATATTAACATTACATATAAACTTACAATAAGTATGTGGTTTTATAATGCGAAAACATACAAAGCTAAATTATTATTATTTCTTTCTATTTTAAAGAAAGAGAAAGTTATTTTTTTTAACGGGTGATGATGGAATTATAGTCCCCCTTGTGCTATTGGTATACACTGTCGTGGCATCAGAGAATGATGATAGGTGATAAAATGATAAGTCAGTTAGCAATTAGGTAAGAAATATAATAAATAACAATAATAAATTGTAATTACCCAAATAAACTAATGATGAAAAGAGCTGTAATAGAGGCAATTAAATTGACTGCTGTCTCCTGTGCAGAATCTTTCGCAGATACATCAGCCATGTTACCTCTTATGGCATGATGTTGCGTCATGGCTGCTCTTGTCGCTCCGCCTATGTGGAGGTACATCAGGTAATATTAATAAAAAATGCTGTATAATTTGCAGTTATTAAAGGTTGTCTGGAAGAGATTGCTTAGCGATAAGGCCGCCTTTTGTATCACTTCTCATTAATATTTACTGTATTTGTTATTTCTCTTTTTACTTGGTGCAATAAAGTGTAAATAAATAAATAAATAAATTAATAATAAAATCTAGAAAAAAAGACACCAAACAAAAGGAATAAAATTACACAAAAAAGCAGTGTTAAAAATATGAATAGGAAGAAAATAAGTTACAATGTCGACCAATAGAAAAGAAAGGAAAAAAAATGTATTATGGTCATGATGGATTGACGTGTCAATGGCAAACTATTGTTATAGCCCCATATGATACATAGAATTAAGTATTACACATACAGACATATTTGAATCGTGTAGGGATTGGAGTATTATTAATAAATAGATATCCAAATTAATGGAAAATTTATAATTAGATGGTGCATCAAAAACATAAAATTTTACAACTAGGATGAGCACAAAGAAGGGATTTTCTGAAATTTCCTGGGAACGGGAGATGATGAATTGGCAGTGACTGTATTTTTTACTGTAAATAAAAATTGTAACTTTATTTATAACAGCCCAAAAGTAGTTAGGTAAAAAATTTGAAATTAATATACACAAAGTTTATTATTTTTATTAATAGTGACAATATATTATATTATGTAGTTTTATTAATATATCAATGGTTTTAAAATGAAAGCAATGAGATAATAAAATCATCACTGAGGCGCCAATTCCCTAAAACTATCGGTAAACTTCAAATTTTAATTCAAAACAAAATATTTATTTTTAGGACCAATATGAAGCAAATTTCCAATAGAAATAATCCAAAATTATTATAAATTGAGTTTATAATAATCTATAAAACAGTAATTTATTAAATAATTAGGTTAATAAATACGTTAAAAGAAATGGCATCTCAGAATCGACAAAAATATTTGATAATACATTTTGTCCATATTATGTGATAATTCCATTAATATGTAACAACAAGCTAATAAAATATTACAAATAGACAAACACACTTGCATTTATAATATCAATAATAATATTTAATTTTGCTCACCAGCAACACCAACTATGGCCTTCATTACAGTGCTTACACACAAAGCGAATGTTGTATAGTTCTTGAATAATGGCAAAGCAATTTCAATACACATTGCTGCATCATTTAATGTATCTGCATATAATCTCCATTTTTTACTATAAGCATCTAAATATGTTCTGTAAAATAAAATATATATAAAAAATAATAAACATATATAAATCAAAGGAATTGTGATCTAGTGATGATGATTTATAGACCTTGAAGTTTGAATTTAATCAACAGTGATTCAATATTGCAGTTAGGGCCATATTTAAATGTTTAATAATATTGTATTTTTTATGTAAAGCAAATCAAGACTTTATATTGGGCTTCTCTGTCTATATTATACAAACCAAGAGATATTTTATAATAGATACTTCCACTCCTGTTTAATGTTTGAGACTATAAGTGTACTTCTTTATCGTCAAAATGATATGATATATAATAGTACTGTATTTTCATATTGTAACTATATTATAATTAACAATTTTCTACTTATATAATTTTTTATTATAAACTTCACAAGTATATTTTCTTACTAGTGAGAACTGCAATATTTACTAACCCATGGCTAAATGCAAACAAAATTCTTCCTAGGTGTCCACATCCATCTTTTATTACCCAGGTGACAGTAGCTGCTAAAGGTGTGGCACTGGTATCTCCTACTCCGACACCTCGTAGTACTTCTTGAGTAGCTAAGATACCTGGAAATTAGGAAAAAGGAATATTTTGTTGCAAAAAAATATATACAAAATGAGATAAATCATGAAAGTTTAAAAAAGAGATACAGGGATAAACATTACATATATTACTTAGTCATTTGATAGTATAATAAAAAATGCATGTGTAAATATCAATCATTGCCATTGGTACTTAGTTCTCTCCATATTGGTATTTGTATCAGAGTAAGTAAATTCAGAGGTAAGCCTTTATAAATACTACATCTGAGTTTGTATAAAATCTTATTTACACATATCATATATTAATATAAGTAGTAAGATGCTGATGACGATTGTTTTTGTCTACCTGTAATAGTACTGCAGAAAGCCTGAGCAGTGTCCCAAACTTGGTAGGATATGTAATCCTTGCTAACACTACCAGGATAGCCCTGCGGCAGGAAAACTCTTGTGAACCAGCCGAGCACATCACTCAATTTTTCATCATCCACTATTACAATATTTCCTTGCTCTGCAATGTATGTTATAATAATAAGTAATACATTTGATTAGTTTTATATTTTTTAATTACTTAACAATTACATGTATACTAAGCAATTGGTAATTTAATATTACAGAATCTCTATATATTACACAGTTTAAAATAGGAATATTACTGATACTTCGGGAACTATACAACATTTGCTTTGTTTGTATACTCAGAAATAGATTTAGTTAAAGTTGAACAGGTCAGTGGATACCCTTAGTGGCAGTTGTTAGAGTTGTGGTGTATGGTTAGGGGCACTATAGAAAAGAATTATAATAAAAAAAAATTGTTTTACTAACAAATTGGGATAAAAATTTTGATGAATTTTTCAATGTCGCAATAATGCCATTTTTATGAGCCCATCAGGGTCCCTTGAGGGGATTAATTTTTGTCATATGAATTTTTTCTTGCATAGACCGAAATGTTTGTGTCCCTATAACTCAGAAATAGTCCATTTCTGTTGGATTCCATTTAATATCATTGTCACATGAAAAAATGTCATATGACCAAAGCAAAATTTTTCTAAGTTTCTAGTCTATAGCGTCCCTAAGTATATACTCTAACCATCGAATGGACAAATAAGACACCGGTTTCGTGGCAGTAGGAGGAAAAGACATTGTTTAGAGTGTTAGCTATTATTAGCATAGCTTATTGTTAAAAAGGGCTATTATTTATACTTTAAATTAGTTTGTAAGGCTAAAAAAATATTAAATTAAATCTTTTTCGAGAAAATAAGCAATCTTGCGGACAGACATCTGCTTACCTGGTGGCTTTACATAGAAACGTTCCTTTGAGGTAGAGCCGTATTTTTCTTTCAGTAATATTTCTCCTTCATGTATGATATACATAATAAGAGTTAAAATAACAACTTTTTTATTTTAAAATAATTTTGATGAGAACAATGTAGAAGATGAGATCAAAGTAGGTTAAATTATAAAACTATATTATGGAAATAAGAACTGTTTACTGACAAAATAAGTGAAAAGTAAATTCGATATTTCATTTCAGAAAAAAATGCTTCACTCACAAATTCATAAAATGTGAATTTATCTGGTAATTTTTTTAATGTTTTACTTAGTTGGTATAATTTATAATACTAAAATATTCAAAAAGCAAGCAATAGCAATTAAGTATTATTTATATGAGGTTGTCACTGTCACTTGATTTTGGGCACTTGACAATGTATTGGTAGTGACACTTGCTACTTGATCTATAGATGTTCAATTCGATTAATTGTAGTTAGCATCAAATATTTCGGAATAGAATAAAAAATCTTGTTCTTGTATAAATAACAGGTAAATAAATTGTTCTAGTTAATAATAAAAAGACGGAGCAACCATTACTGTATTTAATTATATATTAGAGAGATATTTATGATCGTGTATGGAGACATTTTGTCTATGATCTTGACCAAAGTTTAAAGTTTAGTGGTTAGTAAATATGTTTACCGAAACTTACTTCGAAACGAAGTAGGTATATTCAAAAAGTCTATGGCTGAGTGTTTTTGTTTTCTCATTATTTTCTCTTTCTTTGAAATTTATTATTTTAAAATTTACCAATAAAACAAAGAGTCATATTTATACGGTAAATCGCTATGTAAAATCAGTAGGTTAGTACTTGGTAGTAAATCAATATGTGAGGATATTCATGCGAAATGGCTGTGAATCCGAACTTGATTAAGGAAGATAACAGCAATAATTCCAGTGTCAAACTTGAAGAGGATCTTGATGAACTTCAAATATCTACAGTCAATGATAATGATATTGATGATGGTGCATTAGACAAACGAGTGAGTTCAAAGACTACTGAACTAGCCAAGTTTTCTGCAGTAGGGCAGCGTTCCTATGCACCTGTTTTTGGTAGTGTCGCAGTGTCTAACTCTGAAAATGTTCAGTTTGGTGACACTACACATTTTCATGGTCCTGTAACTATCATCCATAACAACAATGGTGTCGAAAATGTGTCATATATGCACTCAGAAGACGAGAATCTGCCTGAACGAGAAAAATATTCAACAACAACGAAATGTGATGAATCCGGTATGTTGTAATTTTTTTTAAGCAGCTTTTATATATTATAGTGATTCTATATGAAATTATTGTTTATGCTTCTTATTTCAAATGAATTAGACTTTGAATGGTGAATATATCACACACAGATTAATAAAAAATAAAATAGTACTTATGGTGGAATCCCTGCAGAACATTATGATCCTTCATGGATAGTTGTATGAGGTAGCTCCAAGTTGTTCAGTATGCTACGGAGAGGGTTATGTTCAGAGTTTTATTATGTGTAAAAATTCCAAAGGAAAATATCTGCTGCAGGACCAAAGTGACCAACATAGATTAAGGATAAACAAGTTGTAACAGCTTTATTATTTGATCAAAGAACTAACTGATGGCAAATGCAGATGAATGTAGTATAGGATTAAATAGAGTGATAACCTCAAATATGCTGCAGAAAGGCAATGGTTTTAGCTGGAAGATCATTTTGTATGGTAGTCCATGAAGAAGGTTTATGTCCAGCCGTGGATAATTAACAGCAAGAATGATGATAATGATAACTTAGAATGTAAACTTTGTTTTGTTTCAGTTGTCAAAAAGTTTTATGTTCACTCCTGGGTGAAGGTTGTAGTCTCTGCAGTATGTGTCATTCTAATAGCAGTTACATGTGCTTTAGCTCTATTAGTACAAGGTAACAAAAATAGTTCAAATGAAACTGTATCCGATATGGAAGCGGACACACCATGTAAGTATAATTTTATTAAAACACAAGAATTTTCATACAAGTAGTTTTTTTTTTATTAGGTATTTAATTTACCTTTTTTAACTTCCACCCTAATCTAATTATTCTCTGTATAAAACTGTTGAGAAATTTGAGTTGTTTACAGTACACATAACTATTACTATAGCTAATAATAATAGTAATATATTAGTAAATAACAATAATCCATACAAAATTAAAGAAAGTAAATAACAATAATCCATACAAAATTAAAGAAAGTAAATAACAATAATATAATTTTATAATGCAGCGTCATTATAATATCTATGCCTGTAATAATATTTAATCACCAATTCTTTGATAATATTGAAGCTTTTTAGGCCATTTTTAACAGAGTTAAAGATTTTTGTATTTTATATTTTTTATTAACCTGGTATTTTATACAATATCTAGGTATATAATAGGTATCTATGTGTATATATATATATATATATATATATATATATATATATATATATATAGACCAGAAAGGATTTCTGTTGATTATTGATAATCAACACTATGAAATAATAAAAGATAGAAGAAAAAATGCAAAAACAATATATTTGGGCTTTTTAAAATAAATTTTACATATATCCTATGAACCAGCAGGTATTCTGTATTATTTCTGGGTATTGTATACATCATCTAGATAAAGTGTATAATGGGTTAGAGTATATCCTATCCTTCTTATTATCCTTATCAAAGTCCTTGACCCATAGTGCCCATTATGGGCCAAGGACTTTGATGAGTTTTTTGATGTTACAATAATCCTATTGTCATGCGCTCATTGGATAGGCTTCTCTGAGAAGATCAACTTTGGTCATGTGAAATTTTTCAGTTTCCGTTTCCGAGATAATATAAAAATAGGCTCAAACATTTCCGGGACTTAGAAAAAGATAGATATATTTCAGAAATGGAGTGATTCACAAAGAAATATATAGAATACCTTAATTATACAAATTGTTAGTAACAATTACATAACTAACATATTATACGAAGAGAATGTGTTGCTTCTTAGTAAAATGACTTACAAACTTACTTTTCCTTATGGGCAAAAATATGCATAACGTTCCTAACATAGATCACATGGTAAATCATTATGATTTTATTATTTCAGACTATACAAGGGTGGTGGGAGTATGTCATGACAATTTTCAATTGATCATGTTTACAATCATGGTACCTTTAACAATAATATTGATGTTATATTCATTACTAACACCTCAAACCTTGGACTTTGATAAGAAAAGAAAATTCCATTCCACGATTAGTACAATTGAAGAATTCGAAAATCGCATGACAAAAAATGCTAAAAGGAAAGGTATGATCCTATAGTTTCAATTGGCTGCATATGTAATATTTCTTATACTACATCTGCTCGGAAAGTGATTTTTTCCCAAAACTAGGAAGATTAATTTTAATTAATAATAATTATTAATTAAAAAATAATAATTAAGTTTAAAACAGTAGTAGGCAATTTCATAATTAGAAGGTATACATTTTCTCAGATTGGTAGTTATAAAATTAACATAGTATCAGCAAAAAAGTCATTATTACTAATTAATTTTTTTTTTTAATAGAGAACCCGAGTTGTTTATTATTTATAAAATTAATTTTATAAGTCTTAAAATGGAGTTAAATAAGCACCTACTCAAACCATGGAGTGAGTGGTATAAGTGTAGGTAAGATGGGAGAAAATACTTAAGCTGTGAGTTGGTAGTTTGTATTTCTTTTTTGCACAATAAGTACAATTAAAGGTATGGAGGATTTATTATTAGACTTTAATATATGCAATTAATTAAGGAAAAGGGTTGTGTTAAAATATCCCTGTAGATGTGGTATAAAGAATTAAGTATGATTCTCAACTCATGTATTTATGCCATCTTTTTAACTTGGGTGTCAAATATCACATTCATTGGTAATCGGTCACTTCCATTCATCTTATTTAAGGTATACCATCTAACCTTTTGATTTATTATTATATAAGTATTAACATGCTCTAGAAAAAGTTGGTAAACAGCATTACTTACAACTTATAACATAGAATGTAATATTTAAAATAAAAATGTTTATTACATTTGCCAGAGGAAAATTTAATAAATATCAATTAGTATGCTGTGCCATTATTCTCATGTTTGGTTGAGTACTAATTTCATGAATTGTAATAGTATTGGCAGCATTGTTACTATAATTTTACAACAGTTATTGCTAAGCTAGTACATTCAAAAACTCCTCTGAATTAGAATGTGTGAGAATTTCTAATTTCTCAGAATTCTTCATATATTTGTTCCTAACAAAATGAAATTTATCTTGAGGAGATATTGTAAAATAAAATTTCCAAATTAAAAACTATAATAAACAGATATTTGGAGATTTTTTTATATAATATATAAAAAAATATATAATATAATATATTAACAGTAAACCAATTTGTGAATTAAATATGTATTAAAAGTTATATTGTAGTTTATTAAATTAAATTTAATCTTTTGCCAGGTAATTTAATATATGACATAAATGGAGATATAAGATAACTAGTGATTAATTACGTAATTGTAAAAACTAATTCACCCTACTAACAATCCCCTATATGAACACTGAAATGACTGTGAATTTTATTGCAGAGGTATCATTTTAAATTTTTAGTTACATTGTTTGATATATAATCCATATTTAAGAAAGTTAAGTGTAAAATATTATCTATGTATGTCACGATGATGTTTATTTATAATGAACACTTGATTTTCAGCGGACACTTTGTTGATAGCGCCAAACCACTTGAGGATAGTTTCAAGGACGGACTGGCTCGCTCAGCCTGTAGAAAATGAGCTTGATAAGATTCGTCAACCGGTGCCATGGGTTATAATAACGCACACAGCTACGGAAAGTTGTCACTCGCAGGTGTGTAAAAAATTTATGTGTTGATTATATAAATAAATTTATATAATTAAAATGTATAATATAAAATATGCAGGGCGTAGCTAATCCTTTGGCTTAAATTTTTGTTTGTCATAATGAAACTCCTGATTTTAAATATATACAATCGGGAATTGATATAATAAGGATTATGTTGTCTGCTGATTAAACACATCTCACCTATGTAGATTTTTATTTCATATATAAATATATGGTTGGAAGTAAAAATATAAAATATGTTTCAATTATTACAGAGCGAGTGCGTACTTCGCGTCCGGCTGATACAAATGTTCCACATAGAATCCAGAAATTGGGATGATATCGGTTATAATTTTTTGGTCGCAGGCGATGGTTCCGCTTATTATGGACGTGGGTGGGATTATATCGGAGCACACACGCTAGGATATAACCGTTACAGTATCGCTATTGCCTTTATAGGCACGTTCAACAATGAAGCGCCACCTAAAAAACAAATTGAAGCTTGTGAGAAACTTATTAAACTCGGGGTACACTTAGGTAAACTGTCAAAAGACTACAAATTGTTCGCCCACCGGCAGTTGGCATCTACATTGAGTCCTGGTGATAAATTGTTCGATATTATTAAGACTTGGCCTCATTTTGTAAAAGATGCTTCAAATATCTCAGAGCTTATTCCAAGTTATTGATTTTCATATAACTAGTTTTTTAAAAAGTGATTTGGGCATTATCACAAATAAACTAAGTACGAATGAAGATGACCTCGTTGTATTAATGAATACATTATATATATTATGGTTTTATTATAACTTCACATTTTTAAGGTTTGTTCACAATATTATTGCTTAGCGAATTTTAAAATATATAGTTATTTTTTTTGCTAATATTTATGTTTTCAATTTGAAATATACTTATTTTAAACCCTTATTGGGTTGTTTCTACAATTAAAGTTAAATTTAATAAGTTGTAGAAACAACCCATAATAAGGATGTTTCAATTTTCTTTTTCGACAGACTAATAATTAAATATATATACTAAAGAAAGAAAGATAAGGAATATGTTTCCAATGTGATAAAGTAGACTTCCTCACACAAATGGTGCGCTCAATATTATTAAGTTATTAGTGTTTTGATATTATAAGGGTAATGTTAAGTAGTGTATAGTAGCAAAAATAATGAAAAGATATATTTAATGATGTGATTTATCAATACGTAGCGTATATATTAAAATATGGGTTCTGTTAAAGAAAATTAAGTTGTTCAACAATTGTAAATTGTTATTAATTTGAAATGAGAGAACAAATTGTATTTGTATAAGTGTTCTATTAAATTTCAAATTAATGAACAGGGTATGATCTCGGTGCTATTAGTGTTTGTATATAAAAACATTTTGTTTAAATGGCATTTACCAAATAGTTTATAAATACTTATATATAATGTTATACTTTTTCCTTGTGATTAAGGTGCTGCTCCCTAATAGATAAAATATTTTTAATTTAGTTTTATTTTGCTTTTTCCTAACATTATGTATTTTTTATTTGGTCAATATAGTTATACAAATTAAGTTTAGCCTCGATAAGTAAGTTAAAGCTAATTTAAGAATGAAGATTCTTCTCAAACTGGTTTTACCTTACTAATATCTAGCTTTGGCGACATTATTTTAAACGAGATGTTACCGACAAAACTCTTAATTAAAATACCTATTAAGAAAGCAAACAGGTGGTGATAAATTGTGTAATATATTTTTGCTGTGAGAATAATTCTTATATTGAATTATGTATATGTTTTTGCTTACTGCTATTCATTCTTCATTAAAATAATAAATAAATATAATATTCTTATTAACAGCTATCGATATATGGATATATTACATAACAGCAATTTGCTCAATTAACAAAAAAAAAGAAAAAATAAACAATGCAAATGTGATATTGCTTTGTGCTTTACTTTTTGTATAGTTAAATAATTATATTTTTATGTTATTTTTGTAGGATAATTTAGACTCTCTAGCAATGAAATGAAATTAATAAATTACATTTAGTCATCTAAAAATTATTGCCTATCATTTCAGTGTCTTGTCCTTTACACAATTTGCTAAATTTCAGCTTTTACATTTTGACATATTCTAATTTGTGTTGAATTATGCGAACATTTATTATACTTAATCAGTTCTTAGTATTTATGAGTAATATTTCTGGTTAGGTTAGTTACCTTGTCTTTATTTGATGGAGTCAATACTAAAACATTTTTATTTAAACCTACCTCTGCAATGCACATAGTTATGATTTAAATTACGATAGATTATGAAATGTATTTCTTTAAAATTATCCCTAATATTAGTTACCTAATTATAAACAAATTAGACATTTTTGAATTGCCCAATATTTGGATTAATGAAATTGAATGTAAATAAACATGCTTATGGATAGGGTAGAAATTGGCCTACTGTCACTAGTTTTAATAATTTTTTAGTATTTTACGATATCTATAGATCGCACACATCAATGAAAATCTCTTTCGAATTATATAGAGGTTGCAAAATAAAAAATGTTGTTTTTAGGGTTCCGTACAAAAAAAGTATAAAGGACGACTTTGTACGTCTGTCCGTCCATCTGCTACAGCGCTGTATCTCGGCTACTATTATATATTAATATTACCGATTTGAAATTCAGAATAGTTATACTTTTTGTTGACCCATACATATTGCAATGGAAATAATGTAAAAAAATGTTTATTTAAAAAAGTAGACCCCTTTTTTTATATAACCACCGAAATAAACACACAAAAGAGGTATTCAGATTTTCAAAATGACCTACTGAGCTAAGTGGGGTGTCATATGAGAGAGTTTTCAAAACATGCACATTTTAAAACTGATTTATATACTGCGTAGTTTTAGAAAATATGAGAAAAAAGCTATTCTCTTATGGTCGTTCTCACTCTTTGCTTTAGGTTGGAATAACTTAAGTAGGTTGTGTACTAAGCTGTATAAGTTACTTTAGTTTTTTAACTATCCCGCGGGAACTCTTTAATTATCCGTCATTAAAAATATCTAAAATATTGACCGGGGATAAGGTACATCTGTGCAAAATTTTATTTAAATCGGTCTAACAGTTTAGAAGATTGGCCAGTACAACCAGACAAATAGAAACAAAAATATTTAAAAAAAATCTGGATGTCATCTACCAAATCTCATAGTGATTGTTTAAGACATTAAGGCGCTATAAGATAACAAACAAACAAACTCACTTTCACATTAGTATGGAACCCTAGGCGGATGAGTTCAACTCTCACCTAACCGGTTTTTCCTTCGAGATCTCTTCCGAATTTCGGCCTTATTCTTGCTTTATATGACTAGATAGAATTTTCGAAAATAATATATATGGTAGCTTTATACAGGTAAAATTGTTTTTTTACTCGGTTGAGTAATATTTAAGTTGGATTTTAATGGCTACATTACAAACAAAGAAACAAATCTTTCTTCTTTATAATATTAGAATAGATAGGTATTGACGCATAAAAGATTATTTTCCAGGATGGCTTGGTTTGAAAATAGAATTATGTATTATGTATTTTTTGTAATATTTTTTCGTATACCTAAAATCTTTACACGCATGTCCTAGGACATAGTTTCTCAACCGAGGGATTCACGTTTGTTATTAAAGGGCGTCGCAGTTTGTTGAAAAATAAGACCTTGAAAGATTCTTTTAACTTAGTGATGCGCGACTTTACTAATTCGACTACTATTTATTTGACTGAGCAATTAATTCGAATTATTTATTATGTTGTTAACTGGCTGATTTTTGTTCTTTTTTTAATAATACGATACTAGTAACGTGACCTAATAATTTCATGTTATGCAACCACGTCTCAACTTTTAGTTTCCGGGTATCACTTACGTGACCTATGATGGGGAATTTTTATACTTTTATAATTCTGTTAACCCTTTGGGTACTTTATTCGTTAATTCTAGCTCTTAAAGCCAGTTGTTGGACAAATTTTATTTAATGGGTTGTAAACCATTGTAAATAATTGTAAACCAGATTTATGAAAATGACATTTTTATTATGTACTTACTTCTTAAGGAAATTATAATAAATGTAATATGATCAAGAATAGAACATTTTTTTATCATAAAAATTTTAGTAAATTTGTGTACCACTATGGAATTATAAATAATAAAAAAAATTATATATGTTATATTAATAACAATATGTAAGTTATTATATTATACAATAGTTTCCTTTACATTGATGTATTTTTTTAATCATCCAAGAATTAAAGTGCTGTTAATAGGTTACGGTAACCGCTTATCAGGCGAGCCGTATGCTTGTTTGCCAACTCAGTGGTAGAAAAATTTACTAAATTAAGCGTTGTGTAAATTCGTTAAAAAAGTAGTTGCATTTGTTTTAATATTTAACATAATTATTGTTTGTTATATGATATTGTTACTTTGAAAAGATATTGTGTATATAGTCTTTTAAATCATAGATTTATTATAAGAATTTTCACTTGAGACTGTTATATTTGTCATAATATCCCAGGAATATATGTAAAATCACAATGTAATTGAGTTTCGTGTAAATATAGATATTATGAAAGAAAACCTGTTTATTTATTATTTTTATGCATTTAGTTATAATAAGAGCTCTACCGACAAGAGTGCAGCTCTTAAATAGGATAGATAAATATATTCTTTATAACCTCTGCTTATGAATATTTTTGGCAAGATCCCGTGCTCTATGCTCAAAATCAAACAAATTCTTGAATATGTCTCAAAAATATTAGCAAGTTTGCATATTATAATATTATTCACTTATTTAGTACCTTTATATATTTATATTTTTTAGTACGTTCTTTTTTTGGTATTTGGTGAGCAGTATTTATTATTGAATTATGTTAAACCCGAATTTTGGAAAATTTGTGCTTATACTTAATAAAAAGTCCGTGAAAAATTGTTTACCTTTAAACTTAACAGCTAAGCTATGCGTTTTCAGAAAATATAAGAAAGTTTTGTTGAAATTACGATAGAAACTCAAATCGAAACCTTCGACCAATTATTACATTTGTGATTTGTACTACTATTGAGTATCAGCTATGCCAGGACAATGGATAAAAGTTTATAATATGCATTTTGCCAAGCTTAACATATGTATGTTAAACGTGGGCATTTAGATTATATAGATAGAGTGTCAAAAAGGGTTTGTAGCTAATTGTCAAATTAGCTCACTTTTTTATCAGTGTTCTTTATACTTACGCATATAATGTATCTTGAGGTATCCATATTTAATTATTTACTAAATAAAGTAAAAAAACTGTATTACTTTTATAAAATATAAAAGTTATAAAGGGATTATTCATAACCATTTATCACGCAAAATTGTATGAAAAATTTGACCCGCTTTTTTTGAAGCATTTGTATGGAGACACTCTATCTACACTCCTCGCAAAAATTAAGGGAACATAAAAATTTTTGAAATTTTTCGGTGATTTTCAACAGGCTGTATTTCAGTGAAAAATAATCGTACAGGAAATTTAAAAAAAAGGTTTTGAAGCTTGAAAACTCTAGTTTTCAGATTTTTTGGTGAAAAAATTTTTTGAGCTCCGGTTTCCATGCAATTCTTAAACAAAGCTGAAAATATTTTTTTTCTAAATTTTCTAAGTTTCGTTTTTCACTCTATGGGCATGGAAAAATTTTTTCGAGCTACTCTATTGTATAGGTCTCTTAGCGTGTTTATTCAGCTTCAAAAATCGCTTTGGATGGCTCAATTACGATCATTTGTCTCCGAGATATCGAACTTTGAATGCAAAAGCATCCTTTTCCATTCAACTGCTAATATCTCTGGAACTACTGGTCGCACAGCAAGCGGGCGCCGAGTTTCTTTATCTGCATACTATTTTCTTGATTTTTTTTGATTTTTTTTTGATAATGAATTTTTAAAAAACAAAAAATTGAGTAAAAAGTGAAAAACAAATGAAATTATTGATTTTTGAATGGATTAGGGTGAGTTTAAGGGACAAAAACCTTGTTCCCTTATTTTTTCCAAAACTTCAATCAATTGGTCCGGGAAAAACCGTTGAACCGATCGCTCCAGGGATTTAGGGGGTTCTTAAAGGAACAATAGACTGTAAAATCAAACCTTAGCTTTCCCGCCCATATTAGCGAAGATACAGCCAAGTAACCAAAAAAGGAGAAAAAGTCACTTTTTTCCACTTTTTTCAATTCAATGTTAGAGGTGGAAAAAATTTTTTTCTTCACTAACTCTTGACTGTGCTTAATTGGAAATTTTATGCAGATAAAGAAACTCGGCGCCCGCTTGCTATGTGACCAGTAGTTCCAGAGATATTAGCAGTTGAATGGAAAAGGATGCTTTTGCATTCAAAGTTCGATATCTCGGAGACAAATGGTCGTAATTGAGCCATCCAAAGCGATTTTTGAAGCTGAATAAACACGCTAAGAGACCGATACAATGGAGTAGCTCGAAAAAATTTTTCCATGCCCATAGAGTGAAAAACGAAACCTAGAAAATTTAGAAAAAATTTATTTTCAGCTTTGTTTAAGAATTGCATGGAAACCGGAGCTCAAAAAATTTTTTCACTAAAAAATCTGAAAACTAGAGTTTTCAAGCTTCAAAACCCTTTTTTTAAATTTCCTGTACGATTATTTTTCACTGAAATACAGCCTGTTGAAAATCACCCAAAAATTTCAAAAATTTTTATGTTCCCTTAATTTTTGCGAGGAGTGTATATAATATATAATCTAAGCGTGGGCGCTAACAGAGAAATTAACCAACAAAACGATTATTTTTGGGAAGTGCAATTAAATTAAGAAGAAAAGATTAAATAAGATTTAACAAAATTAAAAATGTAACCAAATTTAAAGAAAATGGAAATGGACAGAATATATGTTAAGAGAGAAAAATGGCAAAAGAAGTAAAGGTTGACAAATAAAACATTGAGAAGATCATGAAAAGAGATGCAGGTCTAGAATGGATTAGAATTCCAAGCGATAGAGATAAGTGTAACTCTTTGGAGAAGACTTTTGTCGAAGGACAAGCTGTTGTTGAAAAAGTGGATCGTCAGTAAAAATATCCGCGTAGTATTGTAATATAAATTACGGTAAACAGCAATAGAGTAATTTTTTATTTATTTATGCATATATCGGACTATACTTCTGTAGGAAGATATATGTAGTGTTATTATCTTAATTATTATATTAAGTTTTAGGTATACGGTTAGCAAACTTATAACTAGCTACTGTAAGGAAACTGCGCGGTTTTGTCCGCGCCCGTGGGAATTATTGAAAACCCTTTGAAGTTTACAGACTGTAGTTCCTGAGATTCCAGAAATACACTAGTGTGCATATTTAACTTGTATACATGCATATATTATATAATAATTATTATTTAGAGTTGCGCAGGTACCTATAGAAATGGTTATCGTGGTTTTTTTTTGATGGGTGAAAATGAAATGATAATCCCGCCTGTGCTAACAAGATACGCTGACGGGGCACCAGTGAAGGGTGATCGATGAGAATGAAAACAGGCCAGTTAGCCCATCATGATGAATTCATCAGGAATTAACCATGATAGTTTCCAAGGGCAATCGCGAGGGGGTCGACCTGGTTGGATATATTGCTAGCAACGGGATTCTCGGTCTCCGTTACTAACAATCCCTTTCCCCCCTGGTTATCGTGGTTTACCTCTATTTTTATATATTGATTAGATGATGGTAGCTTCCACACATTAAATAGTAGTTTAATATTATTTTGAACTAATTGACCTAACTTAGTACGTGAGTACATTATACTAACTTTTTGGATTCAATGGACGTCGTTCTATCAAAAGCTATAAGACTAGCAGATAATGGTTTGAATAGACAGCTGGGAACAGTTTAGTTATAGGAAAAAAAATCCGGATTATTTTTCCAATTTTTCTCTTCTTAAGACCCTTCCTTGAACTTATACTTGAATGACTATTAGAAAAAAATTGATCTGATTTGATCCAGCTATTCTCGAGTTTATTAAGCAACACCTATTTATTTGTATAGGCACTTATTAACTCTATAGTAATTATAAATATCATTCATAGATCTGGATAAATGTTTTTTTTGGATGCAATAGTCAATTGTGAACTTTTACCACATATGTAGTTGAATTTTATGGAGTACCTTTGATATTAATTAAAGGGATTAATCAATGGGTGATTGCAGAAAAAAACATATAAAAAAAATTTATCATTTCAAACGTAATTATATGGGGGGGGGAAAGGATTGTTAGCAATGGAGTTTGACAGCCTCATTGCTATCAATATGCCCTATTAGGTCGACCTCCACGTGGTTTCTTTTGGTAACCATCGTGAATAATTCTTGTTGAATTTGTCACGATGCACGATGGGCTAACTGACCTGCTTCTACCTCACCTATCATCCTTCACTGGTGCCCCGCCGGTATATACCGATAGCGCTGGTGGGGTTACCATTCCATTATCAGCCATTAAAAAAAACGTAATTATATATTGCTACCTACTGTTTATAATTTAATTAAATATTAATCTAATGACCGCATTGCGAGCGTGAAATGTAAAACTATCGTCAACATTAATGAATTTTTAAAAAAGCGTTGGCCTTGATCGTTAACGTTAATAGATTTTAATATTTCATTCTAATTAATAGTGCAAGTAAGGCTATTTATTGATATTTTAATAGAATATTCATGCCTCATGAATTACAGTATCTTAAATGTTAAATAAGGATAAAAGAATGGTATCAAGGTCAATTGTTCTTTGAGGATGAAAAGTCGATTAGATTATGTATGCGTATCATATATATATTTAAGTGAATTAGGGACTAACAATTATCTATTGTTTTCAAAGCCATCTTTATTTACGTAACCTTATGTATCCACCTGAAGAACTGTTTTTCTACCAAAATAAATACGAATGATTCGCTTTTTTAAATTAATTACCAACTAAACTACTCATTTACTTTTATACTCGTAGTTTTATTTTCCGTGTATCAATATATTTTAATACTCATATCGTATGCGTTCGTGAGTTGGCATATCTGTTCAATCAAAGTTTTTTAATTGCCGGCTCGTGAATACCGACTATTTTTCACTCTGGATAAACAGCTTTAGCGTCGTGCATGTCTGTATTGCATTTAGAAAGTACGATATTCGAATATATTCTTATAAAAATGGTTCTTTACAGTATCGATAAAACTTTTGGCTTGAAAGAGAAAAATGTTTTTAAGAAAAATAATCTTGAGAAGAAACATTCGAAAGTGAGATGGTTTTTTGTTAAGTTCAAAGAGTTTTGCAAAAGAACTGATTTGCACGGATATAAATATATTGTGATGGAGGACCTAACTCTTGTTGAAAGGTTTGTCTTAATTATACTTGCCGAATTGTTGTATGTACATTCTGTGGTTTTCTTGTATTCGTAATATTTACTTACGTTATTACAATAAGTTATTTTTTTATCATTTATTTGCTTAGGATTGCATATAATTAATTACTTACATAGCAAATGAATAAAATTCAATCAGCATTGCACCCGTGCGAAGCCGGGGCGGGTCGCTAGCAATATAATATATTTATTTATGTCTCCTCACAAACAAATTATTACGGAACTCTGCTCTGAGGAGCTGGTGTTTGAAAAAGAAAAAAATGAAAAACAATAATTGATAGTACAACAATAATTAATAATAAATGTATGGCGTTGTCTATAATAACCTTAATGCGTTGCTTTTATTTTTTTTTTGCTGGATGATATTTTTTTTCAATGGATGATAATGGAATGGTAACCTCGCCTGCACTATCGGTACACGCTGGCGGGGCACCCGTGAAGGATGATAAATGAGAATGAAAAGGTAGGTCAGTTAGCCCATCGTGATGAATACATTAGATATTCATCACGATGATTTCCAGAGGGAACCACGTGGAGGTCGACCTAATAGGGTACCAATGAGTCTAGTAGTCCACATTGCTAACAATTTCTTCCCCCCAATGGATGATTTTGGAATGGTAACCCCGGCTGCGCTAATGGTATACGCTGGCGGGGCACTAGTGAGGGATGATACGTAAGAATGAAAAGGCATCGTGATGAATACACTTGGAATTCAGCTCTATGGTTTCCAGGCGGTCTACGGGGAGGTCGACCTGTTAGGGTATATTGTTAGCAGTGGGAGTAGAAATCCGCATTACTAACAATCCCTTCCCCCTACGTTGCTTCTATTTGAATTATAAGTCAACTAACTGAATAGCTCTTAAGCGTACGTGGGCAGCGGTATTTTTTTTATATGCAACTAAGAATGACTAACAAGCTGATGGCCCACCTGATGAAAAGTGGTAACTGTCGTCTATAGATATGGATAGTACCATGGACATAACAGAGTATACTTTTTCACCCATGATACCTCCCCATGCGTTGCCATTCTCGAGGACTCAGGTGTTATTCCTCTGTATCCTGTAAATTTACTGCCATATTCCACTCTTCAAACCGAAAAACAGCCATGCAAACACAACTGCTTCACGGTAGAAACACAAATGGGACAGAGGTGTCCAAGCAAATTACTTTTGTACAGTTTCCCTCTGGTATGTTCTAGTACGGTCATCTTTTGATGTTATTTATACAGAAAATCTGTAAGGTCCTTAATACGATTATTTGTGAAGGATATTATTGTTAAAAAAATGTGTTTAAATACTTTTTAAACTTATTGTCATAGGAGCTGTTGGGCTGTAGCAGTTTTGATGAGCACAGCAATTGCAATTTATTTTGTAGTAACAGCTTACAGATGGTATGCCAGGAATCCAATAGTCACTGTAAGTTTTAAATTACATTTTTTATTTAAATAGAATGGCAAACAAATTAACAGATCATTAATGGACTATAAAAATCACAAAATACCCTGTGTTACTCATAATACGAGGGGTATACGTACTACCATTTCTGATAATTAAAGTGTAGTTCCGTTACCTTGTTATTTCACATGTCACTGTTAAAATCATAGGTGTAATAAAAGGGGTGCCGGATGGGCCGTGCCCAGCCTAGATTGGTGATTTTAGCGAGACCGCAAAGATATATCTAAAAGTATATATGTACCTTTTTCAAGAGGTCCGGACTTCCTGGAAAATAATGTTTAAATATATTTTCTCTTAGGTTATAGAAAGCACGCAGGGAGCAATATGGGACATGCCGTTTCCTGCAGTGACAATTTGCGATTTGAATATAATTTCACGTAAAGCAGCACGACGTTTTGCAAACAATTTGTAAGTATTAATAGATAGTAATTTAGAATGTTTTCATTATATATACGTTTTTAATTGTAATATACATATAAAATTGATAATTTTTGCTTGTTGTGTTACTAAATTTATTCGTATATACGAGTATAATACGTAATGTTTAGTAAATTAGATTCCACGCGCCTTTGTGGGGACGGTCCAATTTGGATAATTAACCTCTCTAAATACGAGTAGTTCGAGTCTTGGTATTAAGCGTTGTGCCCACAATTGTTTATTGTCTGGTTTACCTATAACACAGGCTACACAAATATGTAGACCAGGCCATTAAAGTTATTGTGTGAGATCTTAATTATACTATAGCCAAACCATTGCATTAAAGATTTTTTTTTTATAAAATTTTCTTAATAATCATTAAAATAATTAATAGCAAAATTTATTATTATTATTATCATCTAATTATTTTTTTTAGAACTTTGCCAGCTAATGTGAGTGCTGACTTTGTGTTCAATACTGTTCGAGTAGCGCCTATGCTGCATTCCACATACATCATTGGCAGTGAACAGAAGGAAGACTTACGAAAACTACAATCGATATTAGATCTAAATAATGTGTCAATAACTATGTTATTTCGAGAGGTAAGTAAAGGGAATTAAATATTTAAAAAATGGCTTTAGTTTTGATTGCCAATTGATTAAATGGATCGCGATAAATACAAACAAAAAAGTACAGTCGTAATGAAAATATCTCCTTTTTGATGTTAGTTAAAATAAAAATCGTAAAATATAAAAATTCTGTGTCGCGATGTTCGTTCACGCTAATTTTCAAAACTTTTTAACAGATTTTAATAAAATTTTTTAAATGTATTATAATATACATTGTGTTTGCTCCAATTTAGGAGATATGATATTTTTTTTTATCTTGATAAGTGATCCTCATTTTTTTATGGGGTATAATAATGTTTGCTGTGTCAGCTAGTAGCATAATCAGTTGGAATTTTTTAATCACTCTTATTTTACAATAATCTCGTATTTCATTTGTTGCTAATATCGAGGTTTACAAGTTATTTTACATGAAGCGCCTTATCACTAATATTATTGGTAAGAAGAATAGGGCCAGATAAATATTATCCATTTATCTGTAATGATATCTTTACTCCACTTCTTTTACGGGGCAGCAGAGATTGTTGAGTAGCAATGGATTACTTCTTTACATTCGTTTTTTTATTTGTTCCTCATCAATAAGTTACTATGTTGATGATTTTGTTAAAATAATTATTCGTTAGTCTTTCAGACATATACCTAGTATTCATCATTTATTTAAGGGACTATTTTTATATCAGGGCTTCTTCGGTTTAGAAAAAGAGAAATGAGAACCAAAGGAGTCCTCTAATAACATCATTGCTTCATGCTCTTTATATAGACATATACTATTTTCTGTTTAAAGAGTTTTGTTTTCTCAAACAAGACACAAATTTCTAAATTTCCAAATATTACATATATAGATCCGTCAGTATTCTACGACTATGACGATATCTTGATAAATTCTTTAATTTTATAGTTCAGCTACATCCATAATATTAATGACAATATTCATTAACGATTGAGCTGATGGTATGTGTGGAATAGAATCTTAAATTATTTATTGTTGTAACATGGCATGGCATGATTTTATTGGAAAGCAAGGTATATGCGATATTTTGAAGAAGTTTATAGTTTTCTATTACGATAACGTTGTATCATATTGTTGTTGTTATTATATCGTGGTTATCTTACTATGAGAGAAAGACATTATTTTTATCCATTTTTTCATTACCGCCCATTCGGAACGCAATTTCAGCCAAGATGAACGGGCAAGACACTTAGCTGTTGCTTTTTTCAAAAAGTTTAACTATATAAATAATGAATTCGTGTGAATACAAACTACTAAGCAGCATCATATAGTCAATTAACCCTTTCCACTCTAATGTCGAGTGTTTTTTTTATACAACTTAGAATGGCAAACAAGCTGACAGCTCACCTGATGGAAAGTGGTAACCGTCGCCTATAGACATTAGCAGTACCATGGACATAACAGAGTATACTGTTTCTCCCATGATAGCCCCCATGCGTTGCCATTCCTGAGGACTAAGGTGTTATTCCTCTGTACCCAGTAAATTCACGCCATATCCCATCCATCAAATCAAATCATTCGACATTGATTTTGTACCATACCACACCAAAAGGGATTATAAAGATTAGAATTAAGAATTATAATATAGTATCCTGTAATTACTCATAAAAAAAAATATATCATATAAGAAAAAAATCAATTTTATTTACAAAATACGAAAAACTCCTAAAAGTAAAAAATCGCAATTTTAGCGTGGAGGTGGTGGAATAAAAAGAAAAAAGGCTTGTAGTGGAAAGAGTTAAGTCATAATAATAGATCACTATATGCAACTGTATACATTTTACTTGCGAATTATATGGACATCCTGCCGTGTAATGTGTAACATGTAAATCGAAAAAGTGCCCATTTCCAGTTGTCGCCAGCAAAGTCATGCAGTCGTTTAGTTCAAAGATGTATGTGGAAGAATACTATTTATCGTTGTAATGAGCTGTTCCAAAATGTTTTTACTACCATGAGCCTTTGTTGTGCTTTCAACTACTTTGCCATTATGGAAAATGGTAACTTAAGCTCGTAAGTATACAATTTCGATAGTATATACTCGGCTATTGTAATTATTTATATCGGCTTTATTCATGTTAAAATTCGAAGGTATCCGACCAGATACACTGTTGAATTTAGATACATATGTAAAATATATGAATGTAGGTACAAATTGTACGCCAATCCTTAATATCTCTGTAGTGACAAAGCAAGAATACAATATGTTACTATATCTATTCATCCCCAGATTATCGTAAGACTAAGTCTTAGTGCAATTCATGCATTCGAGCATAGTGCAAGAAAGACAATACTTGAAACCATACTCCTACTACCATATTTCATATATTATAATATAGTATTAATATATCAAGCCACCTTGTCGGTATAGCAATTGTACGAATATATACCTATTAATTATAGCTCGTCGTTCTGTACGCGTGGTGTCGCCACTTCCGTTTAAGTCATAATTTACAAATATCTTTTCTTAGTCTGCTAAGAAAAAAAATTGTTAACATGTTTACGGTATAAAACAAATGTACGTTCCAAATTTAAATTTTCTAGACTTAATGGTTTTGCTGTGTTGATAGACAAACAACACAAATAAGATAAACGATTTTATAAGCATAGATTAAAAAGAGAGCCGTGTTTAGTAGTGGAACGTTAATGAGTTGTTGTGTGATGGTGTATATGTATGTGTCAATTTGTGCATATGCAAATTCAATATTCATAATCGTAGACTTATACAAATAATACACTGAGTGCACAAATTCTTAGAAGTGGGCGTAATATGCGTCGAAGTTATAAATTAGGAACGACAGGTAAAGATATATAGACAAGTTATACGCAAATATAAACAGAAAATGCATTTAAAAAATAGGGGGTTAAAAAGATTTCTAAGAAATTTGTCACGCAGCCTAATTGTAATCAATCTAAGATAGACGCGAGTCAAAAATAGGATGTTTTGACTTATGAGTTTAGATTTAGAAAAAAAACTTAGAAATTTCAAGATATCAAGTGAAGGCACTATAAAGATGTAAATTTAATATTTATAAATTACTTATCTCGTCTTAGTATGGTAAATGATTTTAACTTTGGCTTTAGTGTCGCTGCAAAGATTCCAAAGATCTGATCGATTTTTCACAGCCTCCTAAAGACAAACATACGGACTAGCCTATCAAAGCGTAGTAAAAACTCTTGAATATAGAAAGTAGAAATTTGCATACATATGATCACAATGATCTATAAACGATATGTTTATTTATAATAAATAATATTACTTTGTCGGCTGCACAGCGGAAGTCATATTTACATTTATATTATGTGAAAATCGGCACTACAGTTGAACAGGTTAATGAATATCTCCGAACCATTTGCCCGGGAGATAACTGTTCTGCCGAAGCGCTGAAGTCGCGAGGAGATTATGCGTCATTTAAGTTATCTGTGCCTATAAAACATCTAGATAAGTACCTAGCATCTGAAAATTGGATAGAGGATGTCTACATCAGACCTTGGCGTAGTGGATTTCGCAAGAAAATCGATGATACCGCCCAAGTATAAACACCACAAAATTGTTTATCAAAATGTTAGAGGACTACGTTCTAAATTACATACTTGTAAGTTATCAATACTCAGTGAACCAGCTGACATATATGCGTTAACGGAAACATTTTTAATTAGTAGTATATTTGATGCGGAAGTGTTCCCCGACGGTTATACCATAGTACGCCGAGACCGTCCAAATAATGCCGGTTGGGGTGGAGTGCTATTAGCAGTACGTTCGCATTACAAAGTCCAACAAATATTAAACATTAGTGGGTACACGGAGCAGATTGAAATAGTGATGGCACTTGTCACATTGAAATCTAAAACAATTGTATTCAGTGGTGTTTATATACCGCCTAACTCGAATGATGAAAAATACTTAAATACGTTTTTAGTTTTAGAGAATGTAATCGCAAAATATTCAAATTTGGATGTCGTCATACTGGGCGACTTTAACTTAAATTCCTGTAGCCAAAATGTTATTCTACAATATAGTTATTTGCTTGCTTTTTGTAAATTGAATCAATATAATCTAACAAAAAATAAATATGGTAACATTCTAGATTTAGTGTTAAGCAATCTGAGCAGTGAATATGTACAAATGTATGAGGATGTGAAACCGCTAGTGCCGGCAGATGCACATCATCCACCACTCGGCATCTACCTCGCGATGCCGCGTTCGCGGCACGCGGGTCCGCGCGCTTGTACCTTTCGGTCGCATGAATCAGTCACTGAGTGGAATTTTAAAAAAGCGAACTTACATTCACTATATGAATCGATAGCTTCGGCAAGGTGGAATCAGATATTCACTTGTGACGATGTTGATGTAGCATTGAATTATTTTTATGATATATTTCACTCGTGTTGTTTAGAATCTAATGTCCCTATTAAAAATTTTTGCAGTAATTATAAATATCAATATCCGAGATGGTATACGAAAGAAATTATAGAAAATATAAAAAATAAGTATTATCACTTAAAAAAGTATAAAAAATATAGTAAAGAATTCAATAGAGAAATGTTTAAATTTTATCGTCAGCGTACAAAAGAATTAATTAGGATAGCTTATCAAAATTTCATCACGCGAACTGAGGTTAATATAAAGAATGATCAGAAAAGTTTCTGGGAGTTTATATGAAATCAACGTTCTAATAGAAGGGGCCAAGACCTATACGATCATGATGGGGAAGTGGTAACTGGGATAGATGCTGCAAATGCATTTGCAAAACATTTTAAATCGAGTTTTTTAGACGATAAACCTGTCTTATCTGGCAATCTGGCTGAAAGCAAGGCAAGGTGTTCCCAACTCTCTGCTCGCGTCGCTATAGAGAATATAACGCTAACCGACCTGCAGCGAGCAGTAAAACGATTGAGGGTGGGGACATGCATTGGGCCTGACGGTATACCGTCATTTATTATTAAAGATTGCATAAGAGTTTTAGAGGAAGCGCTCCTACATATAACGAACTTGGCTATCACAACAAGTACCTATCCGCAGCTATGGAAAGTGTCCAGGGTTATACCTATACCCAAGGATGGTTCTAAATCCCAAATTTCAAATCATAGGCCAATTGCTGTACTTCCAGCTTTAGGAAAATTATTTGAATCCATTTTAAACAGACTTATTTCGGTGCAAGTCCAGCCTCAATTGACAGACTGTCAGCATGGATTCAGACCTGGTAGGTCGACTACTACTAATCTAATACACTTTGTTGATTATACAGTTACTGAAATGGATCATAATAGACAAGTAGACGTGACATATTTTGACTTCAAAAAAGCATTTGATCGCGTTCACAATGATATTTTATTAAAAAAGTTCTCAGAGATAGGATTTACACCTAAACTTTTAAAATTATTTATTAGTTATTTTTCCGATCGCTCGCAATACGTCCAATTACATGGTTATCGATCTGAATCCTATGTTACCGACTCCGGAGTAAGCCAGGGTAGTACCCTGGGTCCATTGCAGTTCCTAATTATGATCAATGACTTGCCAGATGTTGTTAACACTGCTCAGTGTCTCATGTTTGCTGACGATGTGAAGCTATTCATGGCTATCGGAACCATGGAAGACTGTGTAACTCTACAGCGAGATATTGACAACGTTGTGGCATGGGCTGGACATAATAACTTGGAATTTAATATTTCAAAGTGTAAATCGGTCACATTCACGCGGTCTCGTGTTCCCCATTCTTATGTCTACAATATATCTGGTACGCCGCTTGAACGTGTGTCACAAATACGCGATTTAGGCCTTACGCTGGACACTGCTTTAACTTTTAATAATCATATAACCATCGTTTGTAGTCGTGCATATAAATCGTTAGGTTTTGTGATAAGACAGTCGGCACAACTTCAAGATAAAGGTGCAATATTATTATTATATTATTCATTTGTACGAAGCATTTTAGAATTCAATTCAATTATTTGGAACCTTCATGAAACAAAATACAAGATAATGATAGAAAGAGTTCAGAGGAAATTTGCACGTGTTCTATATAGTAAACTTTACGGCTACTATCCTTATTTGTACCCATCACTGTTCGTATCCGGTATGGTAGGTCTAGACACGCTCGAGGTAAGGCGAAAGTGCAATTTGATGATGCACTATTATCAGTTGCTCAACGGCGGAATAGACAATCCTGCAACTCTTAGCCGTTGTTCTTTGTACGCACCCCAACGCTGCATGCGATTGCGTGCTTGTAGACTACTATCGGCACCGCCGGTTCGTACCTGTACTGCTCAGTTTGCTCCCACGTATCAGGCTATTTCTCTGCTCAATTCTCTGATTGCTCAGCAGCCAGATATTGACGTATTTAATTACAAAAGAAGTATATTTTTAAAATGTTGTACAAAATTTGTAAGTTTGTGAAATAAAACTTTGGCTCACTACACGTTTTGGGAAACTGTAAGTGTAGTGAGAAATTTTCAAATAAATAAATAAATAAATAATTATGTTTAATGCATGCAAATTTTAAACTATCATATAATCACGAATATAAATAGAAATTGCAATTGAAAACAGACTGCATATTTTAAACGAAAAGACATACATTGTAAGTTAATAAAAGCTCGTTAAAATACGATTTTATAATTTCGAATTCTCATATTTGTTGCAAGAAGAAAGTGTAATAACTACTGAATTTAACACTTTAATTAAAATGACGGTTATGCATATGCATTATAAGTCTATAGATGCTATAGATAATATAAAATTCACTACCATAATCGATAGTAGCTCTTTATATAAACACTTACATGTATTTAAACATCTAGTTAAGTCCGCCATTTATGCTTTCTACGTGTATTAAAGTTTAATAAATAAATAAATAAATAGTACTTTTACAGAAAAAGCCGTAACCCGAGCAACCCTCGTCGCGTGGCGTCCTGTGGTTACCAGACGGCTCTCACTGTAATTTTAAATACCAACCCAGATGACTATTATAGTGCTTTTGTGGCCTCACAAGGACTTTTGGTAGATATCTATTATGTTATTTTGTATTAATATGCTTTTTAACGGTAGGTTTAGGTGAATCTATTAACGGTCAATGAATAAATAAATAAATGTCCACTTATAAATGTTTATGAGTAAGTTATTATTATCATTAAATTGATAAAATCTTATAAAATCATGTGCGAAATTTATGTACATATGATCATAATTAAAAGAGTCCTTATGTAGTCGTAGTAATAGCCATTCAAGTGGAGAATTTTGTTTACCATCAGACATACACTGTGTTTATTTAGATATTATTACAATAATTGCTTTATGTCAAAGTTCCGTAAAAATATGTTAGAAGTTGATGCCAAGATCTAATAAGTGCATTGTATATGTATACAAAGTTCAGATAAAATTTAATAAGAAGTCGGGCATTTTGTTCAACACATCATGTTGTACATTATACATATTCAAAATATCAATGATACAAATACATTCTAACAAAATATATTAAATAGTAATGATAGTTACTATAGTGAATCATCTTTAGGAAAGATACAGTAGTTTTAAAAGGGTTGGAATACAAAAAATATTTTATTGAGAACAATAGCTTTTTACAATACAATATGAATAATATTACATAAGTAACAGATTCAAGTTTCTTTACTTTAGGTGTTTATAGATGACGCATACAATATTCCCGACATGGATACTCCTGTACGGATGGTGAATCCGTCCACAGAAGTTCTCATAGCCTTGTCACCGGAGAGCACCTATGCCACGCCTGGCATCAGGTCGTTCAGACCAGAGCAGAGGCAATGCTATTATTATGACGAGGTAAAATTTCTTATGAATATTTATTTTATTTCGATAGTTTCCAGGGAGGATTCAAATGGAGTATTGGAGTACCGACTGGGTATATTGTTAGCAATAGTACTGATAGTTCGCAATATTCGTACTAACAATCCCTTCCCTTGAAAAGGCAGATCAGTTAGTCCACTGTGCAGAATATGCCAAGAAATCAGCACGATGGTTTCCAGGGAAATCTAGGTGGAGGTCGACCTAAAAATTGCTAGCAATAGGACTGGTAGTCCGCAATTACTAACAATCCCTTTCCCCCCACTGAGTCGGTTTTTCTATGTGTGACAATGAAGTGGTAACCCTATCCGCGCTAATGGTATATACCGGCGGGGCATCAGAGATGAATGATAGGTGAGGATGAAGCAGGTCAGTTAGCCCATCGTGACGAATTCAACAAGAATTGTTCACGATGGATTCCAGGGGGAACCATGTGGAGGTCGACCTAATAGGACATATTGGTAGCAATGGGGCTGTCAAACTTCATTGCTTACAATCCCTTTCCCTCCCACTGAGTCGGTTAGGTATTTTCAGAAAAGAGCTTCGATTAAGTTATACTGTAATAGGTGCAAATGATTCATCAAGTTAGGTAGATATATTAGAAGGTAATGAGGTTAGATAAATCGATAATGAGCGCGTTATTTAGGTAGTAGGATAGTAAACATTGGGAGTGGGTGAACTAATAATAAATATACAAAGATTAATTCAACGTGTGGTACTATGTGTATTATTAGTATTATATTTGAATCTATCATGGTGACTTTTACAGTTTCAAGTAATAAATAGAGAACGTAATAAAAAACATATTTTCTTTGTTAATGTTTTGTTTATCTTCAATATGTTAGATGATTTATATTTACATACGCCTTTATATTTGCGTGCTAGTTACATATTTTTTTTATTAAGAAAATTTTGTATTGAATTTAGAAATGAAATTAATATAAAATAAGACGTTATTTAATACATTATTATTTTTTCATACGTTGTATTTTATACAAAGGCTTATCAAATATACAAAGTATTATCTTTAAATACTATTGACGTTATGTTTTTACATAGTGATAATAGTTATTTATCATATTGTTAGTCATTGTTTGTTACCAAGTTTATAGCAAAATGTATATGTATAGTTATTTCTCAATATGCATTAAAATAGCTACTCTTACGAGATAAAATACTCGAGGCAGCTAGTTGAATAAAACTATGAATTATCTTTCCCCGCAATCGTGTTTGTATATACGTATATATTTTATATACGAGTATATTCGTCCCTATTGGGTATTCCCAATAGGGACGAATTCGTTAATAACTATCCATGGCGGTTTAATTTAAATATTTATGTGCATGTTTTTTAAGCTCAAGTATATAAGCAAGCCGGAAAGGTAATTGCACACAGAGGATTCTATTGTTTATTTCAAAGTGAATATTTTCCCTCGATACTATAGTTCTTCTCCTTACAATGACAACGTAAGTGACATGATTGTGGTGACCATAACAGCTATCTTACATGTTTACATTTTAACCGGTTTATTTGGATTCATTGGAGCACAATTAGATTTGTTTTGCCAGAGTTCTAAGTTGGGTTATATAAAATTGACACAGGTATGAATAATAGAACTTATTGAATTGCGACAGTAAACCTCTGTACAACGCTAATAAATTAGCATAATACATTATTATCATACCCATATATAAAAATGGTATGATGATAATTTGTTTCACTAAACTGTGCGTTACATATGCGTGTATAAAAAAATTAAATATAGTTTTATAGGGGTTACAATTTTTATAGAGACAATGAAATTTGCATTAATTTTGTTTAAATTATAAAAGTAATCTATAATGGGCCATCGGATTATCTGGATTATTTTGTGATTGTATCACTACTTTACAGACAGCTGGCGTATGGATGTAGTTATTGACGCAATATTTTCAAAGATATGTCAATACTCCTCTTAATCTTTATATTTTGTGATATATCTATATGGAATCAGAATATTGATAATATATACATGTAAAATAAATATTTTAGTGATTATCTAATAACAAATTATGATAAAAATCCATGATATATTATATTGTGATCCTATTGCGTAAACGTTACGGTTAATACAATTCTTACTAATATTATAAATGTAAAAGTGTAATCCAATTTTTTGTCATTTATCAACACATATTCTTTCAGCAAAAATTGATAGAAAAGGATGCTTATGATTTCGATTTCAGCCTATATAAATAAAAATTGAATGTTGATTATAGGTAGGCTCATCATTAAAGAATAGGTGGACTGACTTAGCTATTTTTTTATATTCATAATAAGTCGGTTAAGATCTAAGGAAAATAAAACTCAACCAAATAGATAAAATAACATCTGTCGGTTCAGTCATTTTAGAATGCAGTGATAAATTTGCGGTTTTACAATTATTAGGATGAGATGAGAAATAAAAATTAGGATGAGAGTATCACATCTATTATTCCAAATTTTCAAAATTTTGTGTGATACACAATTGTGTGATTTAAAAATATATACACACGAAACAAATTTATAATACGAATTTCCATCCAATCATTGTGTAACCTCACCGACCGCATACAAAGGTGTGCGTTCTCTCAATGCAAACTTGATAGCATCTAACTGGCTTCTAAGTAACTTGTACAACATATTCAACACGTAACAAACGCTGTTCGGAAACGGATATTATATATATCTGATTCCTGCATAGTTTTAAAACTGTTAATTAAGTTGAATTTCAATTAAAAAGTTATCTGTTCTGATATGATATTTTATTTATCAAGTATATTGATATAATGTTTTATTTTAGTTGCAGATCGGCCTCTTTCGTCAATACTCTTTCCATAATTGTATGGCATTTCTCAAAGTGGAATTGTTCCGACGTACGTGCGAATGCGTGCCATACTATTTTCCAATGAAAGGTGGTATTATCTGTGTATAATCGTGTATAATATTTTTAATAAGTATATCTAAAACTTTTTTGCTTTTGCCTGCGCTTTCTTATGCATGATTTTGGGATAAATCACGTTATGTTTTAACTTCAATCTTCAGGAATACAACTGTGAAAATCGTATCAAGTTTGGTGCTGTAATTTTTGTGAAATACTAAAACATACATACAGACATGGGCAACACAGTATACTATGTTTTATCTACAGTATTATTTGTGTATATAGGTGGCGGTTACTACTTTCCATCAGGTGGGCCGTCAGCTTGCATGCGATTCTAAGTTGCATAAAAAATGACAGAAATCTAAAAGTGAAGGCTTTGGTTTTTAAGGCTCTTATTAAGACACACACATTTAATTTTTTTTAAATATCTTTTGTATACAGATAACTTCTAGATATCAATTTTATTATATGTATATAGATACCATTATATGTATATTGATAGATATTTTAAAAAGTCTTAATTTTTATTAAAAGTGTTTTCATTTATCACCAGTTACTAGAGGGAGACTTTGTACAAAAACCAGAGGGAAACTTTGTATAAAAGTCAATTGCTCGGGTACCTCTGTTCCATTCGTGTTTCTATCGTGAAGCAGTTGTATTTACACGGCTGTATTTCGGTTTGTAGGGTGGGATATGGCGTGAATTTACAGGGTACAGAGGAATAACACCTGAGTCCTCAGGAATAGCAACACATGAGAGGTATCATGGACGAAATAGTATACTCTGTTATGTCCATGGTACTGCTCATGTCTATAGGCGACGGTTACCACTTTCTATCAGGTGGGCCGTCAGCTTGTTTGCTATTCTAAGATGTATAAAAAAAATATTAGATAATACACGAAATTACAGTTATCCTCCATGACACATCAACTTTATTGTAGTTTTACAGTTACTTATCGACATTATTTTATTTTTCAGGTCAATATCGTGTCTGTAATTTTAATGACTTAGACTGTTTGGAAAGCGTTTTAAGTAAGAAAATATTTTGAATATATATCCGTATAAATTATTATGATATAATGAGGATTTTCCCGTATGAATTAAGTTAAAAAATATTGTGTGTACTCCTACAATAAATTTCAATTAAATCCGTTTAGCCTTTACATTACGATTGAGTAACAAATATTTTACAAATGCTTTCATATATAAATGTTAACAATCATCATCATCATTATATGGGTTTGCCAATAGTGGCTATGCTTGGAAGATGGGTTGGCAATCGCAGTTAGCTTTTGGTGATGTTTTAAAAGAGACGCTGCTGCTCATCCCTTGACAATTAAATTCTCTTAGTCGCCTTTAACGACTTTCACGGAATACGAAAGGAAATAAATGAAATATTGAAATGATAATAATAACTTGCCACGCCTGTCTACCATTAGGGTAGGCAGAAACAATGGAACGCCAAATGCTTCGATTCAAACAAACCTCTTTCGCTTCTTTCATATTGAAATGAAGAAATGAAATTTTATTAATACTTTAATTATATTCACACTTAATATTAATAATATATTAAGTAGATATAATATCTTATATTAAGTAGAATTGTTGTAGCAATAGTTTGATTCTAGTCATTTAACTGTTTAACAATAGGCACGCTATGCTTTTTTTCATTATTATGTTTTTAAGTTTAATTTACATTCACAACAAAAATAATTATATAAAAATGTATAGCAGTAAGTATGTTTGAATATTTGTTGTTAGATCACGCAAATTAGGAATGATGATGATAAGCGGCTAAACGGATTTCCATGAAATTTGTCTATCAGCCTGAGTGTAATCAGTCCAAGACAAACGCAAGTGGAAAATGCAAATTCTTGATTTGTATGTTTGGATTAGGGCAAAAACTTAGAAAATTCAAGATATTAACTGAAGGCGCTATAAAAAATGTAAACGTAATGCTTATACATTACTGTTTTCATCTTAGTATGGTAAATGATTTTACCTTTGTCTTTAGTGTCGCTGCAACTGACTGCAATTTAATAAGCGTAAAAATTCCATAATAATTATGATTCTATCCATCTTCTAAAAATACGAAAAGAACGTATACAGATTAGTTTTTACATACATATTTTGCGCATTGTAGCATGCATGTGTACTTAGCTGACGTTTTGGCAGTTCTTATTGTATTATAAAAATATTGCATTGAGAGTGTTTTTTGGAGTCAAAACCAGTCTAATAATTGTAATTGACTCTTATCACGATTAAACGTTCTGATCAATTAGTAAGTTATATTTCAATATTTTATGCAAGGTGTCAAATAGGTATGGTAATCTAAGGAATATTGTAAAATCTTAAACTGCTGTGAAATGGAACGTAACATTATCTCCTTGTACACATTGATTTAAAGAAATCACAGCTGTAATAATTCTTACTTTGTTTCCTGCTACATTTCGATTGAAAGCTCCTGAAACGTAATATAAGAAAAGTAATATCATATAAGAGGAGCTCTAACACATAATTTGTTAAAAAAAATTTAGACAACTATCAATAACAGGATTATATTGTATTTTCGAAACGGTAATGGCGCGAAAAGGGTTTGCTGTCTTTAAATAAATCTTGTAACAACACGGCGAGTATTTTACACGCTTAGTTTTCATATTGACTGAGGTGCCTTTTACTTTGGTCTATTGTAATCATTCTAATAGTGTTCTATTAAGTTATACAGACACATGTTATTTTGCAGATCCAACAGAACGATATCAGAATGAATCTCAATATGGACAAACGTTTCAATGCTTACCTGAGTGTGAACATTTTGATTACCATTTAGAAGTAGCTCTAGGAGAATTAGCAAATAATATACAACTCAATGGACTGCCATTTTAGTAAGTTATGTATTTGTATGTAATAAATATGGATAATTAATATCTTTCTCTACTCTAATGGATTTTATGCATTCAAATTGTCTGTAATTTAGTTTGTGTATGGCATAGTACTTTGAACAAAAAAATATTCCGGTAAGGTATATTTATTTGTTAGTTTTCTAATTTATGTCGGTTTTGAGTGTTGTGTTGTTCTTCCAGATGTTTGTTTATGAATTTCTCATAGTATTTATGTCCCACATGTTATTATTATTATATTTACATGTCTGGTAATATAATAATCGATTTGGTATATATAGTAGTTGTATGGGTCTTTTACTTTTCCGCCTGGGATACAAGTTTGAAGAGAAGTAGGTTACATACGACAAAACAATATTTCTTGTATGCACATGCGATTTATTCATGTGTTATAATAATATGCAGTTATGCATAAACACTTGATAATTACTTGCGCGAAGGGCATTAGTGTTACTGAATTGACGTTGGGATGTTCTTTGAGCTGGAAAAGTTTGTACATGAAGGAAAATTGAATATCTATAGGGACATCTTGAATGTATTGAATTAAATTAACTTTTTTATTCAAATATTATTATTGATATAACCAATTTTATTAAATAAGAAGTATATTTTTTTTAAAGAAATTGAGTAACAGATATGATTTAGCTTTTCTATTATTTATGAAATAGCTCTATGGAAAAAGGTATACTGTATTTTTTCATGGAGTTATTTCATAAACTGAATTCTGAAATGAAACTGAAATTCTGGTTAAAACAGGGCCATATTATAAACACTTCATTTAAACTCTAACATCAAATTAAAGAAGTAATTTTAATAGTACAATATTATAAAAAGGTTTGGTCGGAATTAAAATAATAATAACATATATATTATGTTTCAGTAAAGACATCAATTTGGAGAATCGGTCTCTCTTGAATGTGTTCTTCAATGACTTAGTCGCCACAAAGTATCGACGTGACGTGTATTTAAACTGGCAAAATATATTAGGTTTGTATTTGGCTACATGAATATGCATATTGGTAAGGTCCTCGCACCTACAAGTAGGTACCTATATAAATTTGCCTGCCTATTATGTGAACATATATAGGGTATTTATATAGTATAAATCAGTATTTGATTTAAAAACTAAATTACTGGACAAATTTTGATAAATGTCTATGGGACCAATTTGCAAGTATATTCTATATATATATATATAGTAGAAAAAAAAGATTTCCTAAATTAGTTTACAACCGATGGAGTAAATTACAACCGAATTGAGAACCTCCTTTTTGAAGTGGCTTTTCAATCCACTTTAAAAAGGACTCGGCGTTATATGAATTCACAGTGAAGCACCAAAAATTAAGTTAGTCGGCTCGATTTCCGATGCTAAAACACAATTTATATACCTTTTTTTTTATACAACTTAGAATGGCAAACAAGCTGACGGCCCACCTGATGGAAAGTGGTAACCGTCGCTTATAGACATGAGCAGTACCATATATAGTACTCCATGCGTTGCCATTCCTGTGGACTCAAGTGTTATTCCTCTGTACCCTGTAAATTCACGCCATATCCCATCCTTCAAACCGAAATACAGCCATGCAAACACAACTGCTTCACGGTAGAAACACAAATGGGACAGAGGTACCCAAGCAATCGACTTTTGTACAAAGTCTCCCTCTGGTACCTTTTCTTTATTTACCAATAAATAATTATTATGTAAATATTTAACTACTTATTTCTAACGGTTTGTCCGTGTGATTTATGATAAAAGTATTCGATGTGTTGATTTAGTATATGCTCTACTTTTATATCATTTTATTCAAATGTGTTCGAGTAACCAATATTTCAAAATCTTTAAAAACTTTTACATTTATATACTAGCTATATTCCGCGGCTTCATGAATACTGATTCGTTGTAATAATTTGTGATTGTATATAAAGTATTCTATGTGCTAAGTTAGTATGTAATCAATCTGTGCCTCAATTTAATTAAACACGTTTGAGATCTTGTATGCAAGAGTAACAAACATTCATTTATCTAAATATTGTCACAAGCTTTTGCATTTACAATAATAGCTGTATATTTGTTTATGTACTCTAAATATTAATAGTTGTAGCACTTCAGCTGCCCGCTAACAACATGTTTTCTAACTGCATTGGGTTGACTGGAAGAGATCTCTGTCAGAGATAAGTCCACCCTTGCTCACAATATTTATAAATGCATTAACAATGTAATTTACAAGTGCAATAAAGAATATATAATATAATAATAGTAGAATTAATAGAATAATAGGATGTTCACGACGGGATAATTGGATAATAATAATAATAATATTGGAATACAAAGAAATGGAAAAACTTAATAAATATCATAAATTAAAAACCGAATTTACTAGATTATGGCAAACACAAGCGACAGTATTGCCAATAATAGTGGGAGCGACAGGTGTAATAGCGAATAGCTTGAGTAGGTATTGCGAACAACTACACACGAATATCAAAATAGGTATATTACAAAAACAAGCAGGCATGCATTCCTCGCTCATAATATGTAAAGTACTAAGAAATACAATAATCACACTAAACTTACAAGATGCACCACATCACACTACTACAGACACGCATACACACGTATAGAGCTATGAAGCATAAAAATAATATATATGCATATTTGCATACACACACGTAATAAAAGGGGATCTCAGCTTTCTTTTTTCCAAAGGTTTTTGGGACGGGTTGTCTGAGAAAACCGGCAAATTAGCCGAAAATGAAGTACATAATAATAACTTTACCCCTTGATACTGAAGTAGTGAATATATGATAGCGTAAGTCGGACTATATAATGTTTAGTTGATATATTTCGTTTATTTAAATAAAGTTCTTATCGCGGTAATTTTTCATGATTATACTAGATATAAACCAATCTAAGTATAGTGGCATACTCTATCAACTGGTATAAAATATTATACTATAAATAGACTATCAGTAAATTGCTTGTATGCTTCGTTTAATGTGTAATCATATTCGTCAGATAACGTCACAACAGATCTAGTAGGTATACTGAAGAGGATATCCAACTGATGCCACTAATATTATAAATGTGGAAGTTTGTAATTTTTTTTATACAACTTAGAATGGCAAACAAGCTGACAGCCCACCTGATGGAAAGTGGTAACCGTCGCCTATAGACATGAGCAGTACCATGGACATAACAGAGTATACTGTTTCGTCCAATATACCCCCCATGTGTTGCCATTCCTGAGGACTCAGGTGTTATTCCTCTGTACCCAGTAAATTCACGCCATATCCCACCCTTTAAACCGAAACACAGCCATGCAAACACAACTGCTTCACGGTTGAAACACGAATGGGACAGAGGTACCCAAGCAATCGACTTTTGTACAAAGTCTTCCTCTGTAAATATGTTTGTATGCCAGTTGTTTAATCACGCTTAATCGAGTGAGCTTAATCTAAGTTAACATATGGGAACACATCACCATACGCCAAACTGTGGTTGCCAACCCGCCTGTCAAGCGTGGCAACTACTGGCAAAATCCCTCAATGGTAAACTGCCATACATGCTTCCGTTCGTTATGGCAGTCTATGAGGGAGACCTACGTTCAGCAATTGACAGATAGCGGCTGATGATGATGACGATATGGAATAATAATTAATAAATATCATTGGACATATACACGGCGCCATCTAGTCCCAAACTAAGTAGAGCGTACATAGTTTATGGATATTACACTACTGATAGAAATAAAACACTTTTTATGAATACAAACATATTACATTATATATAGAAACAACCAAACCAAGAGAAATATACTGATGAATAAAAATGTTTTTATAATGCGCGAATAAAACTTGCGACTATCGGAAGGTGAAGCGGTATGTTTTCCACAAGTGATATAAAAAAATAGCAAAGGCATAGGCTTAAAGTTTTCAGTTAAGTATTACTTGTAGAGAATATTAATATTCCTATACATATATACTAATAATATAAAGAGAAAAGATTTGAGCATTTTTTTGTTTATAATGGATAAACTTAAAAACTATTTAACCGATTTTAAAAATACTTTCACCTATAGAAAACTACGTTACCAGCGAGTAACATAGATTATATATTATTTACAAAAATTCTATGCACGAATGATAAATATAAATTTCGTGAATTAAAATAAATCTCACTATTATTATAAGTGAGAAAGTGCGTGAGAATATTTGAATCGATGGATGTCTGTTACTCTTTCATACAAAAATTACTGAACAGATTTCAGTGACGATTGATACATAAATAGGTTATATCTTCATTTAGAATACTTTATATAAAGATTCACGCGAATGAACCCGCGGGGTGTAGCTAGTTTGAAGTATATATTACAGTATTTTGACAAATTCAGTTAGAAAGAATTTGTAACACTTCAATAGCAAAATTGTTTTATTAGAAGATTGATATTTTTAATAAACAGGGTATAAATGTAACTATATAGTTTTTTCATTAATGGATTATAATAAAATGGTAATCCAGCTTACGTTGTTGGTATACGTTGGTGGGGTACCAGTGATAGATGATAGGTGAGGATAAAGGCAGGACAGTTGTACCATCATGAAGAATTCGACAAGAATTAACCGCGATGGTTTTCAGGAGGAACCGCGTGGAGGTTGGCCTGTTAGGGTAGATTGCTAGCAATGGGACTGTAAAAACCCATTACTAACAAACCCTTTCTTCCTTACCCATCTAGATTTTAACATAGAACAAGTTACAAGATTGCTTACCAGTTTGAAAAAAGAAAAATATAAATATATTTAAGGGGTTTGTACTAGGTATATATGTTTATGGTTAGTTTAATATAATAATAAACTCATGTGATCTTTCCAAAGATATTATTAATTGTTAATTATTTTAATATTATCCATTAATTTTAAAATAGATGAGTGGCATATTTTTTTTTTCGTTTGTTAAGCTATGTTTTTTGGGGCAGATATTCAGTTTTGGTACATTACAAGGATGCCAAAAATATTGGACTCGTCTTATAAGACATTTCAAATATTGTATTTTGATGTTTAATTAAGATACGTATTTTTTTTTATTTTTAGCTGCATTTGGGGGTCTTCTAAGTTTAATGCTTGGATTCACTCTTATATCAGGATTCGATCTCATACTATTTTTTACATTTACAACTGTCTACAAGCAATTCTTCAAGCGTGTTGAGTATAAGAAAAATGCTTTATCAAATTCTAAGAAACATAAAATAAATCGAATAAATGTAAAATACTATCCAAAAAAGAATACATGGTTGGAAAAGTCAAGTGGAATATATCATAAATGAAATTTGTTAATAAAATTACGAGTATATCCGTAATATTCAAGTAAATTAGAATAAGTGTAAAGATGTGTGTTTATTAAATGGTAATTAGACTGTTATTTAAAAATATAAAACTATATAAATAATACCTAATAACGTTAATAAATAAAGAAATAAACAAGAATGTTATTTAATTTCAGTACCTACAGTTATGAAAGATTTTTTTACATATAGTTTCATTAGGTACATAACATGAATGTTATATGATAATGTACTACTCATGTTAACCCCAGAGATTTATATTTATGACGGATAATTTTATGATGGTTATAAAGGATGTTTCAATAGGGAATTGCAATCTCATAAACTAAAACTTCACAGCCACTTCAACTTCGGCTGAATAATTTTATAAAAATAATTGATGGAACATGTGATTCTTGGTTTATTATCGGAAGGCTCTACATATGTTTCAATATTCTAAGTTTAAAAAATATAAGACAAGAAAGTTTTACTGTTTTTATTAATATATGAATTGTGATATATATATATATATATATATATATATATATATATATATATATATATATATATATATATATAATAAAAATATATATAGATAAATACTAGGTATCCTGTTGTATTGGGATGTCATGAATTAATTACACCTACAAGAGGAAACTCTTAAATGAAATGAGAGAGTTTATGCATGAATTCCTTTTAAACAAATAGTTTTAACATCAATATTATGTTTATATAGAGATAGAGGTTTTCCAGGATTTTATTTTATCTATTTATTTATTGATAAAAAATTTATTGAGTCCGAATTTTTATATATAGTAGTCAACGAATAAAGAGCAATATAATTTGTTATCACATAGTGATATTATGTAGAAAAAATTCCATTACAAAAGTTATCATGTCAGTGTTGTTCAGAACAAACATTGTTAGAATTGTACTTGCTTAGTGTTTCATTTTCTGATTCATAAACAATTATTCTCCTTATATTGTCTTATCTCGTAATAGTACGGAGGTCGGGAAGTAGATGAACACCAATGTTTTTAAACGTATTTAAAAAGATAGACAGTTCATATAAAAGTAAATAAAAAAATATATGGACACAGTCTGCGCTGAAGAATGAAACCTTGACTGTTTATGGTTTTTAATTTCCTTAAATTTTTTTTACCGTTTTTGTTTTACTATGTCATTGTAAATGTTATTTTTAAATTATTATTATTTAATTTGTATGATAATTACTTATTTAAGATACACCATAACCAAATTCATTTTTTAAATACGTTCTCACTGTATACAGTGCTAATTTTTATTAAAATCTTACCTAATATTACTTATACTTTTAGAATATTAGTAAAGTTAATAATTTTGCCGTGTCTAATAACTACATTGTGTGATATTTGTAGCGGTTTTTAGTACTTATCTCATTGAGTTAATCAGGTAAATTATATCTTATGACTGAATAACTAGACGTTGAAAAAGTCATAATCACGGCTAATCTATGATATGTTTGGGTGAGTCGAAAAGATGAAAATACAGTGATAATAGATGTTGTCATGATATCTTATATTAGTTTGAGAAATAAAATTAGTATATAAATAGTAGGAAATTTGAATAAGTACAATATAATAATAAATATATTGAAATATGATTTTTATCTGATTGTAGTTATTTGTCATGTTTTTTATCACTTATCATTCATAAAAGTGGTTAAAATGTTTGTGATAACTCGTAAATACGGAGAAGTCGAATTAAACAGTCTAACAGTGGTTGATTTTAATTGCAGTTATCCATAGGAAAAAAGAAATTTTGGACGTGTTTATGTACACCTACACAGAAAAAAAATGCTATGGGGATTATATAATAACAAGATCATCAGATATTTAAATATACTTACCTTACTGTCTAATAATAATAATAATGACTGAATACCAGGGGAATACCAGAAACGATAATAGGTGACGATGAATCAAGTCAGTTGGCTTGTCAAGACGAATTCATCAAGAATTAATCATGATAGTTTCCTAGGAGGTACCGTGTTGATCCCTTCAGCTCGAGTTCCATTAGATCAGGCTAACCTTATCACTTATAAAATATATCAGGTGTGTATCTATTACCATTGGTGTATTTAAGATTATTTTTCTAATTATTGACCCCTTTAAAAAGGTTTTTGCGCATAACTGGAAGCTTCGCTTGGAATCTGGAGTAGGTATTAGAGAATTTTTAAACACGCCTTTGCCTATTGTTAGCGATGGAACAGCTAATCCTATTACTAACAATCCATTCTCTTTTTTAGTAATGGTAATACCAGATAGTTGTTACTTTTTTTGTACTATACTTTCTTTAAGAATAGGCTCCCAAATAGGCGACCTCTACGCTTTCCCGGTTGTCCATTTGATAGCTGACCCGTCGCTAGATATTGAAGAGAATAAAAATAAAACTGTGATGGCAAGGTAGTAAAATGGTAAGCTAAGTTTTTTCTTTTTTTATTATTTTGATATTTTTATTATTAATATTTTCTCTATTATAGGGAAGGTAGGTAAAGATTTATGGTGGTTGCCAGTTCTTTGAAGCTGTGAATGACGTGGATAGACGAGTCCGAATTTCTCAGTGTAGTAACTGATTCTATTAATGAAGATATTTTTGGAAATTTTCCGAGAGTCGGGAAAAGATCGATGGAACGAAATAAGAGAATATTGTAGTTGATTTATAAACACTGATTTAGAATGCCCTTAATATCTCTGTCGTTAAGGAATCATCGCCAGGACCCTATTTGGCGACATCGAGAAGAGGTATTATGTTTTATACAACCTAGAATAGCAAACAAGCTGACGGCCCACCTGATGGAAAGTGGCAACCGTCACCTATACACATGTGCAGTACCATGGACATAACAGAGTATACTGTTTCGCCTATGATACCCCCCATGCGTTGCCATTCCTGAGGACTCAGGTGTTACTCCTCTGTACCCTGCAAATTCATGCCATATTCCACCCTTCAAACTGAAACACAGCCATGTAAACACAACTGCTTTACGGTTGAAACACGAATGGGACAGAGGTACCCAAGCCAACGACTTTTGTACAAAGTCTCCCTTTGGTAAAATGGTAGGTATTCTTCAAGTGTCTTCTGAGTGAAAGGGAGGTCGTCCTCAGTACTAGGGAAAATATTTATCTCGCATCTGAGCGCTCGCTGCTGTGCTAACGTATCGAGGCCATAAACGAGGAAGTAATGATTAAATAATGCCTGAGTCGTAAACTGACTGGAGTTAGTGTGCGTTTCTATTTTGATTGTATATAGAGGAAGACGTATGTTTTTTTTTTGGTTTCAATAGCCTCTTGGTAATCGACGAAACGTCCTTTTTGATTTAAGACTTTCAGAAATTTCTAAAGTGTTTGATAGAGGTTTTGGAATTTATATGCATACTTGCGTTTTAGGGCGCAATACGAGAGGTCATACATGTGGTAGACTAACTTAACAGATCGCTTTTAAAGGCTTTCCAGTTTACCACCGGTTTATCCCTTTATTGATGGCACTTGACATCTGAGGTACAGAGGCCTTGAATATTACGAACATTATTAGTGAACTTTTGTATCTTTTTTGCAACAGCGATCATGACGAGCTTATTAGACTTCGTTATGACTTTGCCGTCTGCTATGGTTTGTATAAGGCACGGCACTTAAAGAGTGAAGAACAAAAAAGAGATAAAGTCGGTCACTTGATCAGCACATGCCCGTAGGACCGGCGATGGCAGAAAGAAGCCGTGCAAGCGTTGTGTTCCTTGCCAAACTGCAAGAATGCAGTTTCGAATGCTATAAGTAGAAAAAATAGATATAAAACGAATTTAACGTATAAGGAATAGAATCACTTATCCCACGATAGGTGGTAACAAAGTCAAATTAGGTGGCGTTAAAATAAAAAAAAACAATTATGCGGACGTCAGGTTTTTTATTCTGTCTATACATGGCGCAATAATTTATTTAGATGACGCTCAAATTAAATAATCCGCATTTTTTTTATTGAAATTAATTAAACCTTGTATGTACTGATCATTATCAAATTCAACACGTAGTAGTATGGCTAAGAGGAATGGGATACATATTACATACTGATTATGCGGGCAATGCCACGAGAAATAGTTATATTATTATATTATTCTGCTACTTGTATAATAATATTATAATATTGTTTTTACCTCTTAGAATAATTAGATACCTATATACTACATACTAATCATGCAACATGTATTTTAATGTCTAAAAATAATTCCATGTTTTTAGTTTCTATAATTTAGATTTTTTCTTAAGAGGTTTTACTATTCTGACATATATTTACCTATTTTATCATCTAATTATTTCATACACATCAAATATGAATGAATGAAAAGAGACAATTACGGCGATATCTAATATTTTCATCATTGATTCAACTTTAGGGCATCAGGTTTCAAGCTTGACCATCTCTGTAATAAGTTGTCAGGCTATGATTACCACTTTCCAATAGATAGGTAAACAGTTATTTTATAATTCTTGATAAGTTTAAAAAGATTAATGATATATTTTATTTGACATAAAGAGATATGATAAAAAGGTTTGTATTATATATTTTGTATAATCGTGTATATAATTTTTGAACTCGACGATATCAAAATTACTTGAATGAAATTAGATAGCAATACAGGTATTCTATCAAATGATGTATTATTTATCTAATAAAGGACTAAAATATTATTATCATTAAAATTTGATGCTTGATTAAAAATCTTTTAGCATTAAATAATTTTGATTATACATCTATTTTTACTTTCATACATCTAGGTACATATTGAAATTTATATTTTAATACTTTATTTTAAATTTGCAGTATTTTTTATCAAAATGTCTTTACATGTAATGGTATTCATTAAATATAAAATTTTTGTCTACTAATCGGTATGTCTTATCAATTAAGATTATCTCTTTAAAAACCTCTGCATATGATATCAAACTTTCAGTATTGTGTACGAGATCTGATTGTAGAGTGTTACACTGGAATTAAATGTTGAATTACATTAATTAATGAAAATGTTCTTTTAAACGACACATTTTACTAAACATCGCTTGGAGTAATTATTTCAATAAAATGTAAGTATAAAATCGTATTTTGTGTTATTATTGTATTAATAGATATTATAAAGAATTAATATTTGTATAAATATCTACCTAGATGTAGGTTTTATTTAATATATAAAGTACTTATACTTTTTAAGTTTGCTGAATGTGAAATTATATGCTTTTATTTTATGTTTTTATGTGATATATAAAAGCGCAAGTATTCATTTTGTACCTATTTGTTATATATGTATTACTGATATTATTTGACTTAATTTTCATAATGATGATGTCTATATGCTGTTTCCGTCAGCTTGTTTGCCACTACAAATTGCATAAAAATGTTTAATACTTTTTGTAGTCTATTTAAATAAATATACGAGTCATTGGTATTTTTTATTATATATGGATATATTGGTGTATTTATTATATGAATATAATGTAACTTATTAATTTATTTTTATTACTAATTAACACTTTGTAATTTAAGCTAAAAATAAAAAAAGAGATATATATCAATGTGGTTGAATATCTTTTAGTATTTCTCAACAAATGTAATTTTGAAATATCGCATGTAAAACTATTTTGCAACTTACTAGCTATATATGTTACAAAGAGTAGACTCTTCTTCCACTACTCGTATTTTGTAACTTCTTATACTGTATTGGCATATGATTTTAGGACCTCTTCGATTAGTATTACGTTTAACTACTTCTTCATAATCGCGATCAAATTGTAAAAAAATATATATTGTTTGATTAACAGTTTGCTTCAATGATTTACACTTTTGTATTATACATTTAATATTATATATTAAGATATCAAATAGAGTATTTATTTAATGCATAATTATCTTTAACAATCGTAAAGGGCTAAGCAATATCATTATCTGTCTGTAATCTAAAGTTATTTGTCAACACGAAACATTACAAAACTTACATACCTACTGCCCCATTTTCATACATTCTTTTAACAACTTGGATAAATATAATCAATTGCTCTTTATGATGATAAGTAATAACTGTATACAAAATTGCAAATACAATGGAATTGTAATAATTTCTTTATCAGCTGTTAGTGTCCATTATCAGCTTTCGAGTACATAATTCATTATATTCAAGGCAATGAACTTAACACTGGTTTAATTGTAGTCGTTTTGAATAAACTACTATATATGGTAAACTAATAACGCATTGAAACAAAATAAATAAAAGAAATGAAAAATTTGATGCGAATTATTAATATTAAAGTAATTTTTTCACTCTGAAATATAACAGTCGGACACTCATCTTTATGTCGTAGGAGTACCGCACCATGTGGTTCTTTTCATCGTTTTTAATGCGAACTTCTTAGGAATGGAACGCTTTTCCTATATATGTGTGTTCTAGGATACAAACTGTCATGTCAGTGATATGTATTTTCTGAGTAAGCGTACGTACCATCTAATATTTTATTATTATTTACCATCAGATAAGGCAAGATTAAGGGCAAATACATTTAGGAATTAGCTCAATACTAAATACAAAAATTGATGTTAGTCACACAGTAAAAATTCTTAACTTATTAAAAACTTAGCTATTTTATAACTCCTGTTAAAAATATGAATAGTTTATTAGGTTTCAATGAATACCACAATTGTAAACGATCAAGTTAATAATTTTTCGACGATAAAAACAAAATTATTTTGGTCACTTACTAAAGTTGTGTTCTATCGACACCGTAGTAACAAAACAAATAATTCATTATTATATACGTACATTATCTAGAAGCTGAGTTAGATTGATTTGCCTTTCCTACCTAGATAGATACTTATGAAGTAGGTCCAATTTACAATAATGGATGTATTTGATATATATTTTAACGGGGAAGCTAGACTTCCTAAAAAGGCGTATGTGTAATATCGGTTATATCTTTGGGCATAGACGAAAGATAAGCTCCTGATAATTTCTCCTACTCTCTTCGGGATTGACGAAATGTGATCCTGGTATAGAATGGGCTAACCTTCTTTTTTCCGTAGGCGTTGTAAGTGATGATTAGGGAAACTTAGTGGTCAATGAATAGACATCCTATATTTCTATTGATTTCAAATTTGGTTTAGTTTTCATATTGTTGGTCCGCACATATTACAATGGAAATAATCGAAACATTACTATGAGCTCTATATAAATATTAGGTGTAAAGTTAATTTTATTTTTTATCTATCTATGTACAGAACCCTCAGCATGCGAGTTGAACTTGCACCTTATTTTTTTTAATAAATATGTAGGTAGGTATATTGACTGCTGTTTTTTGATAACATATGAATTAAATGTTTATTAGTAGAACGTTGAGTTCTGCGATTTGTATTCGAAATTAATTCTTTATTGATTACATTATTAAAAATAATTGAGATATAAACGATAACAACCGGATTTCTCTGCAATATCATTTCACGACATGTATATGATCAAATTCGGTGAAAAGAAGTCGATAATAACTATACATTGAACTCTTATTTACTTGCAGCGTATAAAGATAGCGTAGGCGATGTTACTATTTCTTTATCACCTTTTTATTATTTTTATTTTTATTATTACTGCTGGACATAAGTCCGTCCCCCGTAAGGGGAGTTTTACCAGTAGCTCCCATGATTGGCAGACGGGTTGGCAACTGCAGTTAGGCTTTTAGAGATGTTTTAAGAGGGACGCTGCCGCTCATCCGCTGCTACTCACCTTCCTTGAGATATTTCAAGAATAAGATTATTAAAAGATTTATTATTATTATTTCAAGATTTTCAGTATTAGATTAAGCTAACGTAGAAAGGGGAAAAATAAATATAATAAATATAAATATATACGGACAAATCACACAGATTGAGCTAGCCCCAAAGTAAGTTCGAGACTTGTGTTATGGGATACTAACTCAACGATACTATATTTATAATAGATACATATATAGATAAACATCCAAGACCCAGGACAATCAGGAAAAGATCGTTTTCTATCATGACCTGGCCGGGGATCGAACCCGGGGCCTCCACGTCGCAGGCAGGCGTGTTGACCGCTGCGCCATGGAGGACGACTAAATAATAAAAATAATGAAAATCATTGCTTTTTAATTGCATTAGATCAATGGATGTATCCTTACTAGTATTATTAATGTGAAAGTGAGATAGTTTATTGATTTATTACTTTTCAGCTAATAATGATTTACTAATCACTATATATATATATATATATATATATATATATATATATATATATATATATATATATATATATATATATATATATATATATATACTATATAGGATGGAGAAGGAGTTAGATAACCATTTTTTATCCCGGCATCTTTTATCAAGGTCTAGTCAAAGCAGGTAGGACTAAAAATATGAAGTATTACAGAAATTTTATTAATTTAAATTACAAAAGCGAAAACATTAAAGAATTTCTAAAAAGTCTCCGTAACAACCAATCTTGTGCGTGCAAAGCCGTGGGAAACAGCTAGCACTGATTACAGAAACAATCGTGCTGATTAATTTAAGCCCTACTATACAAATATGACAAATGACTGTTTTACAATTGTAATCTGCTAAGTAATATTAATAATTCTATTATAGTACTTATCGGTAAATGAAGTTCCTTTAATTAATGAATTTAGTACCTATGTATATGATAGTGATTTTCATGTTGTCTTTTTTTAGAGATCTCTAGCCAGTTTTATATTTCTGTAAGTCCTAATTACGAGAAGAGATTGTTAGTTTACAATATAGAACCTTTATAAAATAAAACATAAGAACATTATTAATTTTTAAACTTCTCGAAATAGTTCCATATTAAATGTGCAAGATTTTGAGAAAGAAACGACAACTATTATGTAGTTATAAAATGATGTATATTTTATTTTACCTTTAAAGTATTTTATTTATATTATTATTTGAGCCATTAACTCTCCACTACTGAACATAGTCTTCCTCATAAGGGAAGTTTTGCCAGTAGTTGCTACGCTTGTCAGGCGGGTTGGCAACTGCTTTTAGAGATGTTTTAAGAGGGACGCTGTTGTTCATCCTATGGGAAAGTAAGCGGTGGCCTATTCTATGCCGGGACCACATGGCAAAGACAACGACACACGTTACAATATATTAATGTCAGCTTTTAAGCACGATATTTTACGCGTGACCAGTGTTCGTTATTTTTTTAATGGATGATAATGGAATAATGGCTCCGCCTGCACTATCAGTATAGTGGGGCACCAGTGAGGGATGATAGGTGAAGATGAAGTAGGTCAATTAGCCCATCGTGACAAATTCACTAATGAATCAATCCCGATGGCATCCAGAGAAACCGTGAGGAGATCGACCTGATAGGGTATATTGCTAATAATAGGGTTACTAATCCCCATTTCTAACAATCCCTTTCCCCCACCGGTGTATGTTTATTGACCGGGATAAAAAATAACCTACATATACTCTTCTTCTTATATAATATATGTACACGTATTACATTCCGTATAATACGTGTATATCAAATTTCATAGTGATTGGTTAAAGCACTATAAGATAACAAACAAGTAATTTGTTTATTTTCTCACTTTTATGATTATAATATTAGTAAAGAAATCATTATGATAGAGTTAAATAATAAATCTATAAAACTCAGTCTAACTCATAGACGTGGTATAATGTTCTACATACTGACAAACTGGCAATAAAGTCTCAAAAAGGAGAATAGTTACATTGGTTTGCGTGTTTTATAATGGTATGTGTGTGACAGGTTTAAATTTATATGGAACTGAAATTGAAAAATAGCAAATATTTTACTTATTTTGTACAATTTTAATTTCAGTTCTTGGACGTTCAAAACTTTTTTGAGTCAAATTAGTTATATTTTTCTATCAATAATTATATAAAATATTTATGATTGTTCTATAACATTGCATTTAAAGAGATAAATGTTTAAAATGTAATTACGTAAAAAAAAAAAACAAATCAAAATGTAAAAATAATTAGAACTTGTTTTGTTCATACACGTACACCAAATACGATACTAATCAATACCAAATCAGCTTCGAGCTTGTATTGTGCAAAGAATATATAATTACTCTGTTTTTAGATGAATGCCCTATCTTTCTGTATATATGTACGTATCTCTATATATATTCTATTACGTGTGTTTTCTTTTACATTACCATCGTACATACTTGTGTATACTTTATAATCTAAAATCTAAGGCAAAAGTTTAGGTTAAGGATAGTATCTACCTAAGTGATTAGAGAGGAACGCTCATTTTTCAAAAAGAATATTCAGATCTGTTATTGCGAATTCAATCTTTAAAATTCGAATTCTAATTATCAGCTGGTATAAAAAAAAAAGACGGCCAAGGCTTTCATTATTAATATTTTACTCAGTAATTTGCGTCATAATTGATCGTATCGTATCTATCAGTTTAAAGACGTCAATGCTATAACATCTAGATCAGTTAGATATTTACGTACTTTGTTATCCAGTTAATGATTGTTTTCTATTTGATTGAGGTTGAAGATTGTTGTCAGTATTTAATTGACAATAGATATTACAGAGTCTTAAGAATTATCCAAATTAGCAGTGAGTAGATAAAGTCGCTTATAATTTCGACTAATTCTTTAGCGATGGTAAATATCACCCAGAAACCAAATTAATGCAATAGATGGATATTGCACCTTAATATAGAAGTATCGATTAAGCTCAGTGATATTATTAAGGCAATAGGTTTTTGTGATAAGTAGATATGTGTCATTCATTGCACTTGGCAACATGTACAGTTAAATATAGTTTTTATGCAGCCTAGAATGCATGAATGATCGATAGAAACGTACTAGAATACTTTATGGAAGCGGTAATCGGTGCCTACATATATGAATCTCATTCTCGTGCATTCTTGAGGGCGAAGATATTATATCTTACATTATAATATCTTTATTTTGTGTTTTGTGTAATTTCGCTGATTTATTTATTTAATTTAATATAAATAAGTATGGTATTTTAAATTAAATTAATTAAACTACTGAAGAGATGAAAACCTATCTTTCTTTATTTAATTTGAAATATATTTTTGCGTGCGTCTATGTACATATATAATGGAAAATTAATGACCATACCGTCATATAGATATCGCATTAAAAATGAATATACGTCTTAAAAATAATACAGATATATTTAATTATGAAATGTGACATTTTGTTTCAGTTTTGTAGATTAACAAATAGACCTGAGAGAGTATGTACGGGCATGGATCTAGCGTCATGTACGTGACATTAATGTTGCTGTGGGTCACTGGCAGTGGTGCTGTGGCACTATATAGTAAGTTTTTACTAGTCTGGATTATATTAATAACCGGAATAAAAGTAGCTAATGGGACCAATACTGAGGCGCCATTTTTCTAAAATTTCAATTTAATATAACGGCGAAATCTTTATATTGAGGACTAATTTTTTTCCTTTTTTTATTTTATTTTGGTATAAACAGTCATTACAAAAAAATATAGTTGTAATTTTTTTTTTGTTATATAAAAATAGACAACGAGTACCGAAATATGAATCACAATTAAACAACAATATTTTAAACATATAAATCCAAATTATTATAAATTTAGTTTATAACGGTCTATAAAAAAATAACATATAGATAAGTTTAAAGAAATGGAAACACACATTCGGCCCCATTGTCTTTCTCTTAAGTATAATGTGTATATCGTGTACTCTTTATTATGATTAAGTTGAGCAGTTAAGATGAAATAATAGACAAACAATTTTTTATACCTATAATATCAGTAAAGATAAGGATTATTATGGTGTTCCGAAAAACGGCAGAATGATTTCGTATGTATGTGTGTATGTATATAATGAACATCTAGATGGCGTATCAAGAGAAAAAATACTCGTAATTATAACAGATTTTGAGTTCACATCAGAAACACAACTGTGAAACCGCATCCAATTCGATGCAGTAGTTTTTGCGTGATTCCAGAACAACCACATAGACAGACAGATTGACAAAATTTGTTCTATTTTCTGTTGGTCTTATTAAGACCCCTAATATCAATATTTCTTAAGTATTTCCTATTTACAAGCATCGTCTAGTTACAATTTTATTGTATCAGAAATAATAAATAACACTAACGAAGATCTATTGAGGAAATTATTTACAACAAGTTTGGTTATGATAAAATTTAAGTACATATAAAATATAGTACTTTTTGATAGTGTTTTTTTGGAAATTGCTACTCTAACTTCTTTCGGACACTGTTTATTTTTATTTGTCACAGCTAATCAGTAATACAGTCTGGATTATTAATGGAATGTACGATAGATCCTTCGTTGGTTATCTGATTTTGCTATCTACGATATTTAGGTGTACATCAAATTTTCTATGACAATGTATAGATAGCTCGTGTTTATGATTTGTATTAAAGTTATCAAATGTTTTGTTACAGATGTAAGTGAAGAGCCTATTTATTCATCGATGGTCAACAAAAATGGTGAAACAGTGTATATATCCTACGAACTGATGAGCAAGTTAAGTTTGGAGCAGGAGACTTGGCATTTAAAGCCATGGTTAAGGACAAGGATTGAGGTATTGGATGGAGTTGTGAGGGAAGTTTCATGTATCGACGCGACTTCCAGTGAGAATTTTCCGGATGGAATATTTAATGGTAAGATGGCATTGATGTCTGTTTTTGTTGATTAATAAATATCAGGGTTTCCATTCTTCCAAATATTATATTATTAACTTAATTTTGTACATCATATGAATATTTTAATTGACGGGACCTAAAAGTTAAATACACTTATTTACCTATTACAGTATCCTTAAATAATTAATAAATAAATTTTTTAACCAGTGTTGGAGAAATGCGAATGCTTTCTTTTTTGAAGTCGGTTAAAATTATTAGCGTGTCTTTGTTATATTCGTACCTATTATATTTACACAACATAAAACAAAAAAGTACATAAACAAAAAAGCTAACTTGATTTGTCTTGATAATATTTGTGTAATATTAGTAAACTAATTTGGATTGAAATTATTACAAAAATAGGGCTTAATATAAATAACTAGATAATATGAATAATACCAATAATATTTACATTATCTTGTTTTTCTTTTTTTTTTAAACCAATGATTCTATTAATATATGTAACTTAATGTTTTTAAAAATTCTTTGGAATTAAATGGCAATAACATATTTGTAATTCTAGAACCGATATTGTAATCAAAGAATGCAAATATTAATTGAGTAACTAGGTACCTACATTTATTGTTTTTACTGGACGTAAACAAAATGAATGATGATATGATATACACCTACTTAGGTGTTGAAAAAATATTGAAACTAATTATGTACAACTTTATCTTTAAAAATTACAAAAAATATAAGTATAAATATAATAAAAAGAGGCAAATAACTTACTTAAAATTGTAATAAATAAAATATTTTTATTGAATGATTAATATCACAAATAGATAATATAATAATTGATTAAAACTTTAACCGTACTGCAGTATTACGATTAAAAAAATATTATTTGATTTAAATTCAGTAGTGTGGTGAAGCGCAGGATATTTTTCAATATAATTGCACTACGGCAATGTCGCCACATATGATAAGGCTTTCAAATTTGCAATTTGTGTTATTGTATATCATTTGATGAAAAAATTTTGAATATTGTAACACATATTTTTTAAATATCATTTTTTGCTTTTTTATTTCTCGCCTATTTGCAAAAGCTATTATAATTTCAAATTAAATTTATTTCGTCCATTTTATTAGATAACATATGAAATCAACTGAATTTTTATTGCGTCGTATTACACCTCTGTAGTACCTTGAGTATGTTCAGAAGGTGTCACGACACACCATTTTAGTGGAGTTTGAGCTTTATTATTAGTATATTTAGCTGAACATTTACCATTAAGAGCGACGAGAAAGCACATAGCAGTCATATTATTATTTAATATTAGACTTCTGTTATACTTTTCGTGATTTTATTATAATTACTGTTCATGACATTCTTCTATGCTTGATTGTTGCAAATAAATATATTTGTATAAACATAAATATTTTCAGAGGACCAGCTACGAAAGGGGGCGTTTTTATTATATGCATTATTTGGAATTTATACATTCACATTATTAGCAATTGTGTGCAATGACTACTTCATTCCGAGCGTAGAGTTCATATGTGAAGATTTGAAAATACCACAGGTTAGTTTTTGTCGATTTATTAATATGTCTCATTACACATTCATAATACAAGTAGTTTTCAAGATTCCATTGCAACTATAGTATATATTATTATACGATTTAAATATAAGTGTACATAATGCGAGACGGGTCTGATTTGCAAGCATTGCAGTCGCCTCTAAAATGATTTTTAAAATAACTTCATAAGTTTATTTTTAACCGATTTCAAAAAAGGAAAAGGTTATGCGTTTGGTGGGTAATTATTTTTTGGATGTGACATGTATAATGCATAAAGATTTCGACGATATTTCAGAGCAGAGTTGCGAGATTTTTTTTTATAATACTTTTACATAGATAACGGATAGGGTGTACTTTCTGATCAGTTTCGTTATAATGTTAATTGCACTTACACACATTACACGACGTTTGTATTAAATAAAAATAATATTCTTGATTAGTCATATTGTTGATTGTTAGAATTGTAGTGATAGAATACCTCTCTTTAACGTTTATTACATGAAGGTAATATTTATCTAAAGATAAGAAAACAAAATAGGAAAATGTTACAGTTACGTAAATCTATTAGATACATAGATTTCAAATGATTCATAGATGTTGATTCATCTATGTAATAATGACTGAAAACCAGCGCTGTGCAGCTGTTCACATTGCGCTGGGACGCTCACAGTATCAGCTGAGCCGGTTTATTATTGGGACATATTTTAATTCGTGAAAATGGAACGGTAACTCCATCTCCGCTATCGGTATACGCTGACGGGACACCTGACGAAGATGAAAACATGTCAGTTAGCCTATAGTGATGAATTTCACAAGAAATAACCACGATGATTCCCAGTAAGAACTGCGTGGAGGTCAACTTGACAGGGTATATTGCTAGCAACAGGGCTTCTAGAACCTATTACTAACAATCCCCCTTATTATTGGGACTTACCGCGGTGCGATTTTACGTATATAGTACACATACCCAAATAAAGTTGTCAACTTGGTCGAGATGTATTGCATCGGTTTGTGGCACGACAGGACTCAACTATGAGATTAAGTCTCGAAAAATGGGAATGCTACTTTGAACTTTATTTATTATCAATTAGAGTTAGAAATTTTGTTGTAAATTCGGTATATAAAGATAAGAAAACAAATGTTAGACATATTGTTATTGTAAATCGATATTTTTTTGGCTATTATTTTGAATATTAGATGAATCATATTTAATTAAGGAAAATCCCTTTTTATCGGTATCAGGGACTATTGATGAAGATAAGTAGTATGGGCCTATACAGGTTAGTTGTTATGAATATATCAAAACGGAATTCATTAATCTGAATTACTTGCTCAAACATGTATAGTGTAAATGTAAAGAAAATTTCCTTGACATTGAAATTGTACTACTCATATTAAATCGATCACCTCAGTTTATGGTTTCTTAGGGAATATTGTTTTATATTTTATATGCTATCACTGGATTTCGGTTTAGTACATATCCGTTATGACGAACCTTATATATTACCATCACTGTGCCTTCATGTAACCTTAGGGGGGAACTAAAACTGTCGTATAAATCTCAGAACGAATCCAATCAAATGAAAGTATAGAAGGAAAGAGAAACAATGTAAATTAATTGAATATTTTATTATAATACTTTGAAGTTTGAAGACAGGTGTTTGTAACACCATGCTCTCCTTAAATCCTTTATTGACAGTATTACACACTATAAATACCATCCGTTTCTATACTGGACATATTTCCTTGAATTATATTGATTGAATGTGCCACATCATTATGCAGTTTGACCTACTTTTGTTTTTAATCATACCACATCATAATGAGAGCGTCGTAGCCCAGTGATGTACTACACGGATTATATACGATAAAGGCTGTAATTTTGAATCTAACTGATACCAAAAACTTTGTGTATCTAGTTCACTCTTCGGTTATTAAGAACACCGATAACAAACTAAATTAATCCGGATGATGGCGGTAGGCTCGCTCTCTTCCTCGTTGGATTCAAATATGCTCAGTGTGAAATGTGTGCATGCCAATACATTAATGCAACTAATACGCAGTGAAATTTTACCAATATAAAAAAAAATGTTACTAGATGATGTATAGACATAGGAGATATTTAAGAAAAAATAATATTAGGAGTCTTAACAGAACCAATAGATGTCAAAACAATAATTTAAAAATGTTTTTTTTTTCTGTCAATATATTTATTCCGGCATCACGTAAAAACTACTGCATCGAATTGAAAACGTTTTCACAGTTGTATTATGGAAGGTTTATCTTAAAATCTAGTATACATGTTATTTGGATGCTTTAAGATTTATGCCATCTAAAAGAAGTCTACTTTTTTTAGTTTTCCTATTTCTGACATTAAGTACCGAGCAAAAAACCAGTGTTTAAATAAAATGAAGTACTCGTAGCTATATGTATTACCGGGCTGTTATTTTTAGATTAAATGATTTTTAATTATAAATTTAATTATGGTAAAAGAATAAATAAATTATTAAAATTTGTTATTGATTTGCAGAATGTGGCAGCGGCTACTTTCATGTCTGTGGCCACTTCGTTCCCAGAGTTTTTTGTTAACGTGATATCAACATTCATTACTGAATCTGATATGGGAATAGGGACTATCATTGGATCTGCTATATTTAACGCACTCGGTGTAGGCGCTATTGGTGGATTAGCTGCAGTACAAGTAAGTACAAATTTTTTTAATGCGCAAATTCGACTAGAAAATTTTGCCTATAGGAATTTTTGGGGATTTTGTACTTAGAATTTAAGTTACTTTCGAATGGAATATTATTTTCTAAATGGAATATTATTATAAGTGCATTGGTATATTATAAAAAAAAACTTAGATTTTAAAATTAGGCGTGAATGTACTAGTATATTTATTTATTTTATTTATTTATAAATGTAGCTATTGTCAACAATTAGAATGTACGAGAGCCACTGTTGGTGATTTTCTGGTTTTAGAAAATATAAATCCTTTATATTTTTGTTTTTTTTTTTACAGTCAATTACAATAGAACCTGGACCGGTAACTAGAGATGTTATTATCTATATGGTTAATGTCGGTGTCCTGGTAGCTTTCGTGTGGGATGGACAAATAGATTGGTATGAAGCAGTGGTATTGGGCATCCTCTACGTAATTTACTTTGTGATAATGTTTAATAGCCTAAGAATGTTTGCTCTTTTTGGCAGACTTTTTGGAAATTGTACCAAAGGTGCTAGTAAGTACCGCATTTATTTTTTACTGACTTTTTCTTTTATTAAAAAAACTCGTGTGGTATTTAATAATGAGGTTTATACATAAAAAAAACATTAAAATTAATTAATTACCTTACAATCATTTTTTCTAGGGGAATATGTGGCTTAAGAGGTTTACCACTTTCCCTAAATATTGTTGTTAAATTGGTGTCAGCTTTAGCTAGAAGTAACCATAATGAACAATAATGCTTATGGTCTTCATATAAAACAGTAGTCATGCATGCATGCAAAACATATTACACAAAGGTGTAATATGTTTTGCATTATTTATTTAATAAATTTTAATTTACTAAAAAGGGGATATTTTGATAAAAATGATTGAGATCTCACATTCATTTTTATCAAAATTTTTATTGCTTTTATTTGCATTGCCATTGAGATTAGTAGCAGTTATTTAGCTATTATTATGGGAGTATAAAATGGGGCCTGAGATGATATTTTGGAATGACATATTATAGAGAAAATATTAATTTCGAGAGAAAGATAAATTTTATCTACAGAGCTAAATAAATAATAGAAATTCAATGGCAATTTTTCCTGCAATACATTTATGTTTTTTTTTTTATACTACTTAGAATGGCAAACAAGCTGACGGCCCACCTGATAGAAAGTGGTAACCGTCGCCTATAGACATGAGCAGTACCATGGACATAACAGAGTATACTGTTTCGCCCATGATATCCCCCATGCGTTGCCATTCCTGAGGACTTAGGTGTTATTCCTCTGTACCCTGTAAATTCACGCCATATCCCACCCTTCAAACCGAAACACGGCCATGTAAATACAACTGCTTCACGGTTGAAACACGAATGGGACAGAGGTACCCAAGCAATCGACTTTTGTACAAAGTCTCCCTCTGGTAAAATGTTAATTAATATGGCTGTATCTATATTTATACTCGTATATATCTTGCTATGTATAATTATACTTACTAAATAGTTTCATAAAAGCATAACATATTACTGTAAGGTATTAAGTTTATAGTAGATTTAGTCAATAGAGCTTCCAGTACAAGGACGTTATTGTACATGTAAGTTTAATGCGATTGTATGTAAATATAATAAATGCTTGTTTTAGCCTCAAGCGACATTATTAATGATGGCGGCAAACCTGTAGAGGAAGGAATTGATAATAAGGCTTGCAATGAAGCTAGTAAAACAGTTGATGTGTCTTCTATTGACAAAGTGTTAGTTGTTGAAAATGGTAATGATAGTATTAATAATAATGTGTTCATTTCAATTTGCTTTAAATTAAAGATATGAATATTTTTATTTTTAGTAGATGAAACTGAATTGAAACCACCAAAAAGTATATGGCGATTCCCTAAAGAAAAAACGTTATTTAAAAAAATATGGTGGATTTACACTTGGCCACTGAAGTTAATTCTTGGAGTAACAATTCCGTCTCCGATAAAATACAGGAAATTATATCCATTGGCTTTTATCATGTGCATAGTATGGATTGGAGTAAATTCATATTTCGTTACTTGGAGCATGACTGTTATAGGTTTGTTTTGCATATTTAAATTAAATAAATTTTTAGTATCAAGGATAGCACGTTTTCTATTTTCACGTTATTAAGTGTATGAACTTGTATTGTAGTCCTATTAATATTATAAATGCGAAAGTTTGTAAGGGTTGATGCAGGGATGGATGTTTGTTATTTTTTTACGTAATAATTATTATAATTGAATGAATGGATCAATAGAAATTCGTCGTGTGGTATCGGCATAGAATAGGCCACTTCTTCCTTTCCCGTGGGCGTCGTAAGAAGCGACTAAGGGAAAGCGAGGGATGGGCAGTAGCGATTCTCTTAAAACATCCCCAAATCTAACTGCGGTTTTCAATCCACCTACCAAGCGTGACAATTGCTGGAAAATACCACGAAAGGAAGAGGCTTATGTTCAGCAGCGGGCAGTTAAAGGCTAATATTATGGTGATGATATAAAAGTGAATGATTGTATATGTAATCTAGTTTATTTAAAGCTATGTACGTAAAACATAAAATCTATCAATTTTATCATTTATATTAGATTTCTAAATAAATTGATAAATAGATAATACTTGGCAATAACGATATGTTTATGTTTAAAGTTTCATCGTGATTTTAGGTGAAACCTTCTTTATACCTGAGTCAGTGATGGGAATGACATTCTTGGCATTCGGTGGCTGTTTGCCTGAGGCTTGTTCTATTTTCATCATGTCTCGACGAGGTAATTACATTTTATTATTTTAATTTTACTTAATATATAAGTTATTAATTACATGCAAATGCTTAATGCGAATTTACTATGTATTTTGTGTTCTCATTTTGTTACATAATTTTTTTAAAATAGGTAAACTTTCCTATAATTTCTATAAACGATCATGTGCCAAGTTCTCATGTTCATATAATCTTTTTACAGTAAAATCCAGATTGTTTGTACTTTAATATCACAGTTACAATATGGGAACTTAAAAGCTAATTTAATAAATTATTATAAAGGTCTTTAGTCATTATAACGAAGGCAGATGTTTGACATAATGTCTCAAATTTGTTTTTTAAAACCCGTCATGTGGCAGTCTATAAAGTGCGAAATATGGAAGTGCGATGCTACTGAATCGCGAGTGTATAGCTTGCAATTATGTATAGTTTATTATTATAAATATATTAATATATTTTAAGTTTGAAATTTTGTGCTTTATGTTTTTTTTTTTATAACGCTGAGCAATAAAAATATACGTCCATCTAACAAGATGGACTGACTATCCAATTTAGTGTAATCTTTATTCATTCTTGTTTTAAATTATGGAGTTTATGGAATCTAATTTCATATCACACAAATTGCTTTTTAGTGCAGATGTATAGATAAAATAAGTATTTATCTATGTTTAACATTGCTTTCTATTATAAATTATATCAAATAATGAATTGTTTGGTTTTAATATGCTAAATTATTTTATTATCTGCGAAGTTAATTTGTAACTTATGATGTTATGAAACTTGTTAATTGACATTTTAACATACGTAATAATTATAAAACATTTAAAAATCTCAGAAACATTAACACCTACTTGATCGATTATTTCAGGCGAAGGTGGCATTGGAGTATCAAATGCTTTGGGCGCAAACTCGTTGGCGATATTGTTCGCATTAGGGCTTCCATGGCTGATCAAAACTTTAGTTAACATCGCCCGAGGTGCTGATGAGACAGCTATACTAATCAATTCGGCTGGAATTGACTTCATTGTGGGGTCATTGTTGGTGGCTGTCGTATGTTTATGGATCACTTTGTTCTTTGGGAAGTTTAAATTAAGAAAATCTATTGGATTCGCGTTATCGGTACTCTACATTATATTTATCACTTTTGCGATTCTTGTCGAGATGGGTGTAATTTTGGATAGAGGATTCGAAGCTTGTTGACCCAAGGTATTTATTTTGTATTAGTGCATCGCTGAACTCAAATCTCTATGATGAGTAATATGATTTACAAGATTACATTGTAGAAACAAATCATTTCTCAAATGTAATTACAAGAAGTTTGGTCGCGACGTAAAACCATGTCGAATTTTAGAGACGTTGGTCATTAAAAATAGTACAGGTAGGTTGAAGAAAGAGATATTATCTATCTTCACGACACACGAAATATATGAATTAAAATTTCTTTAAGTGACACAAAATGTTAAATAAACAGTATCGATTAATAGAAACAGTATGGATCAGTAAAATACATATAAGAATAATGTTATTAAAAAGTCTCATGTAGATGTTGTTGACTTTATGCATTTTTACTATTATTAATTCTTTAATTTTTATTAAACGTATGTTTTCACTTATCACAGCAAGACTTACATACAGAAGTTATATATATATTTGGGTACCTTGTCCCATTCGCATTTCTGCCAATAAGCAGCCATGTTTCAGTTGAAAGGGTGAGATGGATGAATTTATACGTTACGGAGGCATAACCTTAGTCTTTAGGAATGGTTACGTATTAGCTAAACTATGGGTATCATAATGTATTATGTGGTATATCAGTTATCAAAGATGAGTGGTAATATTATAATGGATATCTCTGTGATGTTTGTACAATGTGACATGATCCTGAGGCCGTCAGCTTCCTATTAAGTACAAGTTGTATAAAAAATCAACAGAAATGTTTCAGAAAAAAGTATGAAATGTTTTTGTGTATAACAAAATGACAATAAAGAGAGTGCCAATAATGTCTGTGATGTTAGAAAATAAATTAGATCTGAAATGCGATAGGCATCGTATACATGAAACATGCATCAGCATGTGTGAACATAATGTACTTATTTGTAGGTTGCGTTATAATATATTCCGTACAGTTGCGTTAAAAATATTTTGTTACCTATTAGTTTTAATTTACATATTTTTGTACGTAAATAAGTGAGTGAGCCAAGTTGATGTATGTGTATATTGAGTTACATAGACAGGCTGGTATATATACTCCTTTGGAAAAAATGAGTACGTTAGCAGTAAGACCAAGGACGTTGAAAATAGTTTATATTAATAATATCAATAGAGTTGTAAATGGCGTAAAAAATTGTAAATAAACATTAAAACCAATCTATATATATTATCTTTTATATATACGTACTCTTGGACTAGTGAAAGAAAGTTATGGAGTTATAAATAACCAAAGACTAGGTCCTAAGTAACTCCGTTACTATTTTGCAAGGATGTGGTTTGACCAAAATTGTGTTATATCAACCCTTATTTTTAGCTCTAATTTAAAAAGATTAAAGTTATTCACTTTAATGAAATAAATAAAATAATGAAATAATTAATCACATATTATTTTATTGCGCAGAATATATTTTTAATTAATATTTAACATATCGCACCGCTCACAATCGATAGGGAATTCATCCTTACACGCTTAAACCTAAATGGTGACGTACAATGTGGTTTCAAAGAAAATTTCTCCTGCGAACGCTTAGGCTAGGTAGATAGAGTCAGGTAGATAGAGCTCCCTGCTGAGGTTTCTCCTAGAGACTATAGTATATAAGAGTTTCTTCAGAGACGGCAAAGCGCACGTGACACCCCTGGTTTTGCAGGCGTCCATAGGCTACAGTAACCGTTTACCATCAGACGGGCTGTAGGCTTGTTTACAACTCTCATGAAATAAAAAAAAAGTAATTTCCCGTTTCTTGATGAATATTGAACAATTTATAACTAAATAAATGATAAATGCAAAAAAGTCAAAGCCAAAGAATAAAACACAGACTGTGTTTTATTCTTTAAAACTGTTTGACATAACGACAAAACTATATCTTGAGGCCTGGACTCTCATAAGTTATACTTACGTCTATTTCTTTAATGTAAAATAATTTCGTTTATTTTTTACATTTTCTACCAAACTTCGCATATAAATTCACCTTTTTGCTTGTTTATCTTATTTGCCTTTTGTCGTTATGTCACCAGATGATCTTCATTATACTTAACATGAAACTGTATTTAAATTAATTTCTTAAGGATATTAGGTATAAGAATAACACTTAAAAAAATTTAATATATTTAAACACCTATTTTTATAACAATTTACTGAAATAGGTTGTTTACCTAAATAATATTACATACTGTAGAACTCTACATGAGGTACATATGAAATATAGAAACAAACTTAAGTTATAGTTTGGACCCCAGACATATTAGCGTCAATATGAATAGCATCTGATATGAACAAAATAATACTAATAAATAAGCTTATGAATTCCTGTATTCGATTCGAAAGATGAAACAGTAAATTTGTAATTAAGTACAGACATTTTTCTATAACACTTAACACCCAAACAACAATGTATAATTAGAAACCTCATTTCACTACAAATACCTTAATAATATAGGTGACGAATAATTTTCATTAACATTATTAAATCGATTTTAACATAAACTGTCTTACGTAGGTACCTAAAGGGCGTTTATTTACAATTCAGTTTGTCCCATTTTAATGACCTTACGAATTGTGGTGTGGAAAGCTAGTACAACATATCTGGACATCAAAGCATTCGTCACATTACAAGTTCGTTAAAAATGTTTCAAAAGAATATATTGTTACATCTCCTCAAAAATATATGTCGGTAACGAATGTTCTTTATGTATTTTTCTTCATACTTGTGTAATCGGAAATAAGATGAATAAATTTCACAATAAGATATGCTTTTAAATTGGTAAATGTATACATAGCTCTTATAGGTTCCTACTTACCTATACATATAGATAAGATATTATAGAACTTACAATTATCATCATCATTTGAGCCGTTAGGTGTTCACGGTTGAACATGGGAATATTCCCCATAGCCTACCATAAGGAACGGTCCTTTAGCATCCACTGATTCCTTTCAATGCATTTGATGTTGCTGCGCCATGCAGTGGGTCGTCATGCACTCTGTACTTACTTACAACATAAATGTAGAACTTACAATATAAATATTATTTATATAAGTATGATACATGCACAAAACCTATATAGCGAAATGTAACGATTCATTGTTTAACTTATCAATTTAAAAGTTTACTTCATCATTCACATCATTTCAGCTGTTAATTGTCCACTGCTGATTGACTGCACCATAAATGGCCATAAGAAACGATTCTAGGTCACCTGATCTATATAGTTCAAGTTTATCCTAAAATTTTGTTAGTTAGTTTAAAGATAGATAACTAATGATTTATATACATGCACTGTTTTGATAAATAAAAAAGACATGCAAATAAAAATTAATTAAAACTAAAATCAGAGAGAGAGAGAGTGGCGTTTCAGAATTGTCTCTGTATTTGGTTCTTGATAATGCATTGTATAGTATAATAATTTATAAGATAAAAAAAATAAAGATAAAATGATCTAATAAAACAACATCTAGTGAAACAACATTTCTTCTAAGAACATGAGCCTTTGAACGTTTCATAGAAACTACATACGAGTATTTAATATAGTTATATATAATAAACACAGACATACATATATATGTGTATGTATACACACACACACACACACACACACACACACACACACACACACACACACACACACACACACACACACACACACACACACACACACACACACACATATATATATATATATATATATATATATATATATATATATATATAATTATATTTTCATCAAATTAACAGGGCATCAGATATCAGATATATACTTAACATGATTGGAATAGAACGGATACTTAACTAGAATACACTTTTTTCTAGTTTTTGTATAAATTTTTCAGCATTAATGTCTAACATCATATTTTTATGTCTTTTTGACCAATTTCGATAAAAGTGGCAAAACTATTTACTCAATATACCATGTATAAATCAAACAGATGATACATAAATTATTATAGACTATTATTATAATAATTGTTGCTAATGCTATTACATAATATCTTCTTAGAGAGAATTCGTTCAGTTCCATAGTAACAAAAGTTGGTTTACAGTTAAATATATAATTTCTGTTACGCCTTATCAGTATATATATATATATATATATATATATATATATATATTTTAAAGTTTTACTGCTTATGACAGTATACATTTAAGCTACTAATGAACATATCTTTCCTGGGAGTATTAAAATTTATCTCAGAAAGCATAATATTAATATTTATACACTACCGTTTAGAGTTGGATATTTTAAACTGCGTTTTCTCTCGTATTTACTAAGCTATCTCCACCAGTTATTCCTGGAACAAGTTTAGAGCATACATGTAAATAGTGGATTACTATTTACAACTGACCATTGTATAATTTACAGTAGAAATTATCAAGAAGCATCTCTATGTATTTCATGAAGGTTAGTGTATTTGCATATCTCAAATAGTAAGAAACTGACTTTAGTATAGTTCCATTAGTTTATATAAATATTTTTATGTATTATTAAAGGTACAATAAATACTATAAAGAGAGCAATATTTGCTAATAAAGTGTAATGGAATTTTGCAGCTGTTTAACATTAAAAACTGCGGTTATTGTTTTTAAAAAAGTTATTTCATTTCTATGATGTATGAATGCCAAATTATATATATAAGAGGAAATATTAAAATACTCCTTTTGTACCAAAAGATTATAAATATATGCCAACATATTTGTCAAATTATAGTAGACTACTTCTTGATAAAAGATAAAATATATTCCAGATTTTAAGTTACACCTTCAGAAATATAACTGCGAAACCTGCATCCATGCATGCATTTTGTTATTTATTGGTCTTATTAAGAACCCTAATATTTTTACTTAAATATCTCTAATGCACAGATATTGTCTATTTATAATCCATATCTATGCTATATTATAAAGTAAAATTTCCTGACGTCATCAATATATAGATTTTTTTTAATTTACACATGTCTTAGAAAAGGGATGAAAGTTAATGTAAAGAATAATTTTCTACATTGATTTAACAGTAAAACTAAGAAAGTAATAATAATTATGAAGTCAGACCAAAATTAAATGTTATGATGATTTCGATTACTTTCTTAACAAAAGATCTGATCAAGTTAAGGGGGGAGAGGAAGAGTTGTAAATTAGGGGATGAAAATTAATATGGGGTATAGTGTTTAGAGCTGATTATATAAAATCAATTAAATCGGTCTAGAGAAAACATAAATATAATTACCTATACATGTATGTATTAGTATGTATAGTAAATGTCATACATAATAATTGTTATTCTCACAATAAAGAAATAAATATGAAATATGCTACATAGATAAGCTTAATCCTAACTTAACATAGTGGTAGGATAATCTATATATTAATTAACGCGAGTAAAACCGCGGAGTGCATCTATTTTTGTATTACCTGTCATAGCTATGACATCGCTGGTTCTCAGGATCTTAGTTAGTGCAGCTTTGGTAGTGGTCAACACGTCGTGGTTAGTAAAGCAGAACAGGACGGCGACGCAGAGGCCCTGTATGTACAATAGAACGGTAAAATAAACACTAAAATTAAAAATTTGTTATACTGGGACATATATTTAACATTTAATTCTAAATAGTTACTTTTTTATGAAAAAACAAGACCCAATATGAATAAGATATAAATAAGCTTTTGATTATTATTCATCTATATTTATTAAATTGTATGTCCTGGCTGACTTCCAACACAGCCAAAATTATCAAGTCTAGAAAGGTGAAATTTGGAACATAGTTTTGTTATAGATAGTATGTATATACATATCGATAGGAAATTCACCATTCACCTAGATTCGCGACGACATAGTAAACAAAAAGAGACTCCACCAGAAATTTCTTTTAAAATAATTTTGAAACTTTCTTCCTAAATAAAAATAAAAAAAAGTTATTTATGTATATAGAAAACCATATATTAGGTAGTTACCTTTAAAACTCATTTTGTTAATTTATTTATAAAAAATTTATTAACATGAAATTACGTTACGAGAGGTATATAAATGGGTTCTATGTTGGTTCTGATGGTATATTGTAGGGGCTAATTTGTGAAACTTGAATAAATTCAACACGTATCGAGAAGTTAGCTAGGTAGTGATCGGAAAATCCAGCCACATTTTTATTTAGAATAGTAGAATAGTTTAGTAAGTGAGCCAGCAGCACCAACCACTGAGAGTAGAAAAATTTTTTTCCTGTTGATCGCATTCATGAAGCATATTGTTCCTGTGTTCACTTAGGATGTTCGGGTCATAGGTTGTACTATTATAAAAAAAAAGCAAATTAAAGTGATCGATACAATGTGCTCAATAAACTAAAGTGACAATGGGCTGGGCTCAGGGAATAGACAACTGGCATAGCCGAAGGGACTCGAATATACTCGTACAAACAAACGCAGCATAATGGTGGCCTTCCAAGAAAAGGAGTTATTAGCTTAAAATTGTTGTAGGTTGAATCGTGGTCGTAATTTGTGATAAAATATTGGGAAAAGATATGTTCAGCAGTGGAGTGATGTTGATGATATTTATTTATCTATTAAGTTCACCAACGACTATAAATACAGTATATTAAAATATTATAATAACATTTTTGAATATTATTCTAGTCCTTGAATGTAATTTGTGTTTAAAAAAAGTAATAATATTGGTATATATTTTGTAGTTTCTTTATAAGGTTGAGCATTTTATCATTTATTTATTGACGTAAATTATTGAAATAAGTATTGTCAAATATTTAAATATCGTTATCACTATTTCTATCATGTTTTCGATCTAAATTATATTAATTATTATTGATGACTGATACGATATATTTTGAATTTGTATTAAATATTTAGTATGATAAAATTTTGAATGTTATTAATTAATAACTATTTTTATTTTGCTGAAATCTATATAAAATTGTCACTATTATGAATATCATTAATATTTCTAGACAAAATTTTGACAGAAACTCTATCAATTTTTTTTATAATTTAATCTAAAATTGTGAAGCTTATAAGGTGATATGTACAAAAAAATTTCTTAATACAATGTTAAACAATTAAATAGTAGTAATCGCCTCACCTGTAAACTAGTAAGAAATGCAGAAACTATCTGATAGACCCTCTCTTCCTGAGTACCAGAGGGTGGCCGCAATGGTATAAGCACGAAATGAAGTCCGAAAAGAGGTATCTGTGTAGGAAAAAAGAATGTGAATTATAATTTAAAACATTTACATCTAGTATAACATATTTTCATATAATGATTTCATATACTGTCAAAGATCGAGACTAGGCTAACCTATCGTGCCCAGATAGAGGTTAGTTTCCTACATATATTTCTTGATAAACCAAAATATATATAGAAATAGAATTCTTTGACACTTGGTTGTTTATAAATACCTCGTAAGAAAATCTGGTATAAATAGAGAGCTAATGAAATAAATATATAATAATAATAATAATAATAATGGAAAGAGAAGGAGTTGCACGGAAGGTTCTTCAAAGCCCTTCACGGGCCGTACGTAAACACGAAGACCTCCGTGCACTGGCTACAGTTCGGTGATCTCTTCGGAGAGACCGAGGGTTTTGTCTGTGCAATACAGGATCAGGTGGTTAAGACGAACAATTACCGAAAGCACATTCTGAAGAATGGCACTGAGGACATCTGTCGGGCATGTCGCCATCCCGGAGAGTCACTCAGACATGTGCTTTCGGGTTGTTCAGCTCTTGCCAACACTGAGTACTTGCACAGGCACAACCAGGTAGCCAAAATACTCCATCAAGAGCTAGCTCTGAAGTACGGCCTCGCGAATGAGAGGTTGCCGTACTATAAGTACGAGCCCCAGCCGGTCCTCGAAAGCGACAGCGTAAGGCTCTACTGGGACCGATCCATCATCACGGACAGGACCGTTCTTGCGAACAAACCTGATATCGTGGTGATGGATCGGGCACTCTCGAGGGTGTTTTTGGTGGATGTCACCATACCGCATGACGAGAACCTCGTGAAAGCCGAAACCGAGAAGAAGAGAAAATATCTCGACCTGGCTCACGAGGCGACCGAAATGTGGGGGGTGACATCTACCGAAATCATCCCAATCGTTATGTCGGTGAACGGTCTTATCCCAACCAGTCTGGAACAACATCTCAGACGGTTGGGATTCCGAGGCGGCTCACTCCCGGGAAAGATGCAGAAAGCGGTGCTCTTAGATTCTGCCCGCATTGTACGCCGGTTTCTCTCCCTGGGGCCCTGAACCCCGGCCGACTGTGCTTCTGCCGGGGGTTAGTTGCCATCTCCTCTCCTTAAGAGGGGAGATGAGAATTTTAGTGAAATTTAAAAAATAATAATAAAGAGAGAAATACTAGCTTAATGTTTCAAATTATATGAAACTTACGTAACTTAGCAATTGAGTATTCAGTATTAAATTATTTACTTTGATAATTAAAAAGCTATTTATTATTAACAAATCTCCTTTGAAAAAATTACGTCTGTGATTCTGTTTTCATTTATTTCTTATAGTTCTGTTGCCGAACTCAAAGAGGTTCTTTTAAGCCTAATTTAAGATTAAAAATTTAATAATATATAAATATCTATTAATATTAAATTATTAAAAAATTAATATTACTAACCAGTATAAGTGCAGCTCTCGTTGCTTTTCTAGCAGCTAATGAAGCATGTTGGTTCGGGACCGGGTGTAGTTTGGTGAGCAAAACTCGAACCACGTTGATCAAAAATACTGTAAATTATAATTGTTTAACTTGAATTAAAATAAATATTGTATTGTTATTTACAGTTACTCCGCCCCTTCCCCTACCTTTTAATCCCCTGATTCCTTAGCTTATTTATTTGGGAAGATTATGAATTTCCTTATTTTCGGACCTACTAAACGGTAGATATCATAGCATGATTCATTTATAAAATTTTACAAAGTTTTCTTTTACTCCTCTTATATATGTTTGTAGTAGTGAGATTAATGGTATTCAAAATTAATAAATAAATATACACATTGGAAGAAATATCCAAGTTATTATTTACATATATTAAGTACAAGGAAGTGAAAAACACTAGAAAAATTAGTTCGGAATGCTATTTATTGTACCATAGATTTTACCCAGATTGAAGCTTATATTGTTACACGAAAAGTAATGGCGGGAGTCCTATACTATTGTGATATAGATAGGCGACGCACGTGACCTTTATTCCTCCTTCGTCGTCCTTTGGAAGTCAGCCTAATCTCTAAATTCGCCATCTACGTGATGGCTGAAATACAAATTACTCATGTATGTTAACTGATTCTTTCCGTGATAAAAGTGTAGTTTTTAAAACGTAGCGATAGGGGACAAAACAAAATTCGTCGGGTTAGCTAGTTATAAAACATAATTTAAATCTTTCACAGAAATACCCAGAACTATTAACTCGTAAATTAACCACATTGTTCTCCATTAACTGATTATATTCTGGAGCGTACACTTACCAAACGAAGCCACGAGCGATAGGAGCACAGGTACTATAATAATCCAGAAAGCGTCGCTTTGGTCCATCCAGCATCTTTAAGAGCAGAATAATAATTGCCTTAATAATTCATATTTCAGTTATGGGATGGCCAGAAACTAATGTTTGTGATATACATTGAAGATAGAAATCTGAACATGATCTCGTACAAGTGTATTGGCGTACATATTATGACTATTTTATTCCTTTTGAGTCACCTATCAGCTTTACCAACACTAATTAATATGTATTCATGGAGTCACGACTAAAGTTACTGTAGGAAGATAGCAAAGGTTTAAAATCATCATCATCATCATCACAGTCGTTAATTGTCCACTAAGGAACATAGGTCTCATCCATGAGGGTTGGTTTCCCACCAGTTGTCACACTTGACAGCTATTTGTAATGTTTTAAGAGGGTCGCTGCTTGCCATCCCTCGGCCATTCAGTTTTTTAGTCGTCTCTTACGACACCCACAGGAAAAGTAGGGATGGCTTATTCTATGCTGGAAATGATTTTATATACTAATATAAAATGTCTATTTCCTTGTAGAAGAGTATACGTATTAATTATGAATACCATTTTTAGAACACGTGAGTGCTCAGCCACTGGCTATGGCTAGTATATATATAATACATATTGTTAGTTATATTTTTATATCATCGTGAGCATAATTAGTTTTATTTTGTAAAGAACGTAAAGGAATATTTACATAAAGGAGTTAAGTACATTAGACCTTTAATATTCAACTTAGATTTCCCTATGGGCCTTAACGTAAATATTTCATGTTTTGCTCTTTGCTACAGCTCGATAAAAGGGACACTCGGTGTTGCGACCTATTTGAATTAAATCATATAAATAAAAAAGCGATTATTTTATGCAACAGTCAGCAGCTAACAAGATGATAGAAATGAAATATGCTTTATTTTGCTAAATTACATTAATACAGGTGGTGGGAACCTCATATTAAGTATAAAGAATTTTCGAGAAATCTGCAAAAATAGGTTTCTCTAAATGTATAGAAATACATTTTTGTATATTCTTACAGGTGTAATTCTTACAGGAGTATAAATATGACTAATAAATTCTATTTGTTGCACTGCGATTTCATAAAACGTATATAGGTATATACAGATAAATGTTGAAGAGGGAGACTTTGTACAAAAGTTGATTGCTTGGGTACCTCTGTCCCATTCGTGTTTCTACCGTGAAGCAGTTATGTTTGCAGGGCTGTGTTTCGGCTTGAAGAGTAGGATATGGCGTGAATTTACAGGGTACAGAGGAATAACATCTGAGTCATCAGGAATGGCAACGCATGGGGGTATCATGGGCGAAACAGTGTACTTTGTTATGTCCGTGGTACTGCTCATGTCTATAGGCGACGGTTACCACTTTCTATCAGGTGGGCCGTCAGCTTGTTTGCCATTCTAAGCTGTATAAAAAAAAGTAGGTACAGCGTGTATCAAGTTTCATACCTGTATTGTATTTATTACTTCTATAAATATCTCGACAATAGTTTTCATTAACAAGTAAATACAATAATTTTCAACCGACTTTAAAAAGGACGAAGTTTCTAATTCGATTGCATATTTCTTTTATGTTTGTTACCTTATAACTCTGTCAGTTATAAACCGATTTGTAAAATTCTTTTATCTAAAAGGATAGGAGGATACTTTCAGATTGGCTCCATGGAGATTTTATCAAAATTGGTTTTAGTTGGTTAAGTAGTTTAGTTTTTAAATAAAATAACTTGTTTTACCATAATTTAAGTCGGTTTTTGTGGAACACAATTTTAAATTATTAAAATAACAAAAATTCAACACGTTTTGCGACATGTTATTTTGTAGAAACTGATTGAATTAGTACTGCATAATTATGCTTTATTAATTAATTGTATATATCCTATACTATGTAATTACTAAAACTAATTGAATATATTGTATACTCTCAAATAGAAATTCCATTAGAGAATAGTTTTAACTGTGGGTAATCCACTTTATAAAACAGATTTGCATAGTTTCAAAATACCTAACCATTCTCGAGAAATTTATTCTAAACTAAATTACTCGTATTTGTAATAATCAGCACAAATATATTTACTTTAAAGAATATAAAATTAATATATTAAGGCTTTTTACAGTGCTATTTATTAAAATATTCACCAATATGACCAATTTGTAGCTATTATTTGTAGATAAAATTATTTTCTACCTTGAAATTCAAATAAAATGTAATTATTGATTACGACTTTTTAAAGTAAGCATTTGTAATTAACTTGCTATGGTAACCATGTTGTATTTGTGGATATATGCCATTGCGTGGAATGTTCATGTTACAAAACTGATATACATATAATGTTTTTCTTTTGGCCTGGTATTATTTGTTTTTGTCGTGTAATGTTTTGGTGTAATTACACGTTCATGAATTTAAATAGATACATTTTTATGAATATAATATAATATTTAATAAAATACTCGTGCCTATATTGTTACAACTAGTTTGTGTATACGTAAATATACGCATGTATGTAGGTGACGATTACCATAATTTGCTTGAAGAAATGATTCCATTACACTTTCTTTATACTATAGGTATAGTTGTATAGACAAACTAGCATTCGTTTGCTCCTTCGAGCACGTGGATTTTTGAGGTAAGTGCCTATCTACGAGGTTTGTCCGGAAAGTACGTATAAAAGTTTTTTAAAAATTTTATTTTACAATTATTCAGGTAAATCAATTTTATCCCCTTCAAAGTACTCCCCCTGTGACATAATGCACTTGTGCCAACGCCGTTTCCACTGTGAGAAGGCTCCTTGAAAGTCCTCTGGTTGTAGGTTTCTCAGCTGCCCCGTCGTAGCTTTTTTTATCTCATTTATGTCCCCCAAATGCCGCCCCCGAAGTACCAATTTGGTTTTTGGGAACAAGAAGAAGTCACACGGGGCCAAATCCGGCGAATAGGGGGGGTGTTCGGTCACCGTAATGGAATTTTTACTCAAAAACTCACGGACAACAAGAGAGGTGTGGGCAGGGGCATTGTCGTGGTGAAGAATCCAACGCCCCTCTCGCGCCAATTCTGGACGAACTCGTGCCACACGAGCTTTGAGGCGTCTGAGCACATCGACGTAGAATTTTCCATCAACTGTCTGGCCTGGAGGGACGAATTCTTGATGGACAATCCCCCGAACATCGAACTCTTTCTCGGCCCTCTCTGAATCTTTTTAGCCACTTGTGGACGGTTGGTTCCTTCACAGCATCATCCCCATAAACTGTTCTGAGATCGGCAAAAATTTCACGGCCATTCTTGCCGAGTTTCGAGAGAAACTTGATTACGACGCGCTGCTCTTCAACGGAAGCGGGCTCCATGCCGACGGGGTTTCGTTAAGAGGTAACTTCACAGATGGCGTGACAAGCCAGTTCGCACCGCACGGCGGTCAGACCAGAACTGAAGCATTGTTAGGGACATAAGGAAGGGGTCCTGCGCTTACCTGGCCTCCCCACTCCTCTTTCTCGCATTCCAGAACACTTTTATACGAACTTTCCGGACAGACCTCGTATATACAAAATCCACGCGCTCGAAAGTATAATTTACTTACCTTTATTTAAAATATATTTTTCGTTTACACATATAATACCGACCCGATTAAACACATAATAAATGACATAATAAATCACATAAATAAATATATTTACTACTAACTGACAAAGACTGCGCATCGAGTGATTTCCTATAACAGCAAATAATGCACGAACACTTTGGAAACAAAATACATAATGTTATTGTGCAATAGCTAGATGGATTAAAACCGCTTGCACTAGCAGAATCAACTTTCCGCTTGCTAACGTATTAACAAAATGGTACCTATTATGTAATATAACTATTAATATTTAGATTTTCATAATGCAGTATGGTTTACATTTTATAAAAGTCAGTAATTAACGCGATAATTTAAGTAAACTATGATAACTTACCTGAGTTATCACAACGTTTAGACCAAGTTCATCGGCCGCAGTCACGAGTGTAACGCTGTCATACTTCCGCTTCGCTCCCTCCCTCCGGCGGTAGAAGCTTTTTTCTTCTACCCACTTATTGTCTCATATCACACATATATCGCATTAATTTTGGCCTCTTATAAACCATACTGCTTAATATTGCCGAGTACATCAAATCTAATCTATCTAAACTATTATAAATTTTGACAGTTAAGAATTTAACCGATAATCGACTATCTATTTTTATGTGCACCGTCAAATATAATATGTGTGTGTGTGTTTTTAAGTTAGAATCTTAGAAATACGACAATGGAAACCGCATACAATTTGGTGTAGAAGTTTTTGTGTGATGCTAGAACAAAGATACAGATGGACAGACAAATAGAGAGAAGAAAATTCTAAAAAATTCTTTTGGCTTTTATTGTCCTTATATTTTTATGGAAATTGGTAACCGTCATCTATAGACATATACACTACTATGGACAACAGAGTATACTGTGTCGTCCATTATACCTTTCATGCGCTAGCTCTCGCCTACGACTTCGAAAAAGTGGATATTGAAAGATTTACCCCCTTAGAGATTAAGTTTTTAGAATCCTTTTTTGTGATGTAGACACACTCATAAATTTCGATACATTACATCTAAAGTCAAAATATACAAAATTTTAATTGTGTTCAACTTTTAAATAATAATTGCTAATAGACTTAATTAGTTATCATGGTCTAACTAAATAAAGATAACATAAAAATAAAACATATACAATGATTAATAATAAAAATTATGAACGAAATACATACGCAGCTATTTATTATTCTATAAATATTTCTATTTTCATTCGCATAAGCTAAAATTAGTAATATTGGTAACATTCGCAAATAACAAGCGTAGTAATAACAATTCGCATGTGCTGCAAAAATAATAAAGTCCGTAGGTGTCCATGTGCACGCGATTAATCAAATTGGTAATACTAAATTAAATAAACAAATTGTGATTATATCCAAACCTTTCTGTGTCTTCGGGTGTATTATATCTGACGATAGCGTAAACCATGACGATGATTAGAGACAGTCCCCAACCGACCGCTAGGAACCATCGCATTGCTATGTCTTCCTTCACAAAAACCTATAAAGAATTATATTTATTTTTTATTTGAAACATTTTTTAGCAACAAATCGCACGAGCGCTTAAGGCATAATTATTATATTGGATACAAAACTTCTAAAATTCCATAAATCTGTTTATAAACAAAGTAATATTTTTTTATTTAGTTATAATGTAAATTATACTAGTACTTTGTAACCACAGAATAAAAATATGTTGGCATGCATTACACATAAATGTAAAAATATCTAGGTAAATAATAATATATAATCTTATTACAACTTTAAATTAAATTATTAAATAAAATTAATTGGTAATACTATTTAAATCAATGAAAATTTTTATGAAGGATTTGACTTAACAATGATTAAAGTACATAATTTACCTTGTTCTTCAAATTCCTACCAGTATTCGTTTATATTATACATGACTACTTCTAAGCGAACCTTGAATTTTGTTCATATTTGCCAAACCGAGATTAAACTGGAACCTACATACTAGCTAAGGAATATATGGTTAAGTCGTAGATGTATATCTAAATAATAATTATTCAGCTAAGGTTAACAGTTCATTTAAGAAAAATACCAACTTTTTATTCAATATTATAGCTTAAGAGGGTTACATATTCCAATGAGATTTTTCCAGTTTACATTATTTTTTTTTAATTATCAAAGTCTAAAATATAATCAATGGATTTCATTGCTGGAGTAATATAACATTTTTAGATGTAACTTTCATGCAAATTAGATATTTATTAAGATAATTTTTAATTTAGGATAAATTTAGTAAACAGTTTAAGATGTTTTTACAAGTTATTTTTAATAAAATCTAATTATTAAGAATTTATTATATGAAGTTTAAGCTTATATATTGTATGTAATATAAAAATAAATTAAGTACACGAATAAAATATAATAAAAGTTGGTTGATTTAGCTTAGCATAATCGTGAGATAACAATAGTGCAAAAAATATAGGAATATTAAAATAATCTTATTTTAAAATACTTCACTAATTTAAACGTGAAAGTGAGTTTATTTAGGTACCTTTGAGCATCATAAAGCTACATTTTATCTCTTAAGTTGTGGGTGTAACGAGAAATGTAATAATTATTTCAACTTACTTACAAAGCACTTCACAGAATGTGTTTATCTTAGTAAATATACTCATATATATGTATGTATTTGCATGCCAGTGATGTGGCATCTAGCATATGTGAGAGCTAGGAAAACTAGGAATATGTTGACTATTTAGTAAAGCAAAGATATATGCGATAAGTGTAAAAGATTAATAACCAGCAAGAAAATCTAGCCGAAACCGACGTTAAGAAAAATAAATAATAAAAAAAACATAAAAAAATCTCTCACTGATGTTCTTTCGACGTCTGTTCTGTATATGTATACAAAATAAAAAATAAATGTATGGGTATATTTAGGTAACTAGTATTATAATAAATATACAGTATGTATTACGTTTATAAATTTCAAAAGAGTTTATAATATAATAAATTTGTAAAGCAGTACTCACTACTACAAGAGCAATGTGCAAATGTAGACCTTCACAAAACATCCATATGTAACTGGAGACCATGAAGAAGTTTGTTATGACGTGAAGAACTTGACACCAAGCCTGAAGAACATATAAATGTTGTAATAAATTGCTTATCTTTGGTAAAATGTTGACAACGTAAAATTGACAAATTTAGTTTCAGTAAAATAGCCATGCATTTAAAAAGGAACAGTTTGCACAACCTAGGTGAAAAAAAAACACATTAAAGTTATTAGGATTATATAATATATTGTTGATATTTCATAATATTATATATATATCTGTTTTTGTTTGATACCGCTTTAAATAAATTTTATACATGTTCGAACATTGATAGGTTGGTAGGTAAAACATTAGAAAGCAAAACAAATGGAAGATCTAAAATCTATTATTTTAATTATTTAATATGTAAACCTACTTGGTTGTCAATAATTGCTATTTAATTATTCTCTATACAATAGACACCTAGAAATTATAGGTACTGAAGTCTTTTCAGAGTATGTTATTTTTATCATTTGTTGATATCTAATCTTTTCCGAGAAATAATGTATTTCTTTCTTATTTATTTTTTATATCCTGTATTATATACAGAGTATTTATATTAGGGTCCCACAATATTTTAATAAATAAATAAAATTGTTTCATGAGACGACATTTATAAATTTAAAGCATTATATAATACTAAATGCCTTCTAGGTACTCCTTCTTAGGCCTTTTAATTAAGATTTGAGATTGTCGATATTTTATTTCAAGATTGAAATATAAAAACATTGTAATTTGACTATAAAATATTAATAAAATTTATCTTGTAATATTATATTTGAAAATGAAAAGTCTGGAAATAAATTAGTTGTTTCTATTAATTTGTTGACATTATGGAGTCATTTGGGATAATTTCAGTATTATGTTTGGATATGATTCTATCTTAAACTATTCATGTATAATAAAATAAAATAAAATCATTGAAAGTATTTATGAAACTGAATAATTTTCTACAAGGAATATTCCTGAATTGTAACAATGCAATAATGTGATTTATATATAGGAAAAATATGAAATATTATTTTTACAATCCATGTGAACATGTGAATGAGTGGTTCAAAAATTCAAAAATATTTTATAAATTCCAAATAGCTGTACAATCTCGGATTTAGCTTGTTAGGTATTTCCGCTGCAGTGCACGTAGCATAGTGTATACTCCACTGTATAGTTCAACTGATATTCCCTCTGACAATATGTTGGGTAATATCATAGAATATACAATAATATCTTAATAAATATTAATATGGCACAGTAATAGATAAGATTTTAGAAGTAGGAAAAGTAATGATTTGGACCATTTCTAGATGACGTGTCACGATAAAACATACGATACAACCTTTAGAAACAAATCTATGGTAACTGCATCTAATTTGATGCAGTAGTTTTTGCATGATGCCGGAATAAACAACTTACAAAACAGATAGAGAGATAGATAGACAGACATAGCTAGACAACATTTCTTTTAAATTTTTGTTAAATATCTTTTATGTACAAACATGATGAGTTGAAAATAAACAAATATAGAAAAATGCCCCTAAATTAATTATAATTAATAAATATTATAAAGATTAGTCAGGTACTTTCATATTACAGTATAGATACTTTTTACACTTACAATGAAATTAAAATATTACCTCATTATTTTGGACAACATCAACTTGATGGACAACCGTCTTGTACCACACGATCCACAGGATGTTGTTCAGTGCGACGGAAGTGAAGAGGTGTATGTGAATACGTATACGCGTACATTGAAGTGTTCTAAAATAGAGATCTAGGTTAATGTATCAAATTAGATATGTATCTAGGAGCTGATGAGATCGAAATGGTAACGGTAATAGCATCGTCTGTAGCCTGTATAGCAGTGTATGCAAATTGAAATTCCATAGACATTTTCATCTCTTACGGAACATATTGTAGGAGATCAATTGTTATTAATTATATACATTTATATGCACACGTGATTAAAAAAGTTCCTTTATAAAATTACGTGCTAGTATAATATGCTGTGCGTTTTGTGTCATTAATAGAATGGTTTGAGTTTTATTAAATATATAATATATAGGCATATATACAATATGGATTCAAAATATACGTACTTTTTTTAAAGTAAAAATTTTAGCCAATAATGGTTTTATTGAAATTCTAAGATATTGAGACGTAGAGTAAAAATGCTCGCTCATGATAGTCCATTATTGAAATTGCCTTTCTTTTACTAATAGCTACGACAGTAATTTTGCAATTGCGAATGGCAACATAATTAGTATGTTGTACAAATGTATATTTTAAAACTTGCAATAAATTATAGAAATTTAATAACTAAAGCATTATCTTTACAGTAATGTACAGTAGAAATGGCGTAATAATATAATAAAAATTCGAACCGTAGAACGAATAACTGAGAATTTTACACTCTTTTTTTTTCCTGAATATCATCACTTTTATGTTGTTCGATAAAAAACCACAGTAAGTTATTAACATGTTACTAAAATGCTTCTTACCTTGATAGGTGAGGAGCGTATAGTAATATTGAGAACATATTTTTTTTCCCTAATAATTAGATTAATCATACATATACTTATTTGCTTTAAATCAAATATAAGTGCACTATTATTCTAATGAATGTGATGGTTTACAACTTATCAGTATTAAAGCAGTCAAATAATTTGGTTCATTAGATATTGATTACGATTTATAATATTAATTACAATTTTAGAATTGAAGAAAACACAATTTTCAGTCGATGTCAAAAAGAAGGAGGTTCTGAATTCGGTTGTATTTTTTTATATTTGTTACCTCATAATATTATTTGCAAGTATGCACTTATAGATTGGCCCTATGGAAATTTTATTAAAATTGGGTTAGTAGTTTACTTCTTAAATCACAATAACTTGTTTTGCCATAATCAAACTTGGTGGTTTTTAGGTAACACAATCTGAAATTATTTTACATTAAGTTTGCTCCTTTCTTTAGATCAACGTTCATGTTAATGCTTTACCATAACAGCTCATTAACATATCATTACTGATTATGGAGATCTTTTTATGAGAAGAGAATATTAGACCATTGTTACCACACTGGACAAGCGGCTTGGGATAGTGTTTTGTTTTTTATTATTTATTTAAAAATTTCTATTTAATTATTTTATTTCACAATATATAAATTATAAGTTAACAAAGATTAAATATAGATTCCGTTGAGCACAGCAAGTAGGTATACATTTTTATAAAAGAGAATGATAAATACTCATACTTATATATTTTTTATTCAATTAAACAAAGCATTTTAAATAGTATTTTTTTATGAATTTAACGCTTAATTTGGAATTAAATTTTCAGCTCAGTAGAAAATTAATTATTGATGCATAAAAGATTAAATATTTTTTCTTGCGTTATCTGGAAGTTGAAAAAAGTGATAACATTGTAATAATACAATATCGTAGCAATGATACCAGAAAAATTGAATATGAATTATACTTACTTGAAATATAGGAAAATAAATATAGACAGCAACAGTGCGACAACAGAAATCGAGTATCCTCCGATGTAAATATTGTTAACGATGTTTCGGAACTGTAACAAGACAATAGGTACTAATATCTAGAATATTTTCTGTGTTTAGTTTATCCATATATTACTCAATTTCAGTAGTACATTATTCATAAGGTAGTTTATAGAACTCATTTTCAAAAATTTTTAAAAATGATTTACGAATTTAATTGGAATGTAACTACCATTGTTTTATTAATAAGTGTGATTAAAATGTTTTAATCTTAGTCATAGAGATAATTTTTTTTAAAATGCTAGTAATATATAACTGAATTCAAAAGTATCCAAAGAGTAAGAAATATGCTTACAAAGAATATACTCTGTTATGTCCATGATAACAGTACGAGTACATGAAGAGTCATGTCTATATGCTATGATTAAAATTCAAAAATAATAATATTCAAAAACTATCTCCTAATACTTGAGTGATTATGAATAAATTACTTTATTGTTAAAATTTGTCAAAAATAATGAAAACAAGTTGGTATGAAACCAACATATTGCATAGAAAATAATGTAAATCTAAATAATGTTCATATGCCAAACCTAAAATCATGAAATCAAAAGTAAAATATACATTTACATGTTTTATATTTATATTATTCGTACAATTCCTAATAAAACCTTTTGCGTTGCGGCGTTATTGGTAATTTGATATTGATTTTGTTACTGAATGTAAAATTTTGTTTTTTTTAATGAAGTACTCTACTACTAAAAGTTGAAATCTTATCTACATTGCTTACACTAGAACAAAGAAGGCTAGTTAGTAACTTTAAATAAGAAAGGCAATTTTGAATTAGAAACTTTCACAAGTTAGGTGTAACAAGTTTCAAATTATAATAAATATCTGTTCAGATGGATTTCAAGGCAACGTGATGAACTATTAATTAGAAGCAGTAGATCAAAGTATAGACTATGTTATCCATAAATCCGTGCTTGTTTGTCTTTTATAACCTATTGAGTACTCTGACCTTGAAAGTTACACCAACAAATCCTTCTCAATTAAAACGAAAGCTCATCGTTTCGTTATTGGGATATTGTAATAGGTTTTGCGTTATATCAACATTTGGCTTGTGGAATTTTTTTGTTTAATTAAATGTAACAATATCTATATATCTTATTGCCTCCAATTTCTCTAATATACTTGTTTCTGTGCAAACTAAAATTATCCTACATCAGTAACGGTTTATTTCTACTTAAGATTATTTCTTATTTTATTATAATTTTTCTATCAACTGATAAAAAATTATAACTTTTATATTAAAATTTATAATGTAGTCACACATTAATATAAGTTTTTATAACTGATGTGAAAATATTTGACGACATTTTTTTTAAGCTTGCCATATTATCATTTTGAATTATAAAACATTAATTACGAGTAGCACTTATCGTGGAAAAAATAACGCGTTACAGTCGACAAATGACCACAATTAAAAATAAAGCTTTTTTTTAATGTTATACTTACTCGTATTTTTAAAATGCTTTCATAACTAATTGTAGAATAACATTAGCTGCATCGTTTTGTACTTATATTTTATTGAATTAACAATTCCGTTAGCAATTGGTATACATACGATTATATCAGGAACTGTAGGTACACTGGCTTGGATTTAAAAAGTGGAACGTTTTTATACATATGTAAAACTATCTGGAGCTTCATGTTTTACTGTTTTTATTTACTGTTTACGCTAACTTAGAGTGTTCAGGATATGAAAAGTAGTGACTACTTATTGTGTTCTTTCTTCGTATAGCAGTAAGATGGTTATGATAACTAAATATCTTCATCATCAATATTATTTCAGATATTCATTGTTTTGCAGATGGCTACATTTTATTGAAATTTGTCTTTGTGTTAATATCTAACATATAAAATCGATCTATTGGTAATATTTATATATAGAAAATATAAAATGTTTAATATACTTGTTAGTAGACCAACCTCTCTTATTTTTTTACATAAAGAAATAATATCGTTTGTGTTGTGATGTAGTTATTTGGTTGAAATATTGTAGGAAAATAGATTCTGTCTTTTTATCTGACATTATCATTAGAGTTTGTTTTATACATTATATGCTTTTATATCAGAGTCAGGTAAACCGAGTGGAATAATTAATATTCTTTGAAAATTTTGACAAATATTTGGAGGCTCACTAACATTCGTTTGATTTAAAGTAATGACTAACACAGTACCTACCCAATATAAACCTACATTTAAAATATCATATTAAGTGTTTTACAAGGCATGAATGTTTCACATAAGAAATATTAAATTCTTATTTTATAGTCACTAAAAATAAAAAGCAGCGAGAATTATTGGATGATTGATAGTTTACTAGAAAAATGCTCAGGGGGAGTGTAAGTGACACTAATGTTGTTCCTAGAACCGGTAACGTCATGTAGCGGGTGTCATGATATCCAGTGTAGTAAAACATTTTCACATTTACTGTTTGACAGTGTTCTGAGTATTTACATAATCATGCTTGGCAGAGTAAAAACAGAAGTCCTTTTACACAAACGATTCAATAAAGAACGATATATTGTTTTATTGGATCCGGCTGTTTTTCCAGTTTCGTTTTCGTTTGAAAATACGAGCGTGATTAATAAAATGCCCTATAAATCTATGTAGATATTATATTTACTTATGTATATGTTTTTAAAGTTGTAAAATATATGAATAATATGCAAGTATATATAGTTCTCTGCAATATGTACAGTTATTTTATATATTCATCATTACAATACAGCCTATTAATTTTCTATTGCTGGGCGTGGGTCTCTCCCCAAAAAAAGGAGGATATTTTTTTACTACTATTGTGCTGGGCAGACAGCTTGTACAAAGTTTAATTTCGTGTTTGCTTTTCTAGCAGCGATTATCATGTTTATTTTCCTAGTTGTTTCATTCTAGAGATAATGAGAGCGATGATGTTTAATATTTTTAATTTACTCAGAAACGGAGTTAGAATACATTAAGAATAATATTTATAAAAAATAACAATTGGGGGTTAGATACTTACGTTTAAGTCTTCAATATCAACGCAGGTTGTATAGTTGGTCCAAGACCTATCAGTCACTGGGTGCCTGTACCAAGTGCCATTTTCTGTACATCTGAAAAAAATAATTCGTATGTAGCATGCTTTTTAAATATAGCCAATATAAGATCTCTACTGCCTTAAGTTTTTGTATAATATTTTTCAATTCTGAATATTAGAAAAATTTATTTACTTAACGAAATTATATTAAAAAAAAATCTACAGTCGCTTGTCAAAGGACTACTCTTTTAGAAATGAAGGCTACAATGTAGAAATATACAACATATATATTGCATGATGTTTTTTTGGTTTATTTACAATTAGGTAGAAAGCTTAAAGAATATAAATATATAAATTTAATTAGTATTTAAAAAGTACATAATATACGTTTCCGTGATGTTTTATTTATACACACAACTATATTAGGGTACTAGTACTGTCGAATAATTCGATACTACTAAGACAAATAGCGTACGCGAAATGAAGTTACAATGTTACAAAGTTAAAGGTTATTTTATACCTATAATAAAGTTGCTATAGTTTTCTTGTCTCTTAATAGATGTAACAAATAGACAAAAAGTCAGTTCAGACTTCAGTGTATCGATATTAGTTTAAATTATGAAAAAAAGTTAAATGTATCTGAAGCTAACATGTCTACATTGTTTTTGTCAAAACTTAAAATATTTTATAACTTTTTTCAACAAAGATAATTTTGTATAGTAGTTGATTGATTTTTTAATATATATTTATTTTAATATATATTATTTCTATTGCACCTAAATTCAAGTAAAAAATGGATAAGCATAGTACATCTATCGATGGGCTTTTATATTTATTAAATATGCTATTGTAAAATTATTATTATATATATATACAAATTTATATACAATGGAGTCAAATACCGAAACTCAATGTGCTTGTATTGAGACTATCCAATTACAAATGTCTTCCATTAGACAGAGTCAGTGATAAGAAAATTTAAGCAGAAGCCCAAATAATAATTTATTATCGTCAATGGTGCTGAACAAATAATTATTCTTCTTTATCTCTTTTTTAGAACGTTTATCACAAAACTTTTTGTTTGGTATTTATCAAGAAAGTTTTAAATTATCACATAAAACAATCTCGGAAATGTTTTTTTTTGATCAATTAATAATTTTTAACATAATATATGCTAATTACATTTAAAAAATATTGAAGAAAATATACTTATCTACCCTGCTGGGTTAATTTCGTTAAAGGATGAATTATTATCTTGTAGTAAAAAAACAATTTCTAATTATGTTTACGTTTTGAAGTTAAATTAATTTAAAATGATTTAGTTGGTTAGAAATGAGTGTATTGTAATCTGGTAATGATATAAATAAGAAAAAAGAACCACAAAATTACATATTTTTCACATAATTACTTATACATGTATATATTTATCTCTTTAAATAAAATTATATAGAACAATGAGAAATATTTTGTACAAGGATTTCTAGAAAAACTATAATATCTAATTTACCTCGAATAAAGTCTTGAATGTTTACAAAAGGAATTTAAAATTATAACAAATATATGCGTTTTGCTATTTTTGAAATTTCAATTTATATTAATATTATAAAGAGGAAAGAAAACTACTCAAACGATTTCAACAATTATTTCAGCTATAGAAATATATTATTTAAAAAAATCTATTTACCTGTGTGAAGCCGAGCCGGATCACTAGTGTGACATATCCCATTAGTGATCCAGTTCGGCTTAACTTTCCTTTAATATCTTTTCTTAAATATCTTTAAGAAATAAAATGTGATGAGTTTGTCTGTCTGTTAGTTTGTTTGTTCCGGTATCATACAAAAATTACTATATTAAACTGGAATTATACTGGAGTAATATGCCAAAAGATCGATGTTAAATACTGTAATAGATAGGTATTCTGAGATCATAGGTACTATTACTTGGTCTATGTTAGTGATGTAACTTATCTTGGTAAATTTAATTCTAGTTTCCATGACTACTGTCCTTGTTGAAATTGAGACATAGAAAATAAAGTTTTTTAAATTTTATCTCTTTTTAATTATTAAGTTAAACGCTTTAGAGTGCATGAATGATCTTATAATCCACTGCGTCTACCTTTGCGAAGTTCTAAACTTCAAATACTGATATATGTTTTATCGCCGTGTGGTCCCGGCATAGAATATGCCACCCCTTCCTTTCCCGTGGGTGTCGTAAGAAGCGACTAAGGGAAGGCGAGGAATGGGCAGCAGCGTCCCACTTAAAACATCTCTAAAAGCCTACCTGCGGTTGCCAACCCGCCTGCCAAGCGTGGCAGCTACTGACAAAACTCCCCTTATGGGGAAGGCTTATGTTTAGCAGTGGACAGTTGACGGCTGAAATAATAATATGTTTTATCTTGATACGTTATCTTGAAGAGATCTATTTGATTGCTTTTCTTTTTATATCCACGCATATGAAATAACGTGCAAACAGCCGGCCGCTAATAAAAATATACCAAGTAAGTTGTTGTCTATGATTTAAAGTAATAGAGTCATAGGGATCATAAACTTAACGCAAAAGACATTTTAATTCATGTAACGCAAAAGTAACGCCATAGAGTCAAAAGTAACGCAAAATGTTAACTAAAGTACTGTGACGCAAAACGCTGATTATTGGACACTTCATTGTCTTACAAGGGATAATAGCTACATGCTTGTCTCAAGCGACTTGACCGTTTACGGGGTCCATTAAATGACTACTCGTTTATTCTCCACGAAACCTTAATAATGGCGTAATATTTTCAACGTTCAATGGAGTAATGATCTAGTAGATGTTGTAACTACTTACAGATACTCGGTAAGTTACCGATGTAAATATTTATTATCAGATATAATCTTACGTTTACGTTATCATATTGTCGTATTAAGCGTTTATCATAATATATATTTCTAAATATAAATATACAGAGAGTTTATCAGAGCCTGATTTAGCTATCTCTTTAGACATCTATAATATGAAATTATTTATTATTAGAGTGCTTCGCTCTTCTATGGTTGCGCTATAAGGAAAATAAATGTATAAAGAATAAATAATATTTTGGCTTTTAAATTTAGTTTTTATTTTAGGGGTTATGTCAATTATTTTACTTCGGATGAATTTTATGTGCGAAAAGCTGAAAGAACTTTTATAGTTATAGCCAAAATAAAACACATAACAAAAATAGGTGGGCAACGTGCACGTGATCCCCGATCTGTTATAGGCGTCCATAGGCTATAGCGATCGTTTACTATCAAATGGGATATAGCCCATTCAATGGTAAACAGTCATTGTTTTCAATCTTCGTAGTATAAAAAATCAGTACTTAATATTAAAATGTTTAATGCGGTAGTTCAATTCTGTATAAAGAAACTTAATTTTTGCGATATGCACACAAAAAGAATAAAAAATTAAGTTTAACTCTTCGGAATTGAACTATCGCAATTAAGAGTATAATACTAGTTAATAGAAAGATGATATTAGGCTTAAGGAAGTTCGAAATAAATAGATATCAAAGCTGCTGTCAATACGACAGAAATAATGTCATGCCTCCTGTCTCTTTTGAGGTAACGTATCTTTTAAATTAAACTTTTCGAGTTGAATATCTTAGATGCCTGTTAACCACTTGTTCTGGCAGTAATGGTTTCAGCTGGGATTGAAACCAGGCGCGAAAAAACAAATATATTGAGCACTCGACCTGCTGCGCATCCATTAAATTTGCTTTCTAAATAAACATCAAGAATATTCAGTGGATTATTTTATACGCACATATATATGCATATATATTTACCGCTGATTTTTTGACGGGTGATTTACTGTAAAAGCCGACCGAGAGCGTATTAGTCACACATAATTAGGGTACTGTAGCTGTTGAAATTTTTAACCAGGTTGGTTATTATATCTTCAAATTATTAATGTTCTCTTGGCATTCTCTACCAGTCAACCATTACGTTAAATAGAGTGAGTAGTATTAGCCTCTTATTATATAATATCTTGGAGCTCTGAAAAAGCAGTAAAAGGTCATATGTGTCGAAAAGATGACTCGTCGATTTATATAAAAACTGGTGCGCATTTACTAGTGGCCATGTTAGGTGGAAACAGTTGAGGGAGGGGTTTACTCAAAAGTGATATCACTTTTTAGTACTAACAGTGATATCACAAGGCTTTGAACGACTGAATGAATAAATGAATAAATAATAATACCGGTTCTTTATGTTAGTGTCATGACTCTTGCAACTGAATAGAAATATTAGTGTGTTCAAATAATGTGGTAAATTAATGTACTTAGAACGCACTAGTAGTAGTTACCTATACAAAACAAATTTAAACAACCGTAAAAATTTAAAAAGTATATTTTAATTTTCATTTTACGTTTAACACTTAACGCGACGCGATTGCAGGTTAATTAGTACCTACATACCTGACTTTTATTGTCGATGTTTCGTCATGGGTCACCAGAATATAACACTGTCCATTTCACTCCTACCGTAACCATGATGTGGTGTAAACCTATGTCGTATTTTTGCGTTGTTTTCACATAAAGTTAAAATCGTGAATTTAAAATATGTGTAAACAACTAGAAAATTTATTATATATTTTGTTGATATACTGATATGTACGAAAATTTATATTCATAGTCGTTTTAAATTGTACCGATGTTATAACAAACATTGTATTATTAATTATATTAACATTGTAAATTGTTAACATAATTGCTACTTAATGACAAAATTGCTTGAACATCTACTTGAAATGGAATAAGATGAATCATTTCGACGTTTGTTTATTACTCTCAGTAATCAGTAGTCTACATAAAATAAAGAAATTGAGAAAAGTGCTCATATTTTTTTCAGTTTCGTAATCGAATTTATGTCTTGCAATTTAAAACAAAATGTATTCATCTATTATGACCTTTAAAGCGTAAAAAATGTCTCAGTTTCTGCTTTAGAAGGTTAAATTAGAATTCCTACTATACCACAAATATTACTTATTCAATCTATGGTAGTACTTATGTGAAGTATGTGAGGTCAAACTTGAATAATAAATGAAATTTACCGGACAATTTCTAAGAATGTGTAATGAAAATATGAAACAGCAAATTAATATTCTGTTCATACATACGAGTATTGTATATAATATTTCAATTAGTTTTAATACATTGGAGATGCGAATAATTTAAAACAATTGTAAATTGTTTATGCTACTCTCTGAAACAGCTCCAACTTGAGTGATAATATCTAATTTTTATTAACCTATAGGGCTCAAAACAAAGTTTGTCGCGTCAATATGGTAAATCTAGTACAATATAAAACAATAAAAACTATGCAAGTAAGTATTGTTTCTAAGATTTAGGTACACAGAACTATATATATTCACTTAAAGTAGTTGTATTCTAGTTTGTTTAGAGCGTTCTTACTGGTCGTATTATCGATAAAAAATTATAAACAATTCTTAATATTTAATTGTTTTTTGATTAGATGAATAGAGTACTGTAAATAAATAAATATATATAATAAATAGATAGTGCAGTAAATGATAATTATGAAAAACAATTTCACATAAACCTAGCTCAGAAAATTTTAGTATTATTGTATATTGGTTTATTTTTGAAATTTTTAAGTACTTAGCATCAAAATTTATATATTTAATGTAATTTAATAAGAATATTATTGCATGATTAACGTTTTAAATAAATGTATGAACATTTTTTTATATTTATTCATTTAAAAATATTGAATATGATTTGTTCTTGAAAATTAACATATAATGTAACTGTTGTCAGATTTAGATTTTAATGCTCTTAAAGCGTGGAGAATAAGGTTAAGCTTAACTGCTAATTCTTGACCACACCAAGCACAGATTCGCTATCAAGCGTAATTTAAAATAACTATGTAGTTATTACATTTAACAAGTATCTAATGAAGAATCGCTGTTACTGTTATTACTCAATCTTTAAAAAAAACTTTCATCTATAGAAAGTTGTATTATACCAGCGAGTAACAGAATATATATTATTTTTGAAAATTTTGTAAAATTCGAGTAGCTTACCCATGAGCAACTGAGCCGGATTACTAGTATCTTATAAATATTTATAGTACAGACCTGGTAGTAATATTATTCGCAACAATTACTGGTTTATTATCCTTTTAAATGGTTGAGGTAAAACAATTATAAGGATTAAGCCCATTAAAAAAATATAAATGTCGCAATTAATTGCGACATTATATAAACACATTAAAATATATGAACGAAGATAGAAAAATAGAGTATGGGATAAGAGGAGAGCGTAAAATAAGTTGAAAAAACTGAAAGACGACACAAATTTGTAATTGGACAAGAGTTGAAGTTGACAAAAATTGTATCGTCCTAAAAATTAGAAAACAATTATTTAATATTATATATATTTAATATTTGGCCAAAAATCAAAATTCGCATCTGGCGACTCTGAGTGACTTCGACGTAGTGCAATCCATGTTGAAACTTTAGCAATAAAAATCAGGTATATTTACCTCGTCGTATTAAGTACCGACCGTGAATTGAAATATTATATACTTATCTTTAATAATAAATACAAAAAAATGTTGCATATATTTGGTATTCCACCACTGTATTCCTATTACTAAAAGCTGTACTATGACCTAGGTTATAAAGGTTAAAAATAGTAGGTAATGTTGAATGAAATTTCCATAAGAATGAAAGATAATTAATTAACGTTGTTGTTAATGTTGCAAGTTAAAAAAATACAATAACTTGCCTTTTAAAAGCATAGCGGTTTGGATCAAATCCAATGACAAACTCCGGGCAGTATTGGAATGATGTAGAGCTGGCAGGTACGGCATCCCAGCATGCAAATCCATCAAATGTTCGTGGACACCATAAATCATCATCTGCAAATATATAATATAAATTATTATCCTGGACTTTGTCTGTATCATCGAGATAAATTGATTGACCAAAATAAAATCTAATATGTATGTTTTTATTTTTGATTCTAAATACTATGTGTATAACAAATTTCATTATAATTTGTCTATTCGTTAACTAATTAAGTTATAACAAACTTTTTTTTTATAGTTGGAGGTACATTTGTTCGGTATCCTGTCCTCGCTATTAGATACCTACGGGTGGCGGGATGCCTGCTGTATTGGATACACTGAGTATATAAATTTGGGGATAGAGCGCAAATTAAGGGACATAAAGTAAGATTAATAAATGAACAAATTCACATTTATATTATTAGTATTATAAGTATAGAGAGGGCTATATTAGAAGTTTCTTTGCATATTAAAATCCGAAATGAGGATATCTGTAGAAGAAGCAAAGTGATTGACAATGGTTGAAGGATAAGCAAGTTAAAGTGGCAATAGGATGCTCACATAGCTCAAAGAAGCGACAATCAATGTCGAAGAAAGGTTTTTGAGTTGGGACCTGAATATCAAACGTAAAAACAAATAGGTGAAGCGAGAACCTTAAATGCGTTGTAGGAAATCAGTGGATAGCTCGGACCCGTTTCTTATGGCAGTCAGACGTATACACATGCTTTTGTGTACGGTAGGTGAATTATAATATTTTTAAAATTTATTTAAAAATAAGATACCACTTTTATCACAAAAATATTATTATGAAATCAATAGTAGAGGGTTTAATCAATGGTAAAAAGATATTACTAAAATTTCTTCAGAATTGTTGAACATGCATACAAAAAAATTGGCAAATTGATAAACTTCTGCTTTATGAAGTCGCTTAAAAAGAAGTTCAATCATGTGAAAACGGATATGGGACACTATCGATCGTAAATAGCTACTAACGGAAATAGTCTTGTGATTGCTCAAGGAATTATATGTTTACAGAACCAATGAATTTCCCGAAATTCGTGCGAATAATAACAAATATTAATTAAACTTTCTTAATATGAAGTGTTAATTAACTGATAGATACGTATATAGTCGATAACAGGAGTATTTTAACCAAGTCAAAGACCACTGAAAACAAATTTGAATGTAAAAACACGTGGAAATTGTTCATCACTTCAGGAAATATATATATATATATATATATATATTTATATATATATATATATATATGTACAATTTTTATGTTGTAATAAAATAAACCAAGAAATAATTTTGTTTGTAGACGTCTACAAGGGAAATTTTATTTTACCTAGGTTATATTTAAAGTCTGCTAAATAAGTTTTCTCTTTACCTATAAAGACCTAATTATTGTTTCATTTTCATAAATTATGTTAATTTAGATAGGCACTACATTAAGCGTAATTTATTCATTGCAAAATTAGTTGAACAAAACAAACTTGTTTGATGACAGTACTTTCGAAAACAGGCTCTAGTTTAAACTTCACATTTCATAGCATGCATTAGTTTTATGAAAGTAAAACGGTACGGTCCCGTATTCCGTATATTTTTTTATCTTTTGGAATTTGCTTAATTTTTTTTTTTATAATCGTTCTAAAAAGGTGATATGAAATAGCATTGTGAATGATTTGATGTTGATAAAAGACTCAAGAAACTAATAAATTTTCAGTGGTATATGATTGATCAAGGAAATTGCTTAGAAGAAAAGTCTTCCGTGAGTTCTTGAAAAATTTTGTATAAATGCGATAGTTTCAAAATAGCTGAGAATGTCGGTCCTCCTGGTTGAAAGTGGTAATCATCGACTATACACATGGATCGTTACATTATAGTACGTAGTATTTATATATATTTATAATATAGTACGTATTATTAATGTCTATGAACATAATAGAGTATATTTGTCACCCATGATACCCTTCAAATGCCGCCATTCCCGAGGACTAAGGTGTTAGGTCTCATATACCCTGTAACTTTATTACCATATCCCACCCTTCAAATCGAAAGATGTAAACACTACTGCTTGATGACAAAAACCCGAATGAGACAGAAGTACCCAAGCAGATGACTTTAAGACAGTCTTTTTTTAAATATGCCTCCCAATAACGTATACAATGAGTTCAAGAAAGATTTAGTACTAAAGGCTACTTAAACGTAAAGCAAGAAGTATTTATTACCACTATGCAAGCGTAGTTTCAAGGCCAATTTAGTATAGTTACTTACTAAATATAGCAAACAGGACAATTGGGTATTTGAGAGTTGTAACAATAAAATATGAAATATGTTGGATATTATAGGTAAACAATAACTATAAAGTTTTTTTGATTAATGTAAATTCTGATTATTTAATTTTCCCAAAATATAATTTTAATTTTTATCTGTGGAGTCAAGACACGAAATGTGGTTGGCCATGATTGAGCCTCGTATAACATCACAACTTAGAGTATCGCAGTACATATATTTTCGTGTATATATTTAAATATCAAAATAAACGAAGCAACACAACATACAGAATTTACTTAGAAAACTTGATGTGAATAAATCTTGTTATAAAAAGTCCTCACATAGTTATAAAGTTATTTATCGACATGGAATGGATTATTATATAGTATTAAACGTAATTTTACATGTTATTAGGCAGCTAAAAAGTTTTACAGTTACAAATGTTTACCATAGGGGGAAATTGTACAAAAGTCGTTTGTCAATCGTGTTTCTACCGTGAAGCAGTTGCATTTGCATGACTGTGTTTTGGTTTGAACGGTGGGATATGGCAGTGAATTTTTAGGGTACAGAGGAATAACACTTGAGTCCTCAGGAATGGCAACGCATGGGGGGGGGGGGATCATGGGCGAAACAGTATACTCTGTTATGTTCTTGGTACTGCTTATGTTTATAGGCGATGGTTACCACTGTTTCGTTTTTCGACAAAAGTAAATCATAGATTTATCCAATGTAAACTTCGGAATTCAACGTATTAACATTAACCACTGCTTTCACTTTTTTGGCCATTAAGATACTTGTATAAATAATTTCTGAGCATATTTAATGATTATACTTCTACATACTGGCACGGTACATTGCTTGCAGCTAGAAGTTATATAAATATTTTTAAACTTTCCTCTTAAATACGGTTAGCTTTTAGAAAATAAAGTCGCAGTTTAATGAATGATAACATCACGATCCGAAATGAAAAAATTAATGAAGCGAAAATGTTTTTTTTTTTTATTTTCACGTGGCAGTCGAGGTTCATGGCTTATATGAAAGGTTGAGAACTCCTGTTAATAAGAATAGAAGTCAATCTTAGAGTGTGGTAGTCACACAGATCCTAATGGTAGCGGTATTAAACAAAGTAATTCTAATCGAATAACCAGCGATAAGGAGTTGATCAAGTTTAGTAAAATAATTTATAATATAGTAAGTAAAGTAATTTAAGTCATAATTTAAATCTATTAGAATTTGAATTCATATTGCTTTTTAGAATAAATATTTCGCTGCGAAATCCCCCCTTAGTGTCTACTTGCTAAATATCGATAGCTATTTATAAAAAAAAAATATTTGTATTCATCAGGCCAGTTACGTTTCCTATTACTGTAAAATAAAATAAAATCTGTCCATTGTTGCCGCGGTCAAATACGCCGTAAACCGTGAATTCACGATGGATTGTTTACCCGTAAACCCCTAGAGAGGCGCACTTACACTGCAAGCACGAGGTTTTGCGTATTTGATGTTAAAAAAGGGAGTTATAAAGAATATTTAGTATATCCACAAATTTTACCGAGATTGTTTAAAGGTCGCCGCTTCATATGAAATATGGCGGTTTAAAATTTAATTCTGGTAATTTTTTCAAATTTTATAAAATATCAATTAAAACTTTTTACGAACTTTATTCAATCCTGGAACGATTATATTTTTTTCTAAAAAGTTTAAATGAAGTGCATTCGCTTAGAAGGGAGGTGGCAAATTTCGTTCCATAGATTTATATTTATATTTTTATTATGATTTTATTTAATGAACTTTTTTAATTCGTTATAATTTTATTCTTACATGTATAAATTTGTTCATTACATGCATCAGTAACAGATGTGGTTTAAAGGACCGATTGGCTACTTTTTCCTAATTTTGAATAAATGAAGAATTTTTTTCGGAAAAACGAATGAATCTGGAGAAATTGGGGAAATTTTTGTAATAATTTTGGTATTTGTAAACCAATATAGTAATACGTCGACCGAGAGATTAACTGATGAATCCAACTCGGCTAGGCAGCAAAAATAGGAAGAAATCCTAGTTTTGATTTTATTTGCAAAATGAATAGAAATAATCATTATTCAAAGAGACTTGTTTACAAGCTTTGTAAAATCGTCATTTTTTTATGATTTTACTGCTGGGTTGGAATAACCCGAAGGAAATTCAATAGTTACTCCTTTCAAATTATTAAGTATAAGATAATTTTTCATTTGTATTGGTACTGTGACAATAATTAGTATTAAATTGTATTTATATGTATCATTAAATGTAAACTATATAAGCAAACCTGACCAGATCAGTACCATTCACAAGCAGCACCCATTCACGAGTATGACGGATGAGCCAGCCATCATTGCGTTCACCCATATTTTAGTGAACTCAATAACCCGACCGATCACGCCGCCACCAGTCAGGACCTTGTACTGAGCATAACGTACATGTCATATGTCACAATTGAACATCTCATGTTACAAGTGAAATTTTGAATCATACGTCATTCCAGCAACGTCCCTTCACAAAAACTGCTTTATAGTAGTATAATTTGTTGATACAAAAATTTATGTACTATTTCATTAAAGAAATAGCAAATAATCATTGCGTTTGGATTTATTCGTAAGCATCAGCTGCATTCGCTTAGCAGTGAAGCAAAATCGAATCGGATGATCGACTATGCCGTATAGTAAGAACAGACCTTATCACACTGTGTTAAAATATCTATTCGATCTCTCTTATTGTAAAAATCATAATGAATATTCACTTTCATTATATCATCATAGTAACATTAAGTTATTGCTAGTGAAAATGACTTTTTGGTTTTTGTCACTTGCGATATAATCTATACTTATAATAAATCTGTAGAGAGGTCAATTCTGTACATGAAATATATTTCCAAAATAACTATCAGGGGGTGATTAGTGATCGATACTGATGCCAAAAATGTAAGCAGTAAAATTTTTGTCTGTCTGTGTGTATGTTCGTTATAGAAACAAAAACTACTCGAAGGATTTTAACAAAATTTGGTACACTTATTCTTTATACTCTAAGGCAGGTTTTAGTATACTTTTCATCACACTACGATCAATAGGAGCAGAGCAGTGAAGGGAAATGTGTCTGTCTATTTTATAAAAAACGACGGAAACGCGGACGAAGTCGCAGGCAACAGCTTGTAGTGAATAAAAATATTAATTCCACTAAATGATAATGAAATAAATTTTGCAATAATATTCATGACTACCTCGAACTCACCATTGCTTCAAAATATATTTAGAAAAAGAAAATATTTTTATTTTCTTTTTTAGGGGTCTAAAGTCAACTCCGAATGTCGAAATGGACTTACTAGTCCAAGTGAAGTATTAAACCAAAGGGCTCCATTTGTATATTTAAAAAAAAATTACTTATTTCAATGCTGTATAATTTTTTATTTATAATCGTAAAATACCTTTGAGAAAAAACTTTCCTTGGTTTTGGTCTTGGTTATTTTGACACCTTTTTAGTCTACTTTTAAATCTCTTACGACTCTCACACATTTCTTTATACATAACTCCCTCAGTTTGTTTATCGTATAGTTTTCACATCAAAAACCTAATTCTAGCCTCATTATGTGCCTTTCTAACATTTATTCCAACCAGATACACGTCTTCGCCGCTCACAGCTCTTTTATGAATTCTAACTGTAGCTTCTGCTAATATATTCACTATATTACTATATAATCGGTTTATTATGGTCTTATGAATAGGATCACTACACTTTCCGTCACAACAGTTACCGAGCTCAAATGGGAAATCAATTTCTCTTAACTTTTTATTACAATAATTCTTATATAATTTTATCTATTTATGGTCTCTAATCCCCCACAATAATATTTTATAATATTTTTTTAACATTATTTTTTTATATTATTTTAATAAATTTATGTAACCTTTTATTTGAATAGGGAAATGGTCAGACCAATGTATGTATCATAAAGTATTTATATTTATTTCGGCAATAGACATTCGAGAAGTTTGTTATTAAAATATGATCGAACCATTTTTTGTCCCATATACATCGTTAATAAAAGTATAGTTGTCTGATTTCAAATCTAATTTCTCTATATCCGCACAAATCAGTTGTTGTTATGTACAGAAATGTAAAAGCTGAATACCGAATTTTTCATCTGGGTGTGCATTGTAGTTACCAAGAATAAATACATAGAATATATAAGTCAATATTGATAGGTTGACTGAATCATGGCGGAATCTAATGTCCATGTCATACTTACACCGGTTATTATTGTGAACAATACGCTCGCAGTTGTCGACGAGCATGTATACTTGGGACAATTTGTCCGATTAGGTAAGTCCAACTTCGACCGAGTGGTCAACCGATGAATCCATTTCGGTTGGGCTGCGTTCGGAAAACTACGTTACATCTTCTCTAGAGAGGGCTATGCTTTATTTGCGTGACAGAATCCGATTGATAGCCGCAAAAGAACAAAAGTGACCGACATAAACTGTAGATGACTTATGAGAATAGCAAATATGAGTTAATTAATTTAAATTAAGTTGATTAAAGTGTGAATATTATTTAAAACCACATTAATACTTTTATCACTTTAAATAAAAATAGCGGCTATTTTAATTAATTCTGACAATGAATACATATTTGAAGTGTATACGGATCTTCAGGTTTCGATTTAGAAAGCAATCGGTTCGAATAACAAAGATCCTTTTGATAAAATATACACAGACGAATTTAAGACTTCTTTCTTTTTGAAGTTACTTGAAAATGGTGGCTGTTTTATTAATTATTCGAGTAAATATGTGATAACAATATAATTTAATTTAATATGAATAATATTAAATACCATACACAATATTCAATAATATCTCTATGTTATGTATACACAGAGATATTATTACACAAACTACATAAAAATTATATTTATATATTGTAAGAAAATATCATAGACATACAAATTTATAATTGAAAATAATTCAATTCATATTGATAAAGAAATACCACCTCATTTTGGGAATTTTAAATCAATTGTAGGATTTTTTCGGATACTTGCAACACTAAAAAAAATAGCGCGAATATTTATTTTTAAAAGAAATGTGAATATTTACAATTGTATTTATGCTTAAAATGAAAGATATTTACCACCAATAAATGGCTCATTTATGAGTTATTTTTTTGTCTTATAATATTTGCACCTTTTTAATGCGTAAAAATTTATTAAATTCAATATAGATATGTCGTATAATATATTATATATAATATTACATAATATGTTATATAATGTAATATTATATAATGTAAGTAATAGAATTATTGCAAATTCTCTTACCTTGGGGTTCCATTTTGTCCAGTGTCAATATTTTGCTGTAACTGGCATTTCCTAGAAAGCACTCTTTTATTAATTTGTCTAATAATTGTAACCTGGAGTCCTTAGAGATATCCACGATACTAGTATTATTATGCATTTTATCCATTAGTCGAACATTTTGTAATCACATTTTAAAATTTGCATCACTAGTATATAGTTTTTTTGATGTATATAAGCACTTTTCACTTCTATTTATTACATATTGGGAACATCAAAAAGGTTTCAAGCTTTATCTTAAAATGCTTTATTTTACTGCTGTTGTATTGTCAAGTTGTAGTAATACAATGAAATTATACAATTTGAGAATTGTGTGCAAAAACACATTATTTGGTCTTATTTTTTTTATACAACTTAGAATGGCAAACAAGCTGACGGCCCACCTGATGGAAAGTGAACCATGCAAATACAACTGCTTCACGGTTGAAACAAGGATGGGACATCATAATCCTAAACATAATTTGGCACTGCGGTATCCTTGCATTATTGTTATTAAACATAATCGTCTTAGTTAATTAATGAACATAAATTTAACTAATGAATGAGAATACATTTATTTAATTGATGAGGTATATCGATGTTATGTTTCCAGAACACTTGAGTTTTTCATTTCAATATTAAATAAAGAAAATATAAAATTCAGAAAAGACATCTGTTTATTTTACTTACTGTTTTCTTACCATATTAAAATGTAATGTGTTTACTTATTCGAGTTTAATATTGTATTGTATACTTATTCTCTCATTTTGATATTAATCAATAACAATTCTGGACTATTTAATGCACAAACTGAAAATAGAGGTGAGAAATTTACATTGGGATATTATAGGATCGTCTGAAATTTGAAAACAATGGAAAGAAAGACATCTGGAATTTTTTACCACACTTCCATCTCACCTCATTTATTTACCTCGAATACGGTAACTTTTTCTACCTCCCGGAGGGCGACCATCCGTCCTAAGGGGTACATTGTTCGTGAGTTCTTTGTCTTAAAGGTCAAGTATGTCGAAATGACTGACAGCCTGAAGAATAAGAAAGCAGAAGTGATAATGGGCTGGTCACATAACTCGAAGAACGAACAAACGATAGGGAAGAACAGTTCTAGAGTGGCAATAAGGCAAAAATAGTGGAAGATGTCCCTCTCTCTTTATTTCCAAAGATTGTAAAGTGAAAAATCTGAATTAAATCCAGTTTATAAAGGTATGTGTGAATAATACAAAAAAAGCATAATAAAGATAAAACGATGTTCTTAATTTGCAGAAATTATTAAAAAATTTTCAAAAACAAACTTAGTTATGTGGTCCAATTTTTAACCATAGCCCAAAATAAGAAATTACGAATCACAGTATCAATATTAATAACTATTAGTTGCCTAATATATATATATATATATATATATATATATATATATATATATATATATATATATATATATATATATATATATATATATATATATATATATATATATATATATATATATATATATATATATATATATATATATATAATTATATTTGATATTCTTGTATCTCAGGACAAAGTTTTAGAAACATCCTAAACTATATTTTGGAACTATTTTTAAATCGTTTCAGTTAGAGATTTTCGTAAATAAACACTGAATAATAGTTACAAATTTACGAAAATGAATGAAATAATAAAAAATATTTTAATAAACGAATGAAGTATTATCAATGTTTATAAAGACACGATTTCCCATATATTATATCAAAACAGCCAGCGTTGAAAATACTAAGTACATCAAAGATAACATGCCGCAAGTAAGTGATTCATTCTAGAGGCATGGGCAATACCATACCAGAGTAAACAGTAAACGAAAAACATTATTTGTTCAATGAAAGTTTAATAGCGTATCTATAACATTTTATGAAGTTCTTTGTACTGGTTAAATAATTTTGTTAATTATTAATGATTTAGTTTATTTCTTTTGAGTGTGTTTGTGTATTCTATAGTTTCTATAAATAATAGAAAAATACAAAGATGTGTAATATATAATATTATAAAAACTACGTGTAGAAGAATACAATTATATAGATAGATAGTCTTTATTGTTTCCTCCAAAATATTACAATAGAAAACTTATTATAGATATAAACAATTACAAGATTATATATTTTTGTTCGTCGCGCAACACGCGAAATCTTAGTTAGGTAATTCTGTCGTTGGTCCTATATTATTAATTTAAGCGGTTGGTCCTATATTATTAATTTAATTTTCCTTTTTTGTAATCTTATTACGCTGTGTAATCTTATTATGTTACTAATTATGAACTGTTTTTTAAATTATTTTTACAATCGATAAGGTCTAATTTCGTATCGGGCTTTTAATAATTTGGAAACAAAAATAGCAAGTTTAAAAGAATCTATTTTTTTTGCGGAACAAAAATTACTCTTTCTGAAGCTAAATCTATCTACCAAGGAAATGTTTTTTAATACTAGATCTTTGATGCTATAAACTCGTAATTAAGTAGTTTTTATTCTATAAATTAATTTCATATTTTGTTTTATCCACTAATTTATTATTCAACCATATTAAGTAAAATATGTCAGATACGTAATCATTCTTTTGAATAAATTCTTGAGACAAAAATTGAAAGTTAATAGAATAAAATATCGTAACTTTATACTGTAATATAATGCAGGAATTTTAAAAGGTGATTCAGCAAAACCCTCATCTCGAGGGTCAAGATTTAAAGCTAACGTGTTCATGTAATATACATCATGTTCTCATATATATTATTATTCCATAATTGTGTCACATTTTTATCAATCGTTCTGAATTGAATATTTAGAACACAGAAGAATTCTTATGTAAAAACCAATGTATCATTGTAGTTTTTTAATAAAAATTAAAAAGAAATTTCGTTCCAATTTATAGTTAGTGGCATGTGTACTGTGCCAATATTCATTATATTGAATATATACATTCTGTCGATCATAGTTGAATCGAACGTGGCGACTCTATTCTAGTTAGAGTTATTAATCAGAGTCGTGAATTGAATATAGTTTCGATAATTATAATAGAGTGTTCAGACTCACCACATCGAGGTTTGTAACCATAAGCATAATTGTGAGCATATTTAATTTTAATTATTTTATATAAGAATATACCTACTTGTTTGTTGTTGACTATGTGGTTCCGGCATAGAATAGGTTACCCTTCCTTTCCCATAGGTGTCGTAAGAGGCGACTAAAGGAGGGCGATGGATGGGCAATAGCGTTCCTCTTAAAACATCTCTAAACGCTAACTGCGGTTGCCAATCCGTTTGCTAAGCATGGCAACTGCTTGCAAAATCCCTCAAGAGGGGGGAGGGAGCTTATGTTCACCAGTAGACAGTCAAAGGTTGATATGATGATGATGATGATGATACCTACGTGTTTAGTCGCTTTTACAGAAAGTATCAACCATATGATTTTTATAACAGTTCTTTAACAAATGAGGAAGTGTAGTTTTCAAATGATTACAACAGAATTAAAAGAAAATATTTACTATGATGATGTCATTATTATTAATAGATCGTTTATAAGTTATCCCATGTTGATACAGACATCATCGGATGAGTGACACACGTACATACACACCCAACAAAGTTTATAAAGAAAACATCTGCTATTTAGAAATCAGAAAAATGTTTTTGATAGAATCACTATTTTGAACCGAAAGAAAATTTAAGATTTTGACATTTATATAATATATATAAAACGAATTCTGCTTCACTAAGTGCTAATAATGAAAGATTGGTAAAATAACACAAACATTTATTAAAGTAAGACAAATATACAAACAGATCATGTTCAAGGATAGGATGTAAGGTGCTTTTTTATCTTAAATCATAAGAAAACTTATTGCCCGTTATGATATAAAATGAAATAAACAATGATCGTTAATTATGAAGCAAGTTATATTTTTTTAGATTATATTTTTATTAAATAAATTTAATGTAACATAAGAATGTTACTATTATTATCGTAGATCACGTTGTATAATTTTATTATTTGGAATTTTCCGACATCCGTAAGTTATGTTCAAATAAAGTATAAAGTCTGGTTTGCGTCACAGATTGGGATGTTTGGTGAGCTATATAAAAATAAATGCCGTAACCTAAACCTAAACATCTTATCACGGATAGAGGTGTAACGATTTTAATTAAAAGAATGTATTGATTATGAATACTTTTCTATTCTATTCTTATCCTCAGTTTATAATTGATTGATATCTAGGATGTAGTGAGATGCTATATGCGAATAATGTCATTGTAAAAGAAGGAGAACTGAACGAAAAGACTGTAACTGTTTTTTTTTACGTACTTCCACATAAAAATGTGGGTGTACTCTGTTGTACATATATTATAAATATGAATGGATAATGCAATTGCGATTACTGGTTTCTATTGCTCTTCTTAAAACTACCTATATATATATATATATATATATATATATATATATATATATATATATATATATATATATATATATATATAGCAAAATTTAAAAAGATATCTACTTTAAAAAGTCTCATTTAAAATTCCTTTTGTGATCAACTACATATTTATACAATTATGTCTTGTACCTGAAATCGAAACTTCACTCGATCAAGTTTCGATCTGGGGTGAACAAAATCTTGTCCAATTTAACCTTAAGAAGACACAAGTCTGCGCATTCGCCGCAAAAAAGACGCCGTTTGTCGTATCTTCTCACTTTCAGGGTACTTTCTTTGATAAAAATTCGAGTCTAGGAGTTCTGGGCGTTAATATATTTAGCGACGTCCAGTTTTGCGGTCATCTGGAAGAAAAAGCTAAGATAGCTTCCAAAAAGTTAGGAGTGCTCAATAGAGTGAGGTGGTATTTCATGTCGGAACACCGCCTGAAATTGTATAAAGCTCAAGTCAGGTCGCATATTGAATACTGTTTTCACCTATGGGCAGGAGCGCTACAGTAACAGATCCTACCGTTAGACCACATTCAAAGTCGGGCGGCTCGAATTATTGATAGTCAGCGCTTTACTGTCCGACTCGACCCACTGAAACTGCGCAGAGATGTTGCATCTCTGTGCATCTTCTACCGAATTTATCATGGAGAGTGCTCTGAGGAATTGTTCGGATTAATACCTGCTGCTAATTTTCACCATTGTACAACCCGCCATAAACTAAAATTTCATCCCAACCATCTGGACGAGTGGTGGTCTTCCACCGTACGTTTTTCAAGGCACTTTCTTCCATTCACAACCACTCTTTGGAATCAACTTCCAGCAGCAGTATTTCCGAACCGATATGACATCATAACCTTCAAGTAAAGAGCATATTCCTTTTTAAAAGGACGGCAGCACACCTGCAATACAGTTGGTGTTGTAGGTGATCATAGGCAACGGTAGTCATTTACAATCAGGTGAGCCAGATGCTCGTTTGCCCCCTGTGTTGTAAAAAATAGTAATGCGGGCGATGTCGAGTTGAGGGCGAGTACAGATAGTTTCTAAATCTATTATATTAGTATAATAAAAAAATAAATAACTTTCAATGGAAAGGCAATTTCCAGAAGTAAGGGATTATAATAACGATTTATTTTATTTGGAATTTCAGAGGCATCTGAATATTGAAGATAAGGAGCAAAGAAAAGATGGCTTATGTATTGATAAGTTACAAATCAACTCTTAAACCACAGGATTTTCCTAATATTAAAAGCAACTTTGCCAATTGGATGCCTTTTACTCAAATATAAGGCAATATAAGCTTAATTTATCGCTTTATAACATTCAGCAAAAGGCTATGTATATAATATTAAGGATATGTACACAATTTTAAGGACCTTAAAAATATTTCTATATTTAATAATCTAGAACAGTACCAGACGAGCTAAGGTACATATTTTAGTTTTTATTTTAGTTTCGCCTACTTAGTTTTCTGCTTGCCTCATGGTTAACTGGTAGAGAACGCCATTATGTATTAAATCCGCCATACGTAGTGTAAATATGGCAGATTTAACACCGAATAGCGTGTATTTATATTATACATTTGTGCATTGAAGTTTAAATAAATATATAAATATAACCATATATACAATAGAAACAGTTATTAATTTATTTTTAATTTTATTTGCAAGTTCATCGGCTACTTGGAATTACTTATTTTTTTAAAAAGAAAATATAAAAAAGTTTCTATTTACAAGTGACAGATAAAAATGTGGAACTTAATTTTCTATTTCATAATTAATTTAAATTTGTTCTTGTTTATAGTTACCTTAGTAAACAATATATAATGGCTGTAAACATTACTGAAAAGTATCGTGTCGATAGTTAAATCACTCATCAGTCATCTATTAGAGCCAGTACTCATCCTACTGACGTCTAGTTAACAGAATCTTCTAAAGACGTTGCATTATACGAAATAAGATAAAAATAATGTTTTATAAACTTTTTGAAGTAAAATGAAAACTTTTATGCTTATCTATAAAAAGTGATACAATTTTTTATTAATAGAGAAAATGAAATCAAGGTATTATATGACGTAAACCGAAATTAATTACATTCATCATCATCTCAGCTGTTATCCGCCCACTGCTGAGCATAGGTCTCCCCCACTGCCATAAAGGATGATCCTGAGCCACCTGTACGCTGTACGCTTGCATGCCTTAATTACATTAGATATACGTAAATTGATATACCTCATCTTCATTTTATTTGTGTCTAATTACTAAATAATAAATTATGAATGCACATTTGGTTAAAAATACCTATAATCAAAACAACACAAACAAAACAATTTCTCAAATAAAGAATTTTTCCAAATTTTACATTGATTTGTTGAATGTATCATTAATAAGTTATTTGTTTCAAAACTTTTACGCTGACGCTTTAACACGAATCGCGATATAAGAGCGGCTTTAGTGAGTACCGCGCTCTGAGACGACAGGGAACAGACTGAAGTTATCCGTCGTAGTAGATTTATCTCAATTCAGAAATGCAGGGCTGTGCCTCTCATAAGCTTCCGTGAGTTTAATCTTTAATTTTATTGCTGTTTCGGTTGTGGATTCGTTATATGTAATGACATAAATTTATATGTTATCTGATTTTTATATTTAATTACTTTCAATTTGATCGAGTTTCAAACGTCATGAATTGAACCCGCTGTTTAACTTTCGGAACTTACTGTGAAGATGAAGCCTGTATACAAAATTTTATTAAAATCAGTTCAAACGTTAAAGCATGTATGAGTAACTAAAACCCAAATATATTTACAAAATTTATATATACTCGTACATATGTATGCACAATAATATTGGTAGAATTTCTTCTAATAAAATTGAGTAAGTATTTTATAGTTATTTACATGAAATTGAAAGACTATTTTTTACTTACTGACTATTTTATGTTCTTATTTTATTATTTATGCCTGTAGTTCTGAAGTTGGTAAGGATGCAGCGATATTTTTTAGGTCAATAAAGGGAATTCATAATAACATTTCTTTAATAACATAAATTTATATATTTTGAATGTACAATATTTATAGAAGGCTGAAAGCGAATTAAAAAAAGTGAAAACCATTCATTGCATAACATTTCTTTACCTACAGATAGGTAGGCGGTATAATGTTTGGATATTTCTGTAACAGAATTTTATGTTGTCTAAAGTAATCACAAGTTCCCTGTAAGAAAAATTGCAAAAATATACAATTTTATTGTTGTTCTCTAATTGTACAAATTGATTTTTTAATACAACTTAGAATGACAAACAAGCTACGGTCCACCTGATAGAAAGTGGTAACCGTCGCCTATAGACAAGAACAGTACTATGGGCATAACAGAGCATACTGGTTCATTCATGATATCCCTCATATGCTGCTATTCCCGAGGACTACAGGCAAACACAACTGCTTCACGGTAGAAACACGAATGGGTCAGAGGTACCCAAGTAAACGACTTTTGTACAAAATCTCCCTCTGATAATATTTAGTGTATTATTTATCTCTTTTAAAATGACAATTAACGGTTTCGTCTAATTAACAAGAACTAGGATGGCGCCTAATCCTTTTAAAATCACTTGGGAAATACTAGACTTCGCCTTGTTCCGCTAATACTTACCCACTCGTAAATTGCTTTATTCTCGAACTTGCAGTTACATGACTTTTTTCATTTGATACACGAAAATGTTCTATTTAAACTATATTGTATTCATAATACTACTATCTTAATATAAATAGATAGTTTTTTTTAATAAGATTAATTGAAAATAACTATAACTTTTTAATTATTTTCGTTTTTTTTTGGATTTGAGTTTGAAGTCTTGCTTTTAATTGTGTCAAATACCCCAGAAAACTCAATTTTAAACGTAGTAATTTTAGCACATGTTGAATGAGATAATTTATATCTAGGTATTATGTCTAAAATTAATTTAATCCTACTTAGCATACTGCATTGCAGCAGTATGCCATTACAAAGGAGCATTGTCTCATTGCTAATAAACAATTACTAACTTAGATAATTGTTTAATTATTAGTTACTAGATTAAAATTTAATATGAACTCTTATAAATTGGAGGTAGTTATTATTAGTTAGAAAATGCACTATCTTATCAACACGTTATAAGAGATGGCTGTTTTCTGCATAACTAGCCTCAAATAAAGTAAATAAAATATTTTAGAGGATAACATTTTCGATGTATATTATATCATATGATTAGTATAACTACCTAGAGTATTTCTATACTTCATAATCTAAGTTGTAAACATTATTGAATAGCTAGTAAAGGAAGGGGTAGCCTATTCTATGACGGGACATACATAGCCTATAATGAGTGATAATTCTAATTGTTTTAATGCTTTATTAAAAAAAGGAATAAACGTATTAGATATTTTTAATATGCTTTGTCAGTTTTTGTTTGGAAACCATTGGCGTGACAATCGATTTAGTTAAAGCATTTTTATCTATGCCGTCAGGAAGTCAAAACTACTAAAAAAATTTATGTTGGGACGATGAAAACTTAACAATGATAGTAGCTTATAGACATCATTGTATAGTATTTAACCATGTAATTTTTTATTGTTTATTCCTCGAAAAGGTAGTTGGCAAATTTTAAGGACGGCTCAACGGTTAAGAAAATAATTTTATGTAGACAACAGAGTAACGAGCTTAGATACAGAAAAGGAGATATAAATTTATTGAAGAGTTTAAACTTTTTATGGAGAAGATTAAATTCAATATTAGAATGTAGGTAACCTTACTATTAGTCTTAAATTGAACAGATATACAAGTTATATGTGTGTTAGGCCTTTATTGGGATATAAACTCAGACAAATTATATTGTAATTATGATAATATGCCAAAACCGCAGAAACGTTTCTAAAAGTAAGAAAACGGGATTTATTAATATATTATTATTGACACGAAGAGTATTTGATCCCACTGGGTTATATTGCGCTAACTAGGTATGTTAATTCCTAAACAAATTTTACAAGAAATATGGCGTCGTGATTTGCTATGGGATGAAGAGTTACCATCCAACTTAGTTCCTAAGTTTCAAAATTGGTGTACCTAAATACATCGAATACCTACTGACGCGTCGTTAATAAATTGGTATTTTGAATGGATACCAGGTAAGTTTTTATTTATTTTGTGATCTGACGTCACATGGTTGTGTCTTATTAAGAGCGGAAGATAGTAACGGCTTGGCTCATCTCCTATATTTACGAAGTGGAGAAAAGTACTGAATAGTGCTTTAACTTGCACAGTATATGCAGCATATTTACAGCGCAGTGCACCTTGAGTTAACCAGGATATTGTCAACTGAAGTATTTATGATGACGCTATGCCGATTTATAGCGCAGCAAGGTAAAATGAACATGTTAGTTTCACATAAAAGCAGTAAGCGGACTAAAAATTTACTTGCAGTTACAGATTTGAAGGAGATTTAGAGTATTAAATACTTAACGTATTTTTTTGTAATAATTTTAATTGTAATATATTTTCATTTGCATCAGATTATATTTGAGCAAAATAAATTGTCTTAAACAATTTACTATTTAGATACTTATTCAATATCTATAAAAACTGTTAAATGTACTATTAGGTATTAGTAGGAATTTGTACATGATGATTATCATACTCGTAGAATTATTAATTTCATAAAAGTTAGTCATTGTTTCCTTGCCGTGGTTGTGTATTTCGTTGTAATTTGATTATGAACACGAAAAAATATGTGAAATGGCGCGAAATCGAAATATGTTCTTAAAATAATAAACGTGTTCCAAATTCAAAATAATTAAAAAGTTGAAAAAAAAAGAAAAGTTTTTATGTAACAGTATTTATGGTCAGAGTAGTTAATAGTGCATAAACATAATATATGTATATATCGAGGTAATGAGGACATGTAAATATATTAAATATATTGAGGTAAATCACATATAAACATAAACATCAAGGCAAATTAGAAAGATAGGTAATGAGATTTTATCTGTCTCTTGAACGAGGCAAGAGATTGCGCTGATCTAATGGAAAGAGGTTAGGTGTTTCAGAGACACATAGCTTGGATTATATGGATTATTATACTCCTGAGTCTACCTATAGCGAAGTACATTTTATAATTAAAATCTTAACAGATAAATTACAATCCATATTGATTCCGAATCCTTGTATAATACCATCTAGTTAATATAAATACCATTATAAGAAAATGAATTAAATATATTGATTAAAGAGTTACCTAAATATTACTGATATTGAGGGTTTGCAGGACGTGTGTATTATTTATAGTTGTAAACAGTACGGGAAATAAAACACCAGCTCTATGAGCTTTCCAATGACATGTTTATTTTTTATCATCTATATTCTAAACATCTACAAATGGCCAGTACGAAATCTAACGTAATCCACCTGCGGTACGGTTTAAAAAAAATATTAAAACCTTTCTTTAAGAAATTGGTCACTGCATAAATATCATCGTAGGATTGTAAATTGTAAATTGTACACTAATTTATAATCTGCATAATGAAAACTAATGTGACAGTAGTTTCGTTACTATAATTATATAATAAATATAAAAAAATATAGCTATTGTACCAACTTTATTAAATGTATCTGCCTTTTATATCTATATCTCTTAGCTAGATCTTTATAATATTATAAAGAGGAAAGGTTTGAAATATTTTATTTTTGTTTGTTTGTAATGGATAAAGTTAAAAACTATTCAACTGATTTTAAAAAAGCTACTATATTAGCGAATAAGGCTATATATTATTTTGATAAATTCAATCTACCTGTACGTACATTTTTAAATATGTTGTTTGCCTACAGCATTTTCTGATAAAAATTCTTAATTATTCAACATAATTGTTATAAGGAATTACGACGTACGTTGCATCGATTTTGGCGCCTCAGTAGATTCTTATGTGTTTGTGCTATTTTTGTCTATCAATATGTAAACAACCATACATCAATATATTTATCTACACGTTGAAAATGTAAACAACAATAATAAAAACAACATGAATTGCATTTTGTAGTAAAAAAATGGGGGTAAGGGTAAGGTATTCTTAGTTATGGGATTAGCAGTCCTATCTTTAATAATATACCCGGTCAGAGCGTCCTACAGGCGGTCGCCTCTGAAATGTAATTGGTAAATTCGTCACGATAAGTCAACTAGAGTAACTTCATTCTCATCCATAATCACTATTTTTTTTTAATAGATGATAATGGAATGGTAACCCCACCCGCGCTATCGGTATACACCGGCGGGGTACCAGTGAAGGATGATAGGTGAGGATGAAGTAGATCAATTAGCCCATTGTGACGAATTCAACAAGAATTGTTCACGATGGTTTCCAGAAGAAACCACGTGGAGGTCGACCTAATAAGGCATATTGCTAGCAATGGGGCTGTCAAACTCCATTGCTAACAATCCCTTTCCCTCC